GAAACAGCATGGCACTATAACTTCTAGTATGTAAAACCAGGAAGACGACTACTTTTGAAAAAATAAATTGATTTATTAAAGTGCTTATAGATGTGTCGTAATTAAAATGAATAAATTATTATAAATTTTGCCGATACGTTTGGCTCAGTTTGTAGTGACCCTACTTGCTTGTGCCAGCGGTCATGGATTCGAGTCCCGCTGGGGGCATTCATTTGTGTGACGAGCACGAATGTTTGTACTCTAGTCATGGGTGTTTATATATTTATAATAATATGTATGTATTTAAAGATATATATGTGTGGTGTATCAACTATGTATATGGTATCCATAACACAAGCCTCGTAGCTTGTCATGGAACTAGATCGTGATGTGTGTGAAGTCCTAACCAAAAAAAAAAACAATTATGAGATAAAAAATACTGTAACATAGATTTGTCTTAAAGCTTAGCTACTTAATAGTTTTTTGTTACTTCAGCTTTAGTTTCCCCTTAAAATGAGTTATTGAACTAAATGCAAAAATGACTATTTTAATATATGTATATACGTGTAAAGATACATTTTGGCTTATTTTCATCATATGTGTATTCTTATGAACGTATTGTAATAAAGAAAGGGATATCTGTGTAGGTATATTATATTTCTGTAACATTTATGTTAATATCTTTAAATTTTTGTTAGCATTGGCGGTTAGAAGATCCCTATCGTCAGCATAAAACTTACTTAGAGTAGGTAAAGTCACGGTTCAGTCTGTGAATGATAATTAAAAAGCTATAGATCTAAAGTCACACCGCACACTCATACGATAAAGTAAATAGTAGGTACATACGTCATAATTTAGTTAAAGAAACAACAGCTCAGTATTTATTGAAAATCAAGAAACAAGAAATATTATACAAAGTATATTTTGTATACGATTTTTTTTTGCATTTTATAGCATATTTAAAGCATTTAAAATTATACGTGTAATAAATCGCGGTTATAAGTTACTTGTAATTAAATTCTCAATTTAAATATTTACATATGTATATCGTAAAAACTGACATCGATTGCGATGGTTGTATTAATCCATTCTTACGTCACTACTTTTTGAATAATTTACGCATTAACAATGACATAGATTTCAATGACCTAACATTGACTATGAAACATTGATTTTATGCGTAACTGCCTATCAACTAATAAGATTTTTATAGAAGATGAATAAAATTAATGGTTATTTGTTTTCGTCGCCTATATTTTCTATTTTTTATACAATAAATAACTATATAATACAGCCTCACCTGTTCCAGTTATGTGAAGCTAATTTACCTACTATTTCTAATGATGTGTTGTTCGATTTAACAATCGCATAACAAACTTGTGCAGTAATAAAAAAATGATAGTCTAATATAGGTATTGGATTAAATTAATGTTATAGTTTGAAAACGCACTTAACTTTGTATACCTTTATCAATACACTTGTTGTAAATCTATTTAATATAGATTTATTGAAACAGCACTTGCAAGCTAGCCAAATATTAATATAGACAGAGAGAATCAACAAAGTCAAGATCAAAGAGCTCAATATTAGAAAGGTGCATTAATATCTCACCTTTGGCACTATTTGCAATTTAAAACATCAACACATAACAAATAATTTTATCGTTACCGGTATCGTAAATCCATATGAGAGCGATCAAGGGACGCGCGTCTCTGTGCGTAGTAAAGTCTTTACTGGGTAAGGCATTGGCGATATAGTCGACCGCTGACTCGCGGCATTCTAGCAAGGATTTGTGTCATTCTACGTAACATACAGTGTACTTGACCGCTCTAAAAAGAGACAATTTAAACTTTGCGCGGACTGGCAGCGGAGTGTGTTTGTAAACGAATTCCTCGATCCTCGCTTACTTTTTTTTTTCACTAAAATAATATCGATCTCCATGTAGGTACGTTGCTTGCGAGACCGGTTCACTGGCGACTAAAAACTCGCTTAAAAATATTTTAAAACTATTCTTTACCATAAGTAATGACCATTAAAATTAAATTAAGTCTGATGTGAAAGGTTTATTTATTCTTTACTTACTACTACTAACTAAAGTAGAAAATTATGTTAATAACAATATAGTCAAATTTGAATAAAATGTCAAGAATTATAATATACACTAGCCACCAATCTCTCTTTTGGTATTTTAAGGTAAGCTGATAAAGAATTATAAAATTAAAAGTGTTCTATAGTAACAAATATATACAGGTATTTGCTGTTCAACTTGTTATTAGTCTTTTAAAGGATGCTTGTAACTAATTCGTTTTACATTACGTTGTCGTTCCTTAACATCAGCAATTACACGACAGTAATTTAACAATTGAAAGCGAAGCTGCAGCATGCAGCAGCATTAAGATCTTTGCTTCAAGTGAAATGAAATGAAGCTTTATTCAAATAGACTTATTATAAGCATATTTTGAAGTGGTATTTAAGTCAACATTATAAATGTTTATTTAATTACAAACTTCAGTCATTTTTGTCGGTGGCTTCGGTTACCGCGTTTTTATGTCTATTTGTTTGCTTATTTTAGTAATTTTAAATCTTCTCTGTCTCTATTAATAGAGAACTGCTAACCTAACCGATCTTTTTCCAAAGAAATTATATTAAATCCTATCCTAGCCTTTCCTAATATAGTATAATAAATAATAAAGTGGATTTTGTGGTTTGCCATGTTTTCGAGCGACAAACATCATCGAACATCGGAACGACGTAGATCTTTGCATAGAGATAATTCATGAGTCGAAGAATAGCATTGGCTTCTTTTATCGAGGTACAGGTTCGTTATAAAAATCCATTGCAAAACGTTAAATTAAACAAGGGAAGCTCTAAGTGTATAGCTATTTAACAATACGCTTTACATTTAACAGTTCGCCTAGTGGTCGAAATTCGACCTTAAGCATAATATGATAAAAGTCGAGAGGTGTTGTGGGGAACCGGGTAGGAAGAAAGTTCCGTTCTCTGTGTGCCCTTAGCTCATAAATTAGATCACAAAAATTGACACGAGTTCTAGAGTATCATGATGTTGAAAACCATCGAATAAACGTCTACAACAGAGTGCACACGAATTTCTTACAATATACGAGTACACTTCTTAACACCTATGATAGCCTGGTACTTACTTTAATGATGTCACAGGGGATGCTCTTAGTAAATAATAAAAAGTATTTTGACGGGTGAAATATAAGGACTAAGGTACTCTTTATTACGTGCGTGTTATATATTTTTCATTAGTCATAAATGTTGTCATTGTCATATTTTCTTATCAAATAGACAAACTTTGTAGATAGCTACGTAGTTTTATGGTAAATACATTAATTACGTTTCCTAGAAAAGACTTTTGCATATTTTGTAATACTATGAATCAACGAGCGAACTATAAATAATCAATTAATCTATTCGGTATGAAATTGTCAAGAAAAATAATTGTGTAACCGTGAAAGTTAACCATTGTCATTCATCACATTTGCTGTGAACATCGCGATGTGCTGTTCCTTGCATCGTCAAGAAGGCGGTACATATTTCATTGATCCGATTTGGCGTGTACCTTGTGTCATGCAACTAATTGTAGTTGCATACGCATCTGTAATGACAAAACGCCACGCTTCCGTTACTTCACCTGCGTCATTGTTTCCGCGATGATTACTTAATGCTTGAGCAAGCATGACGTGAGATATTTTCATAATTTTATTACTTACATCTAATGTAACAGCCTACGCGAAATTTGACCGGTTCTAAAATTTTGCAAATGTTTACTCAAGCATGTCATTATTCTGTTAGTAAATGAGGATGAGATGCTGAGAAGTTATCTTTTGAAAACAATATAATATCTACATAACTAATATGATATGTAATGTATAATTATTGTTAATTGGACCTAGCTTTGGTCAGGCTTTAATTACATCTCACGTTCTTAATAGTCATTTTATGCAATTTATTAATATATATTTTAGGTTTTCTTTAATATATAAATAAATGTATTTATATATTAAAGAAAACCGCATCGAAATCAGTCTACCCCATTAAAATATTCGTTGCCACCAACAAATGGATACACATGACACACACACAAATAGGAATTAAACTTATGTACAAGTTTGGATTTGGTCGTTGGGGCTTGATTATTATTTTATTTCCGACTGACTATATGACTATTATATTTTCGGAATAAAAAAGTAACCTATGTGCTATTCCAGACTATAATCTATCTCTGTGCCAAATTTCATCCAGATCCGCTCAACCGTTCTGGTGTGAAAGAGTAATAAACATCCATCCATCCAACCACACAAACCTTCACCTTTATATTATTAGTATGGAATATGGATCAATTACTTACTATTTAACATAGATCTGCTAGATATAATATATAATATATGAAAGATTTAAGTAAAAGTTACAATACTTGTGAGCGTAAGCACTTACAGGATTGTTAGTTAGTTGTATAACAGTATAAGTAACAATTTCTTTTCCTTCTACACAAAATTATATTACAAGTTTACGTAAAATGTTGCGTTAGGCGTATTTGCTTTACATAGGAAGCAGATCGGTAATCAAATTGAATAATTGTTTGTATAATTAATTCAAGTTCAATTTCTTTATTGACTATACTAGCGCCTCACTCTCGCTTCGCTCGTGTTCGTCCCTAGGTACGCTTTAACGGCTAGTATGGAACAGATATGTAGACTATATATATCCATAGGTACGATATACATACTCATAGGTATGATGAGTTGTTGTGGGTTGTATTATTACTATTTACCGTGGGAATGAAATATCTCCTGCGGTAAAAAGTAGCCTTTATCTACTCTATCCCTCCAACTATTTCCACACAAAAAAATCACGCCAATCCAACAAAGTGACTGTTTCGACGTGAAAGATGAACAAACAAACACTTTATAATATTCACATTTATAATATTAGTATGTATTTCTTTATAGCTAAGATTGCTTTCTACTTTGCAGCTGACAGATATAGTAAATGCGATGTCGTCACGAGGAGAATTGCCTTTGGAACTGGCACTCCGTGGGCGAAGTTCATCGATCGCTACAACGCTTTTGCAGCACTCTGCTGACCCGGACGCGCGCGGTCCTCGTGGTAGAACATTGTTACATAGGGCAGTCGACGCCAGAGACGCCTTCTCCGCAAAATATTTGGTCGACAATGGAGCAGATCCTGGCCTTACTACGAAGTAATCATATATCTACTACTTTTATAAATATATATCAATGCTTTACTTTAATTATTTGGCAATTATCATTTACCTTTGTATAATATAACTATAAGAGTACTAAAAACTCACCGTCGCTCCGCTTGGGTTCGTCCCTAGATACGTTTTAGCGGTTCGTATAGATTTCTCAGAGATGAGATATTTTCCCGCAATAAAAAATATATGTTGACCAGGATAACCAGCTACCATTATACTAAATTGCATCAAATCCCAGGCAAACAGTCAGACAATAATTCTAAAAACTATAGATTCGGATATATCGATAATAATGAGATTCGGCTTAGATATAATTTTATTATGTGTAGAGGATAAGGAAATCCTATTATAATATGATTTTTCATAGAATTTTCTACATAACTAGAAATCTCTTTACGTAAATAACATGAACACTATATTTAACATAGTACTCCTTTTCCGTACTGTCGTTAATATAATGACAAATAATACTAGAGCTTTGGTTTTCTTTTCTACACTATTTATTAGTTTTCATAAGAATTAGAGTAAAGTGATAAGAAAATAAAAATGGTTACATAATTATTTCAATAATAAAAAAATCTGTATTGGTTATTTAACCATTTGATATTTTCTTAAAAATTTTAGTTTAACATAATATAATTATAATATTTGTTTGAATACCTAATAAAACCCCAATGAAACTAAAGTCCCTGCCCACGTATATAATGTCAGCCTCATTTGTTCGGATTCTTCGAACCGGTTACGTCCAATAATGTTATAAAAAATAACAATGAAGTACATGTTATATCACAGACTTTTTCAGAAACTTTTAAGCTTTTACTGTCTGTCGGCTTCGCTCGTGTAGTGGGTATAAAGTATATATAAATATATATATATATATATATATATATATATATATATATAATAAGTAATATTCATATTCTAAGTTTTTAAATAAAGTTCCTTTAAATACTTAACAGCCGCAATCAAACTTCATATTCGCTTTATATGAAATCATTTATCTAGCTCATTTTCAGTCATATCGATAATTGTATCACCGCAGAAAGTATTTTCTCATCAAATTCGTTTAACAGATAAACAAAGACTTTAAAAGCTATTATTTTTCTTCTACTTCCCTCTTTAATCATAGACCAACATAAAGTTTTTGAAAATAAATCGTAATAAAGTGTAGATATAAATTAAAAGAAATCTTTAAACTTTAAATCTTTTTTATATCTATTCAGGGAAGAAGGAGACACAGTACTTCATTTAATAGCAGCACTTACATCAAGTTCTTGCGATCCAGAAATTATGGAACAGATGGTTGAAATTGCAGAAACTGCTGTTAATAAAGGAGCAGATATCAATCGGCAAAACAGGAAAGGATAGTAAGTATGGTATATTGTAATCTTATAATTGCTATGTAAGTGGGTGCATTTGTGATATTAATATATATTTTTTCATAATTTATTAGGAATACGTATAACTCAAGTATTTAGGATTTCTTATGTAGCTTAATCCCTCCACGACCGCGGACACGCCGACGTGTGAGTTAACAATAGATTTCTTAAAATTTTAATTAATTTCTTAGAAAACCTGCAGGTGTTAAATAAAATAATATTTAATAACACATTATTTGAGCCGAATTTTCGTTTTACTATTTGACGTTATTAATGAAATATGTAAACGGTGTGTAACATGACTGATGAGTCAAAGCTGGCAGGGTCGAGGTCAGCAAGTTTTAGTGATTCCAAAGTTATTGGGATTTTAAAAATTAGTAGTGAAAACCAGTTTTTAGACTAAATTTCACAGCCAAAGTATCAACTATATGATAGCGATTTTTATTTCTAGTCTCAGAGTGGGGCCTTTTTACTATTGTACTAATAGTTTTTGTAAGGATCTTCTTAAAATTTTAATAAAAATAAAATTTCAGCCCTTAAAAAAGTTTTTACTAGTGATTTTCTACAATATTTTTTAAAAACTGTGCCGATTTATGGAGACTAAGCTCTGCATATTATTTATCTAAAACTAAGGCTTCATTTGAAAAAATGTATTCAAATAGGCCAGGTGCTTAAATAATTACTAGATACTTTAAATAAACATTTATTAAAATTTTATTCTAATAAGCTATGTTTTTAGTGTTTTTACATTTGCTTAATTTTCACGCTAAATTGATTTATATTCAAAAAGGCTGCAAAAACAAGTAGCAGTTAGATTACACATTATGAACTGTAATACAGGTGTTTTGCGACCGCTATTGTTTAATAATAATTTTAGTACTGATGTTTTCTAATAATATTATAAAGCCCAGTGGTAACGCGCTCACTTGGGAAACCAGGTGATGCGGGTTCAAATCCCGGTTCTCGCACCTCTGATATTTTTATGTGTGACTTATTGTCTACCATTATCTTATGGTGAAAGAAAACATCGTGAGTAAACCTGCATGTCTAAGAGGATCTAGCAAGTTTTCGAAAAACATGTGAAGTCTACCAACCTGCACTTGGCCAGCGTGTTGGACTATGGTCTGATCACCCTCGTATTGAAAGGATGCCCGTGGCATGAACCTGGCTGAATACATACATTATACATATGTACTCGTATATTATAAATACCTCGTGTATTTCATGCAGGCTTATATTACATAAATTAGGTATATGTTAATTCGTTTGGACCGTGATATATATATGTATAAATAAGATTGAATTTTGAAATTATAGGCTTAAATAACAATCGACCTACATACTTAGAGTTTAAATAACATACGTTCTTTACCATGATATAATGTTACGGTTTATTCAGCTTAATCACATATATTTGGGTTGGTAGTTAGTTAACTTTCAAACCTTTTTCGTTTATTACGTAATTAGTAATACGAACGTATTGTATTACAATATAGATATATTTTTCACAAGCTTATATTTATCTTTTAGTTACTTAACACTTTTCAAGTTATAAATATTGTTCGTTTCATAATTGTTTAACTTAAAAGTTACGTTAGAAGGTGTGCTGTAGAACTGTGTTAATTACTATACATTCATTAACACAAAGATGTCTTTAATACTTAATTACATACAGGGCCGGATCATCGACGAACACAGGCACGGAGAAAATAAAAATGATAATGTCATCGAATGAAAATTTAATTTAATAATAAATCAAAAATAGGTGGAAATTCCACCATGAGGACAAATGCAACAGTTAGATTTCTATAAAATCTACCTAATAGCGTAATTACGAAAAATGTATTTTAATAAGTTAGAAAAGAAAGGGTGAAAGGGCTCCGAGAATTGCATTGCCTACTGGGCCCCGGCATGATTAATTCGGCCCTGATTACATAATATATTATGACATTTTGCAATTAAAAAAATATACCATATATATCTTACAGATTTATTTTATTACAGCACACCCCTCCATCAAGCTGTGATAGCTAGAAATCAAAGGATATTTGACCTTTTATTAAAACAACCCAACTTAGACACTAATTTGAGGACTATATCAGATGAGCACCCTCCACTTTACTATGCTCTAGTAGACGATCGAAGAGCATCCATATCTTCAAGTGAAACTTTAGTAATGAATGGCTCTAATCCTTTTGATACTCCTGTAACAAACAAAAATGCATTCACTGAAGATCCAGTAGAAGGAAAGTCGGAGAATATTGTGGAAAGAGGTTTCGCTGCAAAATTATTAGAGAAAGGATGTCAACCAAATCCTTTATATTCCGGATCAGGCGACAGTTTACTCCACATATTGGCGCAAGGATGGTTTGAGGTAAATTTAAAAATAGTAAACATTTAAAATTCTATTGGAATGCACGACAAAATGCTTATAAATAATAAATCACTATATTCCTGCTCTTCGTAGTATATATATTTTTTTGTTATATATTAAGGATAAAAGCATTGATTGTTATTATTAATTATTAGGTATTTATTCGACTTAGTCGAAAAACGTTCACTGCTAAAGATATAACTCTCTTAAACATTTTTTTACGCTAATTAATCATAAGCAATCTATGTATGTATATCTAGTGGATTCCAGCGCCTTTGATCAGATCGACCATCCATCTTAGGTAGCCTCCTATTATGGATATCACATTAAAATACCGCCTTAAACAATATAGGACTCGGCAGTGTTCCTAACATCGCATCTCAACGGTGACCTGAACCACAGCAACGAAGCGGGCCTGTCGGCGCTGCACGCGGCGTGCGCCAACGGCCTCACGCGCCTCACAGCCGCGCTACTGGAGCACGGCGCAAGACCTAACTTACAAACTGCTTACGGGGAACACGAGGATACAGTGTATAGGTATGTTAGTTATATTTAATTGATTGCTCTAATTTGCAGTGACTAAATTGGTATAAATAAAGTGAATGAAAAAATGGACGGAAATTTTAAGCCGTATTTTTGGGTTATAGCAAAGATTTGTAACTATCATTGCACTAATGATCTACGTTGTGATTACTACGTTGCCTAAAGTCGCATCAAGTAATAAAGATTCAGTAAAATATTTCCAACTGGTCTAAAAGCACAATTTTTAAAACAATATTTATAAGCTTTGAAACGGCTGACTGATCTTAATTTTACACCACAGAACAACTTACTTTTGAAACTGCATCTGAGTGGGTTGGGTTATATAATGTAAAAGTAAATAATTGTATATACATAGAAAAGACTCTTTAATTTCATTGTTTCAAAAACAAAATAAAAGGTGATTATGCAAATTTTATATAATAATTGATTATGAACCTTAGTAATTAGTATTATTAAATTTTATAAGTGTGCAAGTTTTAATACACTATCAAAATTATTCTTTTATATATCTGAAATAAATTAAATTATGTATATTATGTAACTGTCGATGTTATTTCAATTATTTCTTATTTATATCACACTAACGAATCACCCTCGCTTCGCTTCGGGTTCGTCCCTAGATAAAAACGAGCATATAGGCTTCCTCAATAAACGGGCTTTTTCAAATCGAATTAATACTTACTGAGATTAACGAGTTCAAACAAACAAGCAAACTTTACTTCTTTATAGTATGTATTACTCGTAGTATAGATGGGCAATGTTGCGAACACAGATTAGAAAAAATGAATAGTGACGAAGACTGTACTGAAGTTATTTTTTAATACATGTGTACGTTATGTAGATTGTATAAAAAATATTTACAAAAATGAAAAACCCAACTGCGTAAAAAGAGAACTAAAAACAAGAGAACAAGTATACGAAAGAACATAATATATTCTTTTTTTATATTTTGTATTTTTTATTTGTTTTTTTTTTAGTTTTAGTTAGCTTAGACATTTTTAATTTGTTTAACAATTTCATACCCTAGATTACTTTTAAAGATATAAGTAGTATATATTTTTAAAATTGCCTCTTAAAACCGGTATTTTGTTACCCCACTCGATTGATTCATGTGAAAAATTTTTTTTCAAGACGTACAAATTGGCGCCTAGGATCCGCTATTCTGATTTTTAATAATATCTATATATCCGCGTATCAATCCGCGTATACACTCGCGTTATCAAAACGAATGACGTATGAATTATCAAAATCGGTAAGGCCGTTTAGTAATTATGAGGGAACATAGAATCGGACATACATATACATACATACAGATCAAACACATAACCCTCCTTTGGGCTTCGCCGCAGTCGAGTAAAAATATAAGTATGTATGTATTTTCGTCTCCAAGACAATAATTATAAATTCTTCTGCGGTAGTCATTACATGGAGTGGTTAATAGGCCTTTCTTAACGACCGCAGTCAGTAATTCATTACCACAATAACCTTCGAAAGACCATAAAGTTAAACGCATAATATTACAAACAATAAGCGTTTAAAATCTTATATAGTCACATTTAGTTTTGCGGTTAGTAAAGCGGTTTTAAGAAGTAATATAGAATTAGCGATAGTGAAACATTGGAAAATTTATTTAGATTTTTTTATTATTCGTAACCCTTTTATCTATACTACTATTATATGGAGGAAAGATTAAATTTTTTGTTTGTTTGCTTGTAATGAATAGGCTCCGAAACTACTGAACCGATTTAGATGAAATTTGGTAAGGAGATTTTTGAGACCCTGGAAAGGACATAGGATAGTTTTTATCACGGAAATCATTCCTTAAGGGGGTGAAAATGGGGACTAATCTGCGAAAAGATCCGAAAAGTTAGTTTTATTTAAAACACAACGTTTTGTTAATTAAAACTTATCAGCAGTGATTTTTTTTAAATAGGTACCTACTTTAAAGATCCAAATTTGATATTGGTGGACAGAAAGTGTGAGTGGGCCGTGTGTCTCAATGACGTTACGCGCTGCTCAGACATCTACTCGTAAAATCGTACATGTTAGTTAGATAGGTAAATACCCTATTACGCACACAAAAGACCAATTTTCAGTGATTTGCATCGATTCAATTTAAATCTGGTACGTTTGAAAGTGAAACCTGAGTTTGAAAGCATAATATTATTATAATTTTTAGTAAACAACAATAATATATACAGATAAATAAAATTAAAGTGTCTGTTTGTGATGTCAAAATAACAGCTTTTACTAAATGCATATGAAAGTATACAATTTTTTATGCTATTGTCTGTCTCTCTATGTGTCTGTTTGTTCCGGCTAATCTCCGAAATCGCTGGACCGATTTTGAGGGGACTTTGACTGGCAGATAGCTGATGGTATAAGTAGTAACTTAGGCTACTTTTATCTTAGAAATAGAATTAGGATTCCGCTCAAAAAAATTAAAACGTACCCAGGGACGCACCCGAGCGAAGCGAGGGTAAGTCGCTAGTATGAAATATATAGGTACAAGTTTTAAAATCTGTCTTATTCTTTTTATTTTAATCTATAAAAGATATATGTGTATGTATATATGTATCATACATATATATACACACACAAATATATAAATATTTATATCTTTAGGGTTAAAACTGTACACATTTGTAATAGGCACTTTCGAATTTTTGATTAATAAAATATTTAATACGTATTTACGCGAATATTACATATTTAAAAAAAAGACAACAAGGTATCTTTGCGAATTTTCCCATGACCATGTTTGCTGAAAAGAATTCAAAACCTCGGGAACCAAAAACCAAAATAAATCTTTGAAAATATCCGAAAAGATATTTTTATTTCAAATAATGAAAAAATATTTCTCACAATTTTTTTATATGATTACTTTTCAGACAAACTCCTCTTCACTTAGCAGTACTAAACAACCACGAAGGTTCTGTAACTGCCATAATAGATCACAAGAGATTGGTAGAAAAAGGCGAGCTTCCAGCCACCGACAGGTCTAATGTGAGCCTCGTACCAAACCTAAACCTGAAGAACTCCGAGGGAGATACACCAGTTAGTCTTGCACTTACTGAAGGTAACTGAATACTGTTCAAATTAATTTCATCTTTCTTTATATTTAATGTATAGGTATTGTAAATATATCTAATATGTGTATTTTTTTTAATTCCTACAACTTTTAATTTTTATTTTTTTTTATAAACAAAATAAACATGTTTATGGGAAATAAAAAAATAATTATATTTTTTCATATATTGTATAAGTATCATTGACATGCACATGACATACACCAAAACTCGAAGTACACAATTAGCGTCTCAAAAGTGTCCTCAAAAAGAATTGCGCTTTTTTTAGATATCTTTTGTTCATTGCTTTTGGGATGAAGAAATTAAAACACATGTTATTTCGTTTAAAAAAGTACTTTATGCGGTGTGCGTAAGTTTGAATTTGTGTTTAGACAATTAGAACTTTCGATTTTTCAATTTTATTCTTTGGTTTGACTTAAAGTCGCATGTCGACGCCACTTTTTGAAGAGATATTTATTAGGAAATGTGAAATGTTTATATATCACTGGTAGGTATACAGTATTTCAAGTATCTTTTTATTTAAGATCAATATAAATATTGCATTATATTATAGGCCACAAGCATCTGGTAGCCCCACTTATCGAGGGTGGAGCAGACCCGAATATTCGCAATGGAAAAGGCTTCACGTTGCTACATCAAGCTATTGTCGAAGAAGATTCTAGAACATCCATATTCCTGCTAGACCACGGCGCAGATATGAATGCTTTGTAAATATAATTTATTCACTTAATTATTTTTGATAGTTAATATATCAAATAATTATCAATAACAATTATATCATATAAGTATCTAATAATATGCTTTGTATAGAAATGAGACGTCATTCCGATCATTCTGCATTAATTTTCCGATCCAGGTTGCACTAATTAATAAAAGAGTATTTACCTAAATAACTAAGCATTTCCATATTTAGTTACTATTATATATTTAGTTAGTATTTCTATACTAGATTTTGCCTGCGCCTGTTTCGGTGCAGCGTCTTCTATTGACGTTCATAAATGAACTATTATTAAAATAAAATTTAAGGTTAATTATTATTTTCCATGGAAACTTATTGTTGGGATAAAAGGTATTCCATGTATGTACCCGTTTACGCGAGTGAACCATCCAGAAGTATTTAAAAAATATATTTATAATTCATATTATAATATGACTGAAGTTTCTCTTAGGGAACTAAATAATTTAAGATCGTCATTGTAAACAGAACCGATGCAGGGGAAACGCCCCTCCAGCTAGCGATCCACTGCCGGCTGGGGCTGGTGGTGGAGGCGCTGTGCGTGCGCGGCGTGGACATGAGCCGCCTCGACGCGCACGGCGTGCCGCCGCTGTGGGCCGCGCTCGACTCCGGACAGGAGGAGGTTGCCAGTGTGAGTCGAGCCTTCTCGTGTCTTGTTTTATAAATAGACTAGCGACTCACTCTCGCTCCGCTCGGGGTCGTGCCTAGTTGCGTTTTAACGTTTAATATAAATTTCTCAACGATGAGATATTTTCCCGCACTAAAAAGTATCCTATACGTTGACCGGGATAACCAGCTATCATCATATCAAAATTCATCAAAATCTGTCCAGTGGTTTTCTTGATAGACAGACACACAAAAATTCTAAATACTATAGGTTTGGCCTCTGTACCGATAATAATGACTATTTCAATAAGATTTTCCAAAAAATATTCAATGTGCAGATTTGACTTAGTTAGAATTTTATTATATATATAGATATTATAGAATAATTATTATTGATTAAGTGAATGTTGCTAATGTGGGCCAGCCATTACTTGTCCTATTATTATAATAAAATGTCCCTAACAAACATTATAGTTTATAAGAATGCATTATATTGCATTAATTAAATGTATGTTATTGCCATTTAGGAATCAATTTTCATAATTGTTTCTTAACGATGATGCCATATAAATTAAAAATCCATATCCTTAAAAATCGAATAATTACACTTAATTTTTTAAATATGATTTAAATCATAAGTAAAAATTTATTTGAGTTTTTTAAAATGTTTTATACAGATTTTAGTTCGCAATGGTGCGGACGCAGACTGCTGGGGACCGGGGCCCGATGGATGCATGCAAACTTTATTACACAAGTAAGACTTTAATATTTCGAAATACTCCGTTGAAATTATAGAACTGTCAAAATATTATGATGATAAAAGTATATTTGGAAACAATTTTCATTCTAAAGGAGAAATTTTAATTTAAAACAGGGCAATAGACGAAAACAAGGAGTCATTAGCTACATTTTTGATACGATCTGGGTGTGACGTGGAAAGTCCAAGAAAGACGGGACCGAACGGCGAAGGCGCGGAGGTGGCGGCCGACCGCCAGGCGCCGCTGCACCTGTGCTGCACGTGGGGGCTTACTGAAGTTATACAGGCATGTATTTGTAGAACTACTATTGTATATTTTAAATAAATCATATATTTTTTGGGTCCCGACGTTTCGAATACTTTACAGCAATCATAGTCACAGAGACGTTGAGAATCAAAAATCAAAATAAATTCGGGAAAAAATACGAAAAGATAGTTTTATTTAAAGTGTCAAATATTTGCGTAAATCTAAGAAAGTATCACTACTGTATATGCGAAATATTGTTGTGTGTGTGTATGTATGTATGTAGGTATGTGTATAACCCCTTTACACTGAAACACAGAACAAGTGCAATGCATCTTTACTCAGTAACACATAGGAACTACTTTTAGGAACTTAAGGATATTATTAATTTCTTGTATTACTTTTTATCCATTGAACTGTATTTACTATGCAGTCAATCAGGTATTTTTTTTGGTAGTATTTAAACAAATGACTATAAAATACTATAAATTCAAATGTATATTTTAAAATTATTTATAATTCATATGGAATTATTTAGATGGACTGGTTAATATTAATTTTATTCACGATTTATTTTAATGAGCAGCATGACAATGTCTATGTTAGTTTGAATAATAACCTTATGTCAGTTCGGATAATAACATTGTCTATTTATAAGCAGAATAGTAAATGGCTTATTTAATTTCAATTTTATGTATAGATTGACATGTTGACATTTGATTCTATACAATATTTGTCTCAAACTGTTAGTTTTAGGGGAAAATAACCATTATCACTAAATAGTAATCCTATATATATATATATGTATTCTGCCCTTTTTAACATTCCAGTGATGGGCATGGGCCTCTTTTCAATACGAGGAGCATTACGCCATAGTCCAACACGCTAGCCAAGTGCGGGTTGGCGGACTTCACGTCATGTCTTTCGAAAACTTGCTGGGTTCTCTCAGACACGTATATCAATGTGTGTCATCATGTTGGAAATTGTTCGCGCATGAAAAAGTTAGAATTGCGAGACCCGGATTTGAACCCGCTTCACTCAATTTCCCAAGCGAACACGTAACCACTTGGTTACCACTGATTAATTCTAATATGGTACCCAATAATATAAAGTTAAATCAAAAATTAATAATCCAGACTCTGCTCGAGCACGGGGCGAACATAAACTCCAAGGACGCAGAAGGCAAGACGCCGCTCCACATCGCGATAGAGAACCAGCACGCGGCGATCATCTCGCTGCTGCTGTCGCAGCCCGGCGTCGACCTGTCGGCGCGCGACAGCCGCGGCGTCACGCCCTTCGCCGCCGCGCTCACGGCGCGCAACAATAAGGCGGCGCAGGCTATATTGGAGAAGAATCCTTCGGCCGCTGAACAGGTTAACGTTTGTATTAAGAATGGACAATTGTGACATATATACAAACTAGCTTTTGTAAATTATAATGGTCTTTTATAATAAAAGTGAAATGTTGTTCGTTGGTACGCACTTTGCACTTGCTTGGCTGAACTGGGATGGCAATTGTTTTTTTAGTACAATTAAAATTTAGTATTTAGTACGATTAAAATTTTTAGGTAAAAATTTTGATAACAGAAAGTGCTTTTTTTCTAGCAATTAGCCTTAAATTATTCTTTAGCCTATTAAGTATCTTTATACAGATATTCATATGAAACCCAATTCGTCGTTGTAGAAATATTTTCATATGAAATAACTCACATAAAGAAAACAATATTATAATAAATACGTGTATTTAATATTCTCATTTAAAAAAATAAATTTAGTTTATTGACTAATAAAAATGAGTTGAGTTATTTAATCGATAATAAATTAATCAGTTTTCTTTGACTTTATAACTCTATCCAGGAAATGATGATGATTTTATTACGTTTAAAAATACGATACAAATAACTTTAAAGGAAAAAATTCTGGAAATTCCAATAGACCATTTAATTACAAAATAAAATGTAAAATATTCATAATAGTGCATCGTCTCGTTTCCCACGCAAGGTGGACAAAAAGGGTCGCAACTTCCTCCACGTGGCCATCCAGACGTGCGACATGGAGAGCGTGATGTTCCTGCTGTCGGTGGAGGTGGACGTGAACTCGCGCGTGCAGGACGCGACGCTGGCGCCGCCGCTGCACCTGGCGGCCGCCGTCGGCAACGAGGTGCTGCTGCGCAGTCTGCTGCTGGCCGGCGCGAGGCCCAACGACAGGGATGCGCATAAGTATGTTTGCTTTCTTCTTGTTTTTTGAGGTAAAAATTCTTCAGCCGCGTTGATTTTTGGTAGGGGCAAAACTTATGGTTTCGTGTCACCGACATGCTGCGTGTGACACGTGACGTGTCGACGCAGTCTAGTATGTTTTGATTAATAAAAGGTAAATAATTATTGCTCGGAGTTCCAATGGATGTGAAAACCAGACTAATAATAATTTCAAGTTATAAATTACGAAATTTTAATTAATCATATTATAATTAATTTAAAATTAAAAAAAAACAATTATCCTAAAGTTATAAATTTTCACTTGTGTCGGCAGTCCCCATGACTGCGTGCGCGCAGGACGCAACGGTAGTCGGCAATGGCATATTTTTTGTTCTCTCATTTCGGTTTGTTATAATTTACAAACCGTAACTTAGATATGCCTAGTAATAGTGAAGTGTTTATTCATTAAAATTCTAATAGTATTATTATTCAAGCTCTTTAAAGTACAACTTTAGCAACTCCTATGCCACGGGCGGTGGTAATAATTTATTATTAGGTGGACTACCTGCTCATTTGCTTGCTATTATGCTATAAAGTTGCCAAACAAGTATATATGGACTAAACATGGATGTCGACGCACGTAGACGTTATATAATTATTGCAAATAAATCTGCATGTCTGAGACATAACAAGTTTTCAAAGGACATGTGAACTTCCGTACTTGGCCAGCTTGGTGGAGGTGGAAATAGTTCAAATAAATTTCAATAAATGGCATTATATTATGTATCTACTTGTTATTTAAGTTTTTCACTGTTAAAACCTGTTAATGTAATTGAAAATAGTTAATTTAAATACATGATGAATTTTTAGCAATAGTTAACATATTTTAGTCTTTACATACACGGATCAACGCGATCTAATAGTTATAGATAATTATCAATTAAAACAAACAAAAATAGCCCGTATCAGCGCTGTCCGACTTGTTCGTATAAGATGGGGCATCTGCACTATACTGTATTCGCCGAATGAACCAAGCACTCAGATTTTGCTGTTCCACACGATTAGTTGCAGAATTACTCCGTCGTTGCATTCCGTACCGTTCAAATGTCTCTCGTGTTAACTGATTTATTATCAATGTAGGAGATGACAGTGATACGTCGGAAAGTAAAAATTAATAAATACATAATGTATAAACATATTTAAAAATACAGTTAATTTTATTTTAATGTTGATTTTGTTTTATTACAAATTATTAATAATTCCTCACTAAAGCATTAAGCAACATGAACGAGCCCTACGATTTGATACCAGTTGCAAGCGTTAGTGGGCGGAGCTAGACAGTTTTCTGTCCTTATCAGTATGTATGCAAATGTAAGACGGAGAAAGCGCTTTGCATGGTTCACTCCGTGAATAGAGTATAGTACCTATAGTATAATAACTGGCAGACGCACGGCGCTGCACGTGGCGGCGGGCACGGGGCAGGCGGGCATCGTGAGCGCGCTGGCGGGCGGCGGCGCGGAGTGCGGCGCGGCGGACGCGGCCGGCGACAACGCGCTGCACGTGGCCGCGCGCGAGGGCCACGCCGCCGCCGCGCGCGCGCTGCTCGCCGACACGGACGTTGATGCCGCCGCTACCAACTTGAAAGGTAACTGTGTGTGTGTGCGCGTATGTGTGTGTGTGCTTACACGCGTGTCTAATCAGAATAAATAATAAGTCAAGAAATGTAATTGCGTTAATAAAATGACCCAACAAAAGTCGTGTTCAAGTAGACAGTTGTCAGTAGAAAACTTAAATTTCCAAATTCATATATTCGGGGATTATAAAGTGGAATATTTAAATATGTATAATGTATATATTACAGAAACAATTGACACTCTTTTATAATTAAAATACATGTATTTTAGGTCGTAACCCGTTACACGAGCTGTGCTGGTGCAAGAAGGATAATGCAGCTACCATATGTGAAATTTTCCTCGAGTTTATGCCCGACTATCCAATTAATAGGACTGACTTGCAAGTAGGTACAAATTGAACTGTGTGACTGTTTATGAATTTCAGAAATAATATTATTTTAATTACTAATTATGATTGAAGTTTAATTTTAATCATAAAGGTTAACCGTAGAGTTAATTACTTGCATTTTAGGAACATCAAATATGTATTATTTGATCTGAAATATAATTATATTCAGACCATAGTCCACCACGCTGGCCAAGTGCGGGGACTATACATGTCTTTCAAAAACTTGTTAGATTCTCTCAGACATGCAGGTTTCTTCACGATGTTTTCCTTCACCGAAGACAAGTGGTAATCAAGAAGGAAATGATTCGCACATGAAAATATCAAGCGAGCACGCTACCACTGGGCTACCACTGCCTCTGAAATATAATTATGTAAGATTAATGAAAGAAAGCAGCCCCTTTCTTATAGCATAAAATATACCTACACGTTTTTTGCATGGCTTTTGAGAACAGCCTTTTAAGTTTCAACATGTATATATCGAAGTTTTGTTAATGAAAAGTATTTAATTTGTATGTGTGATAAGAATATTTTAAAACATAATCTAACATTTATTCTTCTTAGAAATTTTCAAGAACTTGTGAAAAATTTGTCATATAAAAATTAATATGAATACATTAAAACACAAGGGCAACACGGCTCTGCTGCTGGCGTACATGAACGGGCAGGGCGCGCTGTGCCGCGTGCTGGTGCGCGCCGGCGCCTGCCTCGCGCACGAGAACAAGGACGGCATCTCGATATTCAACTACCAGGTACATTATACTGTCTTTTAATGTTATTTTCTCATTAAATGTAATGAATATCTGTTATAAATATATAAAAAAGCAAATACGAAAGTATGCTATTTTAATTCATTGTTTTGTATATTATGAATATTTTCCAAACTCTGCTTTTTCGCCTTTTACTCAAACTTTTAAAGATTTATAATTTTAAATGTTTATAATGTAAATATAAATACGTTATGCATTACCTACAGTATTGATTTTTATTCCATGAATAAAGATCCATACAGTAGGTGGCCTTTGACTTAAAGTCTAAACGACAATCCCACGAAACCCTTTAATTTATCAAAAATACCGATTTTCATGACAAACAGTTTAAAAGTTAAACCCCTGTAGTACCATCTAGTGGCAAGTTACATTTATAGCTGTCAACCTTAAAAGTAATTTCCCGACTGTCATGTAAAAGAACCTCAACCGTGTCTTGCCAATTTCCTTCGTGCCTTCTCCATTCTACGTGAGGCGAGGTTACATTATTTACAGTATACATTACAATACAAGAACAGGCAAGTAATCTGTTCACAACTCGCACGCTTTGAAGCCATTAACAAGAAAATTGAATTGAACCGTGTCTCACCTAACACTAATGACAATGACTAGACGTGTTCCTTGGAAACCTGTATGGATTAGTAGTAGTAGTTAGAATGTAATATTGTTATAAGAGCATAGTCTATACATACATCTATACTAATATTATAAAGAGGTAAAGTTTATGAGTTTGTTGTAGGGGGTAATCTCTGGATCTACTGAACCGATTTAGATGAAATTTGGTAAGAAGATAGTTTGAAACCCTGGAAAGGAAATAGGATACTTTTTATCCCAGAATCATCACTTAAGGGGGTGAACATGGGGATGAAAGTTTGTATCGGGAAGCAAGCTAGGGACGAACCCGAGCGAAGCGAGGGTGAGTCGCTAGTACATACATATAACAAGATCTAACTAAAACCACGATGCAGGTGGCGACGAAGCAGCTGCTGCACCGGCTGCTGGACGCGCTGCCGGCGGAGGCGCCGTGGGCGGAGAGTGACCTCTGCCAGGAGTGCGGCACCAAGTTCACTCTCACTATGCGCAAGCATCACTGGTATTGCTGGCTTCCACTCTATACTGTGTTACTAGTTTTTTTTTAAAGTAAAACATTAACAATAAACATAAAATATATAAATTATTTCCTTTGTTTCAGCCGCCACTGTGGAAGAATGTTATGTAACAAATGTTCAAGCCAAGACATACCTATTCTTAAGTTTGGGATGAACAAACCACAACGAGTCTGCGAAATATGCTTCAACGTATTACAAGTCGGCGCCAGTTAGTTATAAATTTTGTTTAGGCAAAAATATGTGATAAGATAACAACAGTTCGGATATAAAAGGAATATAATTTTTGCTTCATAGTATTAAATTCTTTGCAACGTAGTACCGAACCACACTACAAAGTAAAAAATCAATTAACATTACAAATTTTATACGGAAATAAGTTCAAAATACAATTTTAATGGTAAATGTTGCCATAAACGAAAATCGGCGCAGTCTCAATATTTGGCTTTTTGTTTGAAAAATGTTTATACATTTTTATCCATGACTGAAGTTTATCGCTATAAGTATATTCTAAAAATGAACTACTTGTATTTGAATCATTTTTCGTTGTCACAATATTCACGTAGTTTCGAACAAATATTCTCTTTCACATTTGAAAATGCCTTAGTCATATACCTACGATATATGTCCAAGTTAGGATTACTTTAAATAATTTTAATTTTGAGACATTTAATAATAAACTTGTAATAGATAAGAAACATTTTTAATTTTTAGATATATTACGAATTTTAACTTCACGAATCTTTTAAATGGACTTACAAATAAATTGCATTACTTCTTTCATATAGAAGGAAAATAACTAATATTTTGCCAAAGCCATAGAGTGCTTTTATTTCTTTTGACTTTTATAGCTTTAAAGTTTAAGTAACTATGTTATTTATTAAATTTTAAAAAAATATTATATTTTTGTTAATAAAAATAGTTATTATTTTATTTTTGATAAACTTAATTAGGCAAGATAAAATTCTATCTATATTGATATTATGTATTTGCCTATTTATTAATTTTATTATGTAATATAAATATATAAAGCAAGATTTAAATTGCATTTGTTTATCATTCCAAATATATTTTAACAATTAGAAAAGAACTATAATTTTGTTATGAAAAAAATAATTTTGGTTTATGCAAAAAAAAATACATTTACATAAATATATCCTATTATTTTAGTTTTTCAAATTCTTACATTATGAATATAATGTCATTATTTATAAATCTATCGTTTTATTTTCCTACTAGTGAGTTACCCTCGCTTCGCTCGGGTGCGTCCCTAGGTACGTTTTTAATAGATATAGATAGTTATTACGAATGTACCTTAGGAGAAAAACTTACGCTATTGCAAATTTTTCACGACTCGATAGAACCAGTATTTATAAAAGATTTTTATGTAGTAAAAGGTATCCTAACCCACAAATCCATCTATGAGTCTGCCATATTGAAATTACACTTTTTACCATCTGACGGCCAACTCTACCACCGCGCCGCGCTCAGTGGTCAAATCAAATAGCGCGAGCTTCGACGACTTCCTGTTACTTCCGTCCCTGTTCACGAAATCACTCCCATAAATTGCAGGAGAGCAAGAGTAAAGATGTCACACATCGAAAAGGAAACTATATTCTATAACATTTCTTAACGTTCTTTTTGGTGCCCTATTGTGTGCAGTAAACAACGAATTTACGCTAGATTAATCACGAATCCAGTCCTACCTACGAATAAATAATAAGTCTATTTATTCGTAGGGTCCTACGGCAAATGAATGTCGATCATCCACTTACTAGTTAGTTACACCTTAAAGATACAAATTATGACTACACAAAATATAGTTAAAATCGGTTCAATACTTTTTGCGTGAAACGCACACATAGATTTCTCTAAGTTGCCGTTTTATTATATGCATATACTCTATTCACGGAGTGAACCATGCAAAGCGCTTTCTCTGTCCCACATTTGCATACATACTGATAAGCAGTGGCGGCCTTAGGGGGTGGCAAGCAGGGCAACCGCCCGGGGCCTCGCTCTTGTAGGGGCCTCGCGCCTTCGCATAACAACCCAAATGTATCAAAATCTCCTGCCTTACGCCGGACATTACAAAACCCATATCGCGCCAGTACAAGCATGTAGCGCTTAAGTCAATAAGCCATTAATATTAAATTTCACGTAATTGTAGTAATTATAGTAAAGAGTGAATTAGTAAAAAACTGCGTACAGCTTGTAATTTTTATTAATTTTATGTGCAAAAAATATTTTCTAATTGAGTTCGCGCTATTGTGATGCCCGTAGAAATATTGAGTTTGGTAGTTCAAAAAGGCATCAAGCCATCAAAAGAAAGCAGATAGAAAAAAATCTGTATGGGTCTGTATATAAATATATAAAAGGTCCTTAAGACCTTTCAGTGACTAAAAGTGACATGTTATTGCATTCTAAGCCTAAAGCAGCTGAAATAATATTTTCGACGTCGTCTGGAATGCCGTTGCTACCAAGCGATGATAATAGTAAGTAAACAACATCATCGTTACTCCACCGCCGCAGCCGTCGTCAGCACTATCCAGCCAGAAGTACGTATCTAAATCAAAAATCTTTAAGCAATTCCTTATGTCTACATCCATGAGTGGCGGGTTTTAAAATCTTATACTCCATATTTAAAACGACCCAGGTTTATGGCCATCTACAAATACTGATGCAAACCGAACTGAGATTTCATTGAAAGGTCCAATCCGCGCTAAGACAGATTTTTTTTCTGTAAACGATAGTGGACGGCGATTCAATGAATAGGTATCATTACAATAAAATATTAGCTTATGGCGAAAAATTGGACACTGGATGATTTATTCACAAACAAAACATGCCATTTACTTCTTCTATCGATTGTTCAAAATAGAATATAAAGAATTGGGTCCAGTGCAGAACTTTGCAATTGGAAGCACCTCGGTAAATATTTAAAGTTTCAGGACTTCGGCTGCACAAAGATTGTATTTTAAAACGGTTAAATTTAGAGAACGGATTAGAGAACGGATTAAAAAGCTGTACAACTATTGACTCTTTAGCCCAGAGGCTTTCCTTCATTGGCCGTCCAGAGTTAAGCGCAAGAGCCAAGTCCTTGAAAGGGTAGAAGTGCTCAATCAGTAAAATAACGGGAAAACCTACGAGCACTTGCGATGGTGAAACCGGTACACACTTCTCGATAACCTTAGCCGACCACACTGAGTTGTGCCCGAGGCGCTATGCCACTAGTGGGAGGCGAGTCACCGTCTGCCAAATATTGAATCTGAGGCTGTTGAGAAGGCATTCGGTACTCTCATCCAATAGCCCAGTTTTGTAGCCCATCCAAGCTCCATTCCATAGACTCTTTTAGTTTTCCATATTTTCCATAGTCCCTACGCATTGTCCGGACCACATTTAAGCAATTCCTTATGGGTTACTCAGAGGTGGATGCCGGCATATGCGGATATTAAACCTTTAAATCTCTGAAGGGGTCTCTACGTGTTGGACCCGTGTCCCCACACAAGCCTTCCAAACAACCGAGCTCCTTCGAGCTCGTGAATTCTAAAGAGCAGTGCCGGATTTAACCTTAGTGCCACCCCTGGACAGTATAAAAAATGTCGCCCTATTATCGTAACTTTGCATAAAATGAATACTTACGATAAAAATATTATATTTTTTTTGAAAAATGCAAAAATAATAATTTATAAGTGATATTAATTGTTCGAAAACGTATCTACTAGTTAATCTTTTTTAATTATTCATTTTTTGGGAAATAAAAAAAGCATTTTCGATAACGTGAAGACTTTTTTCCCCACCCTCCGAATTTTGCTGCCCCTAAAAATTTGCCGCCCTAGCTGCACTAGCCCAGAGGGCCCCTAGTGTGAATCTAGCACTGCTAAAAAGATACAAATAATGTTCACTATCTCTGAAAAATTATTCAAAATGAGTTAATAGAATCAATGGCAAGTCACGCAAAACCTAAAAATGTTGACAAAATAATTTTGTTTTCTTTGTGCTTGTTAACTTTTCTAAATTTCCAATATACAATTTTAAAACTCTAAATTTATTTATTTATAACTTTTACATTTCTCGTCAAGCATCATCATTAAAAATATTTTCAATTCACATAAACTTCATACAAAACAAGGGCCTCGCAATGGCTAAGGCCGCCCCTGCTGATAAGGACAGAAAACTGTCTAGCTCCACCCACTAAAGCTTGCAACTGGTTTGAAATCATAGGGTTCGTTCATGTTGCAAATGCTTTAGTGCTGAATTATTACCTAATAATTTGTAAAATAAAATAAAATCAACATTAAAGTAAAATTAAGTGTATTTTTAAATATGTATATACATTATTTATTAATTTTCACTTTCCGACGTATCACTGCCTTCTTCTACATTGATAATAAATTAGGTAACTACACGAGAGACGTCTGAACGGTACGGAATGCAATATGTAGCAATATACTCTATGGAATGCAACGACGGACTAATTATGACTTGCATTGTAATCGCGGACTAACTGTCTTATCTGCGCGAATACAGTACCTATAGATACATATTTGTCTTAACTTGTGTAAATGAGACAAATAACTCAAGGTTTTTATTCTTGCAGATTTATAAAATGCATTGCCATGAAATATAAACTTAATTTAAATTTAGGATTATACTAAACATAATTTAAAATAATATTATGTACTACTGCATAGATATCTGGATTATTTTTGAAAAACCATCCAATCATGAATACAAAATTAAGTTGATTAATTCAGTTGGCTTTCACACAATTTCTCTCATTGATGTAAAATGTACATGGACCTTCATATATGTACATATATTATGTTAATACTATAAATTTACTCTGAGATATTAATTTACTCTGAGATAGTAGAAAAATACCACTTTTATTAACACAAAAATAAATCGAATACCAAGAAAACATGTATTAACAAGCATTACAATTTTTAATTCTTTGGGACATCACCAGAATCACAATAAAATAGTAAAATAAGGATAATATTAAACAATGTTATATGTTTAATTAATAAGCACCATCATATTAGTACAATAATTTGCAACAGAATTTAAATGGTGTCAACTATTTACAGCTAATTTCTTAATAATAAGAGGATAATGCACAAAAACCACAATTAAATAATAAACTGTATCATTTATTTACAACAACACTTCCAGCACTGACCATATCACATTATTAGGTAAAATAATTTACTAATAAACTACATGCCGCCAAAAAAAATATTCTCTCATATTTTTTCTATTGAAGCAGATGGGTTCTTTGTTTTTTTAGATAAGGCGGGTTTAAAAATCTTTCTACAAAAATAAATCTACTTAAGCCTTTTAAACAGGTCTTTAGTGACACAATGATCTAGGATGTGCAAGTAGTCCCTCAATTCTTCTTCACAGGTCTCTGCAGTATTAGATCTGGAGTTAACACGGTCGTTGCATTCCTGATACTTAGACCACATGTTCTGAGCATCTGGTTTCTGGCCACATTGTTCCTAAAATAAGAGGAAATAAAAACATTAATGTAGGAATCTTATCATGAGTAGGTACTGAAATAATAAGATGCACTAAGCAAAACAAAACTTACGAAGTTAATTTACATAAACATATTCTTATTAAATGAGTTAAATTAATCTAAATCTAAATAATTTCAAGTGAATACTATATAAATCTATATTCTATATATTTTTTAAAATGGTTTTGGACTATATAAACAATCCAATGAGTGATGACATCTAATAATTGTCAATTGAACAATTAGATTTTTTGAGACATTTCTACTGTGAAGTATTTTTGTAGTTAAATTTTGTAATGATAAAATTATTATAACATTAGTCTTTTATGGACAAATAAATACATTAGTATGTATTATTTAGATGGTATAATAATGTAACATACCCATATGAAATTGAAGTTGACAAACAATTTTTTTTTAATCCGAGCTTAAGTATTTAGAAAGTTATGTTAGGTATCTAAGCTTTTGCCCACTTCGGTGGGCGGTGGGAGGTGGCCCTCTTCGGGGGGCGGTGTACCATGCGGGTTGCTCCTGGTACTTCTCTGACAGCAGAGTGGACTGTGGAGCAACCCCATGGTTGTGATGGTCTGCTTCGGCAGACCTGCCGTCGGGGCGTCGTAGTTGAATGCGTAAGCGATCCTGCGACGCCCCATTCAGACGGGGGAAGGTTTTGTTGGGTTTTAGTGGGTAGTACTGGCTGTATTACGCCGGTGAGTCCCACACTTCGTGCGTAAATGCATTTCCCAACGTTAAAAAAAAAAAAAGGTATCTAAGCTTAAGTTATGTATCTTTTTATTATTATATTGTTGACTAAAATGCTTAATGCAATTGTAAAGGAATGAAAAATATAAATTAATATACTATATTTATTACATACTCGTAATTGTGCCTGTGGATCGACGAGCTCTTCCTCCTCTTCTTCTTCAGCCCTAACCACAGGGATCACTTTTCCAGACATTTTATCTGCAATAATATGAACACAATATAAGAACAAATTACAAGTATCAATAAAATTATTTTTAAGTGTAAAATTAGAATAAAATAATCAAGTTTTTTAAATTATACCTAGATCGATGACGCAACAACCAAAATCGAAAATGTAGCACTAATATAGTCTATGTCGCCTAGTGTTCCATATGTAAAAAAATCTCTACGGCCTAGTCACCTAGTGTTGCTAGTTGCTACTTGCTGGAAGCTGCCCTTATTTGCATAGACTATAGAGATTAGCAACATATCATAAATGAAAAACATAATAAGTATCTTTATGGTATTTCGGCCAACCGTCGGGGCGTCGCGGTTGTATGCGTGAGCGATCCCGTGGCGTCCCAACCACGTATAAAACCAGTGCAGTAACCAGAATACTTACTGGTCACTGCAAACTCAATAAACATATGTTTACCCTCGGCCTCAGTCAGACCGCAATGTGCAGACTATGCCATGAGACAGAGGAAACTGCTATGCATATCCTCTGCTCGTGCGGTCCACTCATGCACCGCAGAAGTATCTATCTAGGGCAGCATATTATGCAACCGGAAGAGATACAGATGCTCCCCGCTCAGAAAATCTGGAAGTTCCTGGAGTCAACAGGACTAAGCGGAGAACTTTGAACTCAGTATAAAGGGAGCTACAATGGACCAAAACTGGTCGACGTAGCTAGGGCCGACCTCGGCACCACACCCAACATTAATAATAATAATAATAAAGGCCTTGGTGCACGCAATTCAGTAAGAAAAGTGACGTCGTTGTAAATCCAATATCCCGGACTCTTAAGTCTTAAGATGACGGAATGTTTTTTATGCATCCCCATGATATGGATATCAAATGAAATGATAACTGCTGAGAAAAATGCGAAAAAACGTAAAAAACATTAAAAAAGCTAAAAAAATTTTTAGAGCATTTTAATAAAGGCTGTTTTTCTTAAAGACAAAGAAGCGCGTCTTACGTGCGCACATAAGTACACACACATACTTTTTTCTTCCTTGTTGTGGCTTTGTTGAGAGCCGGAGTCCTGACTGATACAACTGTACACCTAATCCTTATTATTTTTATCACAGCTATTCCCTATGTAGCACTTTCTTATTTAAAACAACAATATTTTTTATAACTACAATAACAAAACAAAAATCTAGAATATTAACTTAAAATAATACAGGTTTTCACATTTTTCTAATACAATGTTGCTCATATCTTCTAAACGGGGAATGCGATTCTCATAATTGCAATTGCAATATTAGTCCTAGACCTATCTTTTGAGACTAAAATTAGTAAAATATCCTTACAAACAAAAAATCTCATTTTCAACTTACGTAAATATAATATAAAAAAATCTAACAACTTTTAAAAAAAAATTTAAATCATTTTTAAAAAAAAATTCAAACTTATTTCAGTGAGTCTAATTAGATTACAATAGTAAATCCAATTTAAGTTAAATAGTCTCAAAAGACATAGAGTAATGAGTATGTAACCTTTTTTGTCATAAGAGTAAAATAAACATAATAAGGTGAGATGTCAGGTGTTACACATCCTAAGCGACTACTGTAAGTGTAAGGCTCGCTCATATTTTAAATTTATTCTCTATCTGACGGCAAAACAATTTGTTATGTGTTTATCTTGTCATATTTAAGTACATAAAACTTAAAATTATATATATATTTTTTTATGTAACGATTTACAAAATTTTAAAAATTCAATCATAAATATGGTATCATAATTTAATTAATTAAAAACGTATGTAAATTATTACGCATTTTAAGAAGAAATCTGTTAAAAAAGTAATTGTTGAAGTTCTGGCATTTCCCAATAAGTGGCCATTATAGATCCATGATGAAGCTTTAAAAAGATTTATTTAAAAATATCTGGAGCTGGAGCCCACATGTGTAACTTCATATAGAAAGAAAGAAGTTTGGCACAGCGCACACACTCACACGAAGAAATTGATTTCATCTCGAACGAAATCCGATGGATACTTGAACTCGTCTATGTCAGCCTTTAAATAAAATACTAAAAATTAATAATATTATTTAAATCAAATAATAAATAGTAAAAACATGAGTTATAATATGTAGTGATTTATTAGCCTCTTCATAATATTTATAACAATTTAATTATACTAATGTATACTTATCCTAAGAATTCCTACTGACTACAATATTTTGTATGCTATTTTAATTACAAGCTACCAAAATAAAAAATATGCTTTATGGTACAATGTTATCTATATAGTCAAATCAGCATCTTATTAATTGTTTACTTTGTTATAAATAAGTTTAAAAATATAAATTAACTCGATTATTATATTTTTCGCTGAAAATTAATACATTTGTATATCATGAATAAAGGATAATTAATTTTATGTTGGATGTGTGTTACATTTCATCATAGTCGAGTAGCCGTCACCATGGAGAGTGCTTGCTGTAAAAAAATATTTTTTATTCGAATATCATTGTGTTAGCTTAGTAAATATCGTTTTTGTAAAATATTACTTCAAGTAAAATTGTTGTATTTTTAAAGCTATATAATGTTATTTTATTACCTTATTTGATTTCTCTTAAAACAACAATTTTTTATTTTTTAACATATTGTTTTAATAACATTTCAGGTTTGTTTTTTAAATTATTGAGATAATTACAATAGTTAAAACTAATCTTAAATGTTAGCTCTCTAAGTTTAAGCATTATGCCTGAATGTTTATTAATAAAATATGTAATTTTAAGGTTATGTTTAATAAAACATTATTTGTTATTTTGTTTTTCAGAATGAATGGAGGAATGGAGCACAAAACCCCTGGACATAACGCAGTGCTTCACAAAGCACCCAAAAACTATAAACTGTTAATAGATCCATTCCTTGTTAAGGGAGCAACTAAATTATATAGATATGATGGAGTTGTTCCTGGAGATCCATCATATCCTCCTGTACAATGTAGGGATCCGAGATCTCAACTTTCGAGAATATGGAATAAGCTAGAACCCGCAGATTTACCAGTCCCAAGGTATAAAAATATTGCTTTGATGTATTAATTAATAAGGTTACAATTATTTGACATTATTAATAACACAATAAATCATAGGTTTATTTTTAATTATACATTATATAGTTGATTTATCAAAATTGTAGTTGTACATGGACTTACTTTAAAGTTAAATATCATTTTAATGTTTTGTGGTTGTATGATGTACTGAATTTTATCTTAATATTAGTCTCTTTATAATTCTTATCTTGACAAATTCTATTATTACATATATTCTATATTCTTTACAATATTAGCTAAATTATGCTTAATACTAGCAATAAATATATACTTGCTGTAAGATTTGGTTATAATCTCCTTTCACCTTTGTTTTTATTATGCCATTAGAATCACTTCTACCAACACTATAATTTGACAGATGACGGATGGCGGGAATTTTAAATTTTTAATTATTTTCAGATTTAAAATAGACAAAAACTATGTAGGTGTACCTCCACAGCTAGAAATAACTATTGGAAATCTTAATGATAACATTGACAAAGCCTTTTTAACCGAAATGATGAATAAAGTTGGGCCTTGTGAGGAATTAACAATATTTTACCATCCAATTACTAACAGGCATTTGGGATTTGCACGAATTGTATTTCAAGATGTTAAATATTCTAAGATATGTGTTGAAAAATATAATGGCAAATCTGTTATGGGTCAGGTGTGTATATTAATTTACCCAAAATTGTAAATTTATGAAAGAATTTCTTTTTTTATGTGAATGCGATATATTTTATGGATGTGTAATATTTATTTTATAATATAAGTATATTTTAGGTACTGGAAGTATTTCATGATCCTTTTGGAAAGAGATGTCAAGAGATATTTGAAGAAAAAACAATGGAAAGGAAACCACAACCAGCTACATCAAGTGTGAAAGTACCTGGCATAATGGATGATATACGAGCTCCAAAATTAGACCCTTCACTTAGTAAGAGATTAGAGGATACTAAAGTGACAGAAAAGGTTTGTCTTTAATCTGTTTTCTTTTGTTTAAGATAGTAAAATAAGTTACAGTGAGAGATCTCATTCAATTATTATAATTTTTTTTTGTCATCCAATTATAAGTGCACCAGAAATACACAGGTTGAAGCTAGGTGCACATATAATTCTAATTAACATATTAATATTTTTATAAATTTACACATGTAAAACTGGGGTTTTATGAAAATCTAGTATAATTGTAATATAATATTGGTAATGTAGTAACTTAACTGCCTCGGTGGTGTAGCGGCTAGCATGTACGGCTGCACACCTGGAGGTCCTGGGTTCGAGTCCCGGGTCGGGCCAAGTTTAGTTATTGAGTCTTTCTGTATAGAAAGACTCATTAATAGCCCGGAGTTGGGAAGTTGGCGGTGTTTCACCCCCGTGCCTCGGAAAGCACGTAAAGCTGTCGGTCCTGCGCCTTATCTCTCACCGGTCGTGTCGAGTAGTCGTCCCATCGGAGTATGAGAGTGACAGGAATAGAGAGTGCACTTGTGTCTGCGCGTACACTTGAGCACTATAATATCTCCTGCGCAGTTGGCTAGTCTCAATGAGTTTGGCCGCCTTGGCCGGAATCGGTCAGGAGAACATCATCATCAATGTAGTAAAAAATATTTACACACACACACAGTAAATAGTTATTTAAAATAGTTAATTTAGATCATATACATGTTATATGGCTATTTAAATTGTTCTGACAATAGTAAAGTTCAAATAATTGTTAATATTCTTTTGTCTGTCTGTTTGTGTCCGATATTTTCTGGAACAGTGTAACTGCCTTTTAAAAGGGCTTTTACTGGTATTAATAATAGATGCTTTAGGCAAGAGTACAGATAATATACAGCATAGCCTATTTTAATACATAGAAAACAGAAAGATTCCTGTGAAATAGGGAACAGAAATTTTAAAACACTTATAGAGTAGTATTACATAATTTTATTTATGATAATATAAAGTTTGTGTGTGAGACCATCATACTATAAGAGCTCAGTGAATTTTGGCTGCTTTAAAAGCTTCTTAGATTAACACATAGGCTACATTCAATGTATCTACATGGGAGTGAAGTTGCAGACAAATACTAGTCAGACTATTTGTTTCGTTAATTACACTAATTTGAAATATTACAACAAAAAAAAAATATTTTCATTTTAGGATCCCTATGCTCGCTACAAAGATATAGAACACAATGATAGTAATTCCCGTTGGTCTGATGAAGAGAGAGAGTACAGACATCGCCATCGTAACCGTGGTGAGAGGGACAGAGACATAGATAGGGACAGGGATAGAGATAGAGACAGAGATAGGGATAGAGAGAGGTAAGTTGGGATAATACATGTATAACAAGATGATTTTTCTTTTTGTGGCCATTATAATTTATTAAATGCAAAATGATATATATAGAGTATATAATTAGATAGAGGTGAAAGTAGACTATTATTATGAGCACTGAAATTCAAGTATTAATAATTCAGATATGTATTGTATCTGAAATCTGAATATAAAAAAAAAACCTTTTCATTCATGTGTGGTGAGCTTATTAAAGCTACAGTTTATGCAGCCTTGGGTTCGACCCCTGAGTTGACCAAAAAAGCTATTGAGTTATTCCGTCAAGAGATTCTCTGTATCGGCATAGTCTAGCCCGGAGATGACAAATATGCGGTGTACATATATAACATCACTGTGCCTGAAAAAGTAAGGGAAGCTTTCCCGTACCTGATCTCTGACTTTGGCGATGTATGGAGAGTATTAGGTTGAAGTCGGCACATGCCAGCATTTTAATATCTGTATAATTGTCTAGTTTTGTTAAAATTGACTAGTATACGGAATCGTTTAGAAGAATATTATTAATATGTTATGTATGAAAAATCTTTTTTTACAAGCCGTCATTGTAAAAGGAAATGTAAACGGAGGTATTTATTCTACATACATTTTTTAATTAATGTAGTGATTGTTTAGTAATATGTTAGGTACTTCCTACTGTTTAAATGTTTATTTTCTCTTACATAACAGAGACTGTCTGACTAGTTTATTATTAGATAATTTGTTTTTCTTTAAATAAATTTTACTTATTTATATTTATTGTTTTAATTATTGTATCTTTTCTTTGTATGAGAGCCACTATTGAGTTTTCGACTACTTATTTTCCTTTCCGAACCGGTGGTAGCGTCTTTACGGACAAAAGAATTACGTTTTAATATATATAATTATTAAATTTCTATAAAATATATTTTAATTTGATTTATTTCGCGTTTGTTATAGTACTAGTGTACATGTTTTCTTGAAGTTTTAGCAGTTGTAAATTTAAAAAACAAATATATCCGAAGCTACCTACTGTAATGTATTATAAAATTTGATACAGTAGCACGCAGCAGCGTAAAATATAAGCGTACCATAAAAATTGCGTTCCACATAAACTTTTATCACATTAGTTTATTCATGCTCGATTAGCAAGTGAAAAGTGAAAATCTTTATATTGTTAAAGTACATATAAGTTATTTTTAATGAATTGAATTAAAATACCATAAAAATGTTTTCTCCTGATAAATTGTTGAGGTAATAATATTAACTAAGCCTCGTACGTAGAAATTAGAGATACGGTTTTAGTTACCATCTTTTAAACAAACAGATGGAAAATAAAAAACACTAATTAATATGTATCTTTTTATACTCGTATGTATAAAAGTGATATATGTATATTTTTTATAAATCTCTTTGGGTATTTTATGTAGGCACAGGGAGAGATACAGCAGAGAATCGAGCGAGACGTACGCGAGCGCGCACGTGGCGGAGATGCCGTACACGCCCGCGCCCGCGCCCACGCCCATGCCCTACGACCCTTACTACCAGCCCAGGTGAATATTTACATTACATACTAGCGACTTACCCTCACTTCGCTTCGGGTTCGTCCCTAGACAAAATCAAATCTATCCCACGGGAACTGTACAGTTTTCCAGGATGATGCGCATAGCCTTCCTCAATAAACGGGCTATCTAATGCAAAAAGAATTTTTCAAATAGGATTCGTAGTTCCTGAGATAAGCGCGTTGAAACAAAAAAACAAACAAACTCTGCCTCTTTATAATAATTAGTATAGATTACACTTTCAACAAAGTTAGCTGTTTTGAATCTCATTTTAAATTTTACGACGTAGACAGGGACAGCAGATGTATAGACGTTTAATATTTTTGTATGTTTGTGTGTATGAAATTCGAATCGAACTATGAGGAATAAAGAAATATATGTACCTATGTATAGTTTTGTATAATGTGATTTTTAAATCACAATACATCAGTGTATAAATAAGGAAGTATTTAAGTAAAGATATAAGTAAGGAGCTAGAAAATATATCTTAATACTAATATTTATTAAATATAAAATATTTATTAATTACAACTATACCTATATACAGGAGGCTTATCGATGTTAATAAAAATGCTATCAAGTGCTGTAAATGGGTTCTCAATAATACCAATTTTCACAGCTAATTCATTATTGAATTTACTGACAAAATTTACGTAAAAAATAAATCAAAATTAGATGTAAAATATATATTAATTTATATATGTGTAAATTTAAAATATATTATATACGTTTGTAAGTTACGGGTACGGATACGGCGGCGGCGCGGGCTCGGGCCTGTGGTGGGGGGACTGGCGCCAGCCGCCGCACGCCTCGCACCATCACCACGTGAGTATATTGTTATCATTTATTTACTTATTCTTATTTACACACTATTTTCGTTTTGGGGTACTAATAGAATGTGTTTTCTTATTTCGTTGTTTTATTATGGATGACCATTCATAATGTGCCAGAATCGAACCCTTGATTTCTGTCACAGTAGGTCAGTTATAGTATACATGTCCTACTGTTAAGATGAGTTTTATTGTTTATTACAACAATTAAAAAATGTAGAATTAATAATAATTGTTACACAATTTGAGTGTTACATCATTTTTAATAAGTTAATTGTTGAATATAACACCTACTAACAAGATATATCATAACCATTTCATGCTTTTATTCATCCATTGATCATTTGTGTAGTTGTTTTGTGATCCTTATATTTCACTAATTTTACGACTTATATTTATTGATAAACAAACGCTAAGGGAATATTCTTACTTTTGTTAATAAATGTAATGGTAAAGACTTTTTAAAATTGCAATTTATGATGTAAAACACGGGCATAAGTGTAAGCTAAAAATTGGTACATATTTGGCATAAAGTCGGAGTCATCAAGTGCTTGGAGCGGGCGAGATCCCTCGCCCCGCGCGCCGCTCACGCCCGCTGCGCCCGTCACGCCCGCGCCCACGCCCTCCCTCGCGCCCGCCCACGCGCCCGCCCTCGCGCCCGCCCTCGCGCCCGCCCTCGCCCTAGCGCCTGCCCTCGCCCCCGCGCTCGCCTCCGCCCACACGCACAATGACAAGGTTCGACTAGTCTTTCGCCCTGTTTACACATATACAGTTTTCGTGTGAACAGTACCTAGAACAGTCCAGTAGTGTAAGCCTATGAACACTTTCACACAATGTCTCGACTGTGCTTTGACGCCTACTACATTACTGATTTGGGTAGTTGACACCATTACCCATTATTAATTATAAGCTATAACTCCTATATACACCCGATTGAGTTTCAATAAATAATTTAGTCAATTGAGTTGGCAAATCACTGGCATCACTAATTGTTATTGACACACAAGCAGAGTATATCAACTTGTAGGTGGTGTCAACTATACAATTATGATGGATCCGTTTACATGAAAACTGTATATGTGCGAAAAGTGATGTGCACACCAGTACACTTATGTAGACATTAATTAATAAACGGTTACTTATATTAGTTGGAACTCTGATTTAAATTATTATAATTGTTTGGTTTATAGTTATATTGTAGTTTTTGTGGCAAATAATTGATCAAGTCGGTTTACTCAATCTCTCAGATGTTAAAAGTATTAAATCTTGTGTGTGATATCATGCATGTCTTGTACATTATATTTCATCCTCATTATCTTTATATTTGTTTTGTTTGTTTATGATATATTGTTACAATTATGTGATTTTTACAAAACGCATGTTTGTGTCTTGTTGTTGTAATTGTTAGTTTCGAACTAATGTATAATCTTTAAAATTGAATAATAAGCACTTTTTTCTTGCACAACCTTTGTAAAACTATAATAAGCATGTTGTGAATAATGTAAAATTGATATTAAAGAAAAATAAAACTAAAAGTGGATCATGTTTACGTAATAATAAATTATGACAGGAGGTGAAAAGTAAAAGTGAAGAGCCAGTGCCGCCGCAGGAATCGGCTGTAGTGAAAGAACCAGAGCCAAAACCCCCTCCACCTGCCGAAGAGCCGAAGAATGTTGATTTGGACACTAGGTATGATTACTCGCATTGAATTTGCCTTATACATAATATACAGATATATAGTACAACATTAACTACACAACTAAACCCTTTAATCCATATAGAGAAATAATTGTATGTTTTGTAATAATCTAAATATCGATTTGAAATTTCGCTTTTAATTCAATTTGTTTTGTTAATGGCTTCAAAGCAAATTTCTTTTTAAACTGATGTTTTCTCAAAGTTTTTTTCAAAAAGGAAGATTTACTCAATTCGTTTGTAATTTTTTAGAGTTATATTACTTAATAGTTAATATCTTAGCGATTTATTACCATTTATGGATCGAGTTTCATTTTTTTAAATAGTAGGTAAAATATATTTCACCAATATTTACCTTTTAGTGATATTTAGTAAAAATACCGCTTTTAGTTGTCCTTTTTAAATTTTCCTCTACTTAAAGATTGTCTGGGAAAGACCGCTGATTTAACGATACGGTCGCCCTTTCCTTTAATCTTTGTAAATTAAGAATTATGTTTACACATAGGCGTCTATTATATAGACTATTATATAGCTTTTTATAGTAAGTATCTATAGATACTTACTATAAAAAGCCAGAAGTAAAAACTTATAGTATAATAATATTCTAAATGTGAAAGTGTGTTTGTTTCTTTGTCCTTCTTTCACGTTTAAACCGGAGTGACGGATTGGCTTGAATTTTTGTGTTGTGATAGTTTGAGTGCTGGACTTTTCACCGCTTGAGATCATCTAATTCCCATCGGAAAACACGTTATAATACAATCCAAAAAATGTTTATGATCAGAATTACTTGAAACTTGGTATTAATGCTCTTCAATAAAATTAATTAAATACGTGTTTTAGCATTTTTCGAAATTCATCCTATAAGGGGGTAAAATAGGGGGTGAAAGTTTATGTGAAACCTATCTTTTTAGGGATCTTTTGTAATTTTAGCGCGAGTGAAGCCGCGGGCTCTGCTAGTAGTATAATAAAAACATTGTTCGGTCCAGAATCGCGATGCTACTAAAAGGCGCGAGCGGCGGCGGCGGGCTGGCGCCGCCCTTCCTGTCGCTGGGCATGTCGTCGGAGGAGGAGGACGACCAGCGCCTGCCCGCGCGCATGCCCGACCTCGACGCGCACCGCCTGGCGCCCTCGGACGACGAAGGTACGCCCTACCACACTGTACCCATCTACACTAATATTAGAAAGAGGTTAAGTTTGTGAGTTTGCGACGTTGTAGGGGGTAGTCTCTGGATCTACTGAACCGAATTATATGAAATTTGGTAAGAAGATAATTTCACCCTGGGAAGGACTTAGGTTACTTTTTATCCCGGAAATCATCCTTTAATTTAAGGGGTGAAAATGGGGATAAAGTCGCTAATTTATTTATACACTCATCTTTATATTATATAATAAAATTCTAACTGAGTTGAATCTGTATAATAAATATTTTTTGGAAAATCTTATCGAAATAATCATTATTATTGATACAGCGGCCGAATCTATAGTTTTTAGATTTTTTGTTCTGTCTGTCTGTGGCCGCATCACGAGCAAACCACTGAATAGATTCTTATGAAATTTAGTATAATGACGGCTGGTTATCCGAGTCAATATATAAGATACTTTTTACTGTGGGAAAGTATCTCATCTTTGAGAAATCTAAAAACTAAACTTTAAAACATAATTAGGAACGAACCCGAGTGGAGCGAGGGTGAGTCGCTAGTTCATTTATATACTTGTGTATATACATTTATTTACGGAACGAAGATTTCATTCATTTATTCGTGATTTTTATTATAATTTTTTTGCCGGATTCGTTTTTGGCATGTTCGTTATGAAAGTGCAAAATTAACTTCGGTCGGACCGAAGGTATGAATGAAATTCATTAAAGCGAATAGGAAAAAGGTGGTGAACTGAAATATAAGTGAATGATTGAGGTGAAAGGGGGAAATGTACATAGTGTGACGACGCATGATGTATGAGTGGAATAAGATCAAGAACAAGAATTGCAAATGAAATAAAGTAATAAATACCTTACAGCTAATCATTTTTTTATTTTTTTTTCCTTATATAGTCTTAAAGGTTTACCATAATAGAAAAAAAATGTATAATGCGTTTAATTTAGATATTTATATAGTTTCAGGCAGCGAAGACAGAGAAAGCATAATATCTTTTGAACAAAGAAATGAAGTAGACCCTGAGCCCTTATCGACCACACCCTCCCCATATCTGAGTAGAGAATTTTACCTTGAGTGCCTGAAAATTACTGTAGAAAAGGTAAAGTGTACATTGGAATATAACTGAGTTATTTATTTTAATATTATGTATTTATAGAAATCTAAATTAAAAAATATGTATTCTGTACAGAAAGCTAAAGAAGAAGAACGCAAAAGAATGCCTCCAATAGATAAGATCGGATCAGATATATCGTCCTCTGAAGATGAGCTACTGACAGGAGAAGAGCCGAGGCGCTCGCCCGCGCCGCTCGATAAAGACCAAGATAACTTAGATGACGACCAAGTGAGATTTCTATGTTATTTTTAATCTATACTAATATTATAAAGAGGTAAAGTTTGTGACGTTGTAGGGGGTAGTCTCTGGATCTACTGAACCGATTTAGACGAAATTTGGTAAGAAGATAGTTTGAGACCCTGGAAAGGAGATATGAGTGAAAATGGGGATGAAAGTTTGTGTTGGGAAGCAAAGCAATTTGTATTGGGGAGCGAAGCGAGGGTGAGTCGCTAGTTAATAATAATTCCAATTGTTCGGAAGAATAAGTAGGTGGACGGGTTAAAAAGAATCCACATTAAATTCAAATATTTGTTTAATTAGTATTTTAGAAAAATGTATAGACAATTTATAATTTGGACATGACATGTATAGCGCGCGCGTGGAGCAAAAGGTGAAAGGTAATTAATTAGCAAGTAGAACTGCGCCCGGTGGTGGGGGCCCGTAATGTCTATGTGTGCATAGATGTAGGATACAAAGCTTGTTATCGCTTTGCAGACGTAACGGCGATAACACTAATCATAAACAAAGAAAAAGGTAAAAGGCAGAACATAAAATTTAGTCGTAGCTAGCTACAAAGGCATTCACTAGGTTCTTGCAACACTAATGCATCGTTAAGAAAGGCTAGGAAAGAGAATACTGAGGAAGATGATTTAGGGATAGTAGTTACGCGTCCGCTAATGTTTTATTATATTTTATTAATACAATTATTTATTTTATTTGTAATTATTATTTACTCCGGCTCGAAGGACCAAGTTGAAACTTTATCAAAATAATATGTTACCGCAGATGTCTCTATCGTCGCTGTCGTCGACGGAGGCGAAGATAGAAGAGCAAGTGCCGGCCGAGGCGTACTACTACCCCCCGGCGCCGCACCCGCACTACTACCAGCCGGTGTGGCCTACCACAGGTATGGATTGAATGTTGATAGTAAATAAATAAATAAATATGTTGGGATATTAACAAACATCACCATCTAGTTCCATGGTAAGTTACGAGACTTGTGTTATGTATACCAGATAGTTGATATACTACAACAATAATGTAACTTTAAATGCATATACATTATAAATATAGGACCCATGACTGGAGTATAAACATTCGTGTTCATCACACAAATGAATGCCCCCAGCGGGACTCGAACCCGCGACCGCGGGAACAGCAAGCAGGGTCACTACAAACTGAGCCAATCGTGTCGTCAAATAGTGCTGTTATTAATAAAATGGACGTTGTTTAATGTTCTTTACGAAAATGTAAAGTGTTATAATAAAATGTGTATGTAAGCTTTGTGTCTATTTTATTGTAATACATTAGTAATCTAAAGGGCTTTAACACTTAGAATAAATATATGTATTATTAATTGACTGGCATATATAAAATCAAAACATACCGTAGCGCTTTTGCTTTGTTGAGTCTCGTTTCATTTATTTTAATAAAGGCTCAACAAGGAATATATATTCAAAATTCTTGTTGAATATTACAATGTGTTTGTGTGTATATGTGCGTGTGTATATTTATCCATTCATCATCATCATCATTTATCCATTCATCCATTCATGTTGAAACGGATGATATTGGGGATACACAAATTGACTAGGCCTGGAGTGCGTAGAATATGAGGTTAATTGAAATGAAACGGATATTAAATTGGAATGAGTGTAATACTCGTATATACATAAAATAATTGTCACGTGTCGGTCGCAACCCGCAGCGTACCCGGCGGCGGCGACGGCGTACCCCGGCGTGGACATGCTGGCGTACGGCGCGGGCGCCTTCGCCGCGCCGCCGCTGCTGCCGCACTACGCGCCGCACGCCGACCCGCACGCCGCGCACCAGGTGCTCTAGTTACTCCCATTGATTTGTTATAGGTTTTAAGTGAAGTAATAATAAAAGTACAAGATTTTTTTTAATGTTCGTAATCAATCATCGAAGTTAATATATACTACATACAAAGAGTAAAAGTCATACTAATAAAAAGTACATGTACGATGGTACGGAACCCTTCGTGTGCGAATTCGACTCGTACTTGACCGATTTTTTATTATGTTTAAAAAAAAACGAAAACTGTAACAACTCAAAACGTTTGTGATGGGCTATTGGAATAAAGTGCCTACTTAAAATAGTGTGAACCTGATTCAATTCAACCTGAAGCAGTTAGTAATACGAATTATAAAATAACAAAAGTTTATAATCCAATTAATAAAAGCATACTTATAATAAGTGCAATGCAATTTTAAAACTCACAGATACAAATTTTCTTTTTAGGAATTAGACAACCCGTACTATCCCACAATAAACAGTGTAATAGAACGTGTTACAACAGAGTTAAAACAAATTCTAAAGAAAGATTTTAATAAAAAAATGATTGAAAGTACTGCCTTTAAAAACTTTGAAGTGTGGTGGGACGAGCAAAGTCGGAAGACGAGACAAACTGTTAAACCTCAGAAAGAAGAAGCGGGACAACCATTGCAGGTATATGTTTATTTTCAACCGACTTCAAAAAGGAGGAGGTTCTCAATTCGACTGTATTTTTTTGTTCTTTTTTTTATGTTTGTTACCTCAGAACTTCGTCATTTATTAACCGATTTGGACAATTTTTGTTTTGTTTGAAAGGGTATACTTCCAGATTGGTCCCATTTAAATTTCAAAAAAAATACCACCCCTAAGGGCGGAAAAATAGCTAATGATGGATTTAGCCTACTTCTAATTATCATATTGATTTGAAACTTTGCAAGTGTTTCTATTTCCGTTGATAGTACAGTGGTTCGGTATTGTTGACTTGATCTGATCGTAAGGCCAGAAGGTGGATAGGTGGAACTCTTCAACGGCTAATAGTAGATACTTTGAGTTTGGGCTTATTTTGTTTGATTCGACAAGCCTAACACGTTAGAATTCTTACTTTGCTACTACTGTCTACACTAAAAAGGGAAAAATAAAAACTTTTTAACAAAAAAATAAAAACCGACTTCAAACAAAAGCACTAAAAAGTAAAAAATAACTGATTGGTAGTTTTCATTTACTATACATACCTAATCAAATATTTTCGAAGTCGGTGTGCTTTGCCTTGTATGGGCTGGCATCGATTTCGAAAATATTTGATTAGGTATGTATTTAATAGATAGGCTTTAATTACTTAGCCAAAGCACACCGACTTCGAAAATATTTGATTAGGTATGTATAGTAAATGAAAACTACCAATCAGTTATTTTTTACTTTTTAGTGATTTTGTTTGAAGTAGGTTTTTATTTTTTTGTTAAAAAGTTTTGTGTCGATATTCTTAACTTTACATTTCGTAATTGAATAACATTTCTACAACTTGTTAAAGTTTATTAAAATAAATATTAGATTGTTGTTCAATCTAAATAAAAAGTTCGTAATATATTTACTTGATCTCTTTATAAAAAGTTATAATTATCATAGAATTATAAATAATAATATGAAAGGCTATCATATGTTTAGTTTACATCTGATTATGTGTCAACGTTGTTTTAAATAACAAGTTTAGAATCCATAATTTTGAATGCATTTCAGGATATCTCAAACAAAAAAGAGGAGACAGTGGACTCTATAAAATCTATCATGGAATCTCGGGAACTAGGTCTAGACCTAGGCGGGTACAGTGTCGGCATCGGTCTGGGCCTGCGCGCCACCATACCTAAAATGCCTAGCTTTAGAAAGAAACGGAAAATACCTTCGCCTGTAGTTATGGATGAGGACTCCTCTAAACGACTTAGTGACCAGGTACGAATATTCAAAGGTGTTTAATAATAATCACAATAAAGAAAATTATGTATAATATTCTTGTGTAGTATAATTTCTTCATCGACAAAATAATTGTTTTTAAGGTTATTTTTGAATCGATGTATTATTTTTATAACATTTTTTTGTTTGTATAGGAGGAAATTGTGCAGAACTCAGATGAAGAAAAAGAGGTGCCCACGAGTCCTAGAAATAGAACAACCGGATCATATTTATCGACGGGCAGACGGCGACAATCCAGCAGTTCGTCCAGGTTTGTAGTTTATATATTTTGAAATTATTTAATAAAGTATTACTACAGTATAAAAATTAATACAGTAGGTGTTCGCCTTTGATTTTGATGGAAATGCTCTTAAATGCAAGTACTGTTAAAAAGTTTAAAATACAAATTTTTAAGGTGAATATTTTCGATGTTGAAGTACTGTAGTGCCACCATACGTGCAAAGCTACAGCTTATCTGACAAGCGTTTCCCGCCTGTAATATAAAATTATGCATGAGTCGGGCGCGCCTCACCCCTCGCCAACAAACTACTCAAAAAAACTAATATGATAAAAAAACATACAAATTGTATAACAATATAGTACAGACAAATAATATCGCACAAAAGCAATATGAATTTATCTATACTATATATAATATTATAAAGAGGTAAATTTTGGAGTTCGTGACGTTGTAGGGGGTAATCTCTAGGTCTACTAAACCTATTTAGATGAAATTTGATAAGAAGATAGTTGGAGAACCTGGGAAGGATATAGAATACTTTTCATCCCAGAAATCATCCCTTTAGGGGGTGAAAATGGGGATGAAAGATTGTGTGGGGAATCAAGCCAGAGACGAACCCGAGTCGCTAGTTTAATCTAAAGAGAAATAACATTAAAGTATACATATAAATTGATGTTGTGTTTTGTACTGTTTGCAGGTCTTCCTCGTCGTCGTCGTCGCGGTCGTCGTGGTCGGGGTCGGAGCGCTCGGCCCGCGTCGGCAAGGGCGCCGCGCCGCGCATATACTCCGACACCGACGACTCCGAGCTCGACGAGGCTGAGGTACGCCCTAAACTGATTTACTCTACCTATTTAGCTTAACATTGTTATATATTATATGAGTAACTAAACTAATTCATGTTTTATCTCAAGTTTTAATTACGTTTATTTTATCTCCTAAATCGTATTTTTTTTTCTAAAATTAAAGTCGTCTAAGTTACTCCTTATGACAATGATGATGAGCTATCTGCCGGTTTCAGAGATTAGTCGGAACAAACAGACAGACAAACATTTTAAAAATTATGTTTTTCTTATAAGTACCGTATATAATTTCATATGCGTTCAATTAAAAGCTCTTATTTCGACATTACAATTAGACACTTCAGTTTTATTTAACTCAATAGATATCATACCAAAATATATGTATTAACATAGCTCTTTAATTTTATTTCTTTATTTTGTATTTATTACAGTTCAAGGTTGTGTCAAATAAAGAGAGGCTAAGAAGAGTATACTCGTCGTCGTCAGACAGTGAAGAGGAACAGAGGAGAAGAGGTACAATTAATTCATTAGTCTTATTTTAATAAAAAATATATAACCTTTATATATGTTGAATAAATATGTTTGGTTCCATCTCAAAATATTTTAACGTATTTTTTAAGAGTTTAATGGGTGAAACCATGACAGTGTACTGTTTTTTTTATTCGTTCAGAAAAAACGCCCATACCTCCGGTGGAAGCGTCGGATGACCGGCTCGGTTCACCAATATTGTCTCCAGAAGAAGAGCCTAGAGATCTGTTGCTGGATCGAGTTTACTCGGATTCAGAAGAAGAAAGGGAATACCAGGTTAATATTCCTGTTTTTATCCATCGTAATATGCATATTAATTAAATAAATAATCATCAGATAATAATTAAAATAAAATTTATTTAAAGTCAATATTAAAAGAAGAAATATTAAAAAAAAGTCAATATTTTCATTCAAATAAGGATTTAAAGATTTAAAGATTTTTATTGAACATAATAACATACATATTAAAAACAGTTAGATCGTAAGTAGCTGCATTAGTATAAACTGTGTCGCAGCTATTTACGCCCAATTCGGGACAATAAGGACAGTTATGTTCTAAGGTTAGTACAAATACATTTTTAGGGTGTATTAGCAGAATTAGTTACTATTGTAATTATGTTAATTTAGTTTAAGCTTATATTTGTTATTTAGTTTAAGCTTATAATATATAATGTGTAGGAGAGGAGAAAGCGAAATACAGAGTACATGGAGCAAATTGAAAGGGAATTCTTAGAAGAGCAAAGACGCACAATGGAGGTGGATACCGGACAGCAATCTGATAAACCACCAGATCAAAGGTATTAAGCGTATAGTATTAGTCATGTTATTAATAAAAAAATGATCATTTATTCACGCGATATTAGAATTTAATTACAATTAATCGTGCATCATAAATCAGTGTTAAATTATTTTCTAGTAAAACTGAATCAAAGCAAGAAGATTCAAGAAGTAGTCCAGTCAAGAACCATTTGAAATCGCCCGAAAAGAGTAAACCAGAAGCTGACGTGGAAGATGGTGAAATTAGCTCAGAAGAAGAGCCTCTGGAGACCAGACGGAAGAAGGATCGGCGGCAGAAGAAGAAGCAGGACAAGAGGCAAAGGATTGTGTCTGTCAGTGACCATAGTTTCACGGAGTCCGCTGTTAGTGTCAATGGTGTTAAAGAGGTATGTTTGCAATCAAGGAGTACTGTTAAAGCATACATACAATATTTTATTTAGGAATAGAAATAATTGTATTCAGTCAAATAAATGATCATCTGTTTTAATAATAAAAATTGCACGTCTTACATAAATCACGAGGTATTTTTTTTAATTGAGACATTTTTGAATCACTTATTTGATTTCTCCATGATTTATTATAAATTTCTTACGTCTCACGGGATATATTTATTGTATTAGGACAAAACGAATCCTATTGTTCTCAGTCCTATTAATTTCTATGATAAATCATAGCGAACTATTGCTTCGTTTTATTGTAAAAAAATATAGTATTTATATTACTGGTATGAATTGCCGGATATTACATGTAAATAGTGTCAAACAAAACAATATCCTCAGAACGCGAGCAGTGCGGTGTCGGAGACGTCGTCGCCGCAGTCGCAGGCGTCGCAAGCGTCGCAGGCGTCGCAGGTGGCGCTGGACCACTCCTACTGCCGCCCGCCCCCGCGAGACGCGCCGCGCCCCAACCACCTGCAGCACGACCACGGTGAGCGTCTGTCTCTCTCTCTCTTACTCTCATCTACCTCTCTCTCTTTATCTCACTCTTATCTACCTCTATCTCTCTATTGGTAGCTTCTACGGATTATATTCGACGTAGAGAAGTGAATAGAAATAATAATAATAATAATTATTAGTTTTGTCTTATTCTTCTTATAGCACGGCTTTTTTCGCACTTACCGTTATGTTGTTCTTATTTGTTCGAGGTTTTTCATGTTCCAGTAGTTTATTATTATTGTTATATTAATATTCTTCTTTAAATATATTTTACTGTACTTACAAGTATTAATATATGTACTGAAATTAAACACTATTATAGGTTACACATGGATGGCAGAACCTGAAATCGAGTCGCCGCGTATCGAGCCGGAAGAAGTCAAGCCAAAGAAGGAGACGAAGAGGCCGTACAAGAGAAAACATGAAACTAAGAAGTTGGCGGAGATACAGAATAAGTACGTAATATATGTGCATATAAGTTACAAAACCTATTCTACCGATTGGCACAATGATTCCAGATGTAAATATTAAAAAAAATAGTCAGTAAGAAAAATATATTTTTTCAAAAATCTTTAGTTTTTACAAAATCGATCCTTTTACACCCTGTGTTTTTTTTATCTACAATTTATATAACGGACATCTGAGGAAATATTATCGTCGCTTTAAAAATTCTTTTACACCGTATATATATATTATAAAATCAGTCAGTAAATATTATAATATTAATGAATCGTGCCAGATTGCACTCGCCGCGTGCTGAGTACAAGAGCAGCTCCGCGTTCGCGCCGCGCGACCTGATGGCGGAGATGCAGATCATGTACTCGTTCCTGACGCGCGGCATCGACCGCGAAGACGTGGAGTTCCTGCGCCGCGCCTACGACGCGCTGCTGGCCGAGGACGCGCAGGGCTACTGGCTCAACGACACGCACTGGGTCGACCACCCGCCCACCGACCTCACCTACTCTCCGCCGCGCAAGAAGTCCAAGCGGCACTCCAATATATATGAGGATTTGCAGGTTTGTTATTCTTCTAAGTTTTACGTTATTCGCACCGTGTTCCCGTTTTTGAGCCCTTTATCGACCTATTGACGACGACTCGATCGGGGATATACAACAGAAAGCGAAAAATAAAAAAGATTTATTCTCCGAGCGGTAACGCGCACGTTTGGAAAAGGGTTCAAATCCCGGGTCTCGCATCCCTGAAAATTTCATGCACTAATCGTTTTCAAGATGATTATCACTTGCTTGCTTATACCGAAAGAGAAAAATTGAAATAAATAACTTAATTTAAACTAATGGGGCATTCCACGCCAAATCAGACGGTTTCGAAAAAAAACCTTTATATTGTATATTTTTATAAATAATATATGTATATATGTATATGTGATTATTATTACCTTTATTTCTAGTATATATTTAACTATATTGCCTGCTGACATCTTCTACCACATCCTGGGGTTGACTGGAAGAGATCTCTTTTAGAGATAAGCCCACCTTTGTGAACTATGTTTATTTTTTATTTTTTTTTTCTATATCTCATTTTAAGTGCAATAAGGAATATAATAATATTTTGGTATTTTTAGTACCCCTTAAAAATGATTCTTGCAAAATTTTGAGATTTTTAGATCACTGGTTTGAAACCGCTTTTTTTTCGCTCATAACTTTCTTATAGTTGTCTAAATTCAACGTTTTTATTCAAAAAATTGTTTTTGGATGACCTTTACAAAAATATATATATAAAAAATATTTAAAAGGTTTTTAATCGAAATTTTTGAATTTTAAGTTTTCAATCGTGTAATCTCTCCAGGGTCACTCGAGCGGGTCGGCGCGCACGGAGGGCTACTACAAGATGGACGCGCGGCTGAAGGCCAAGTACAAGTACCACCACGGGCGCGCCGCCGCGCTGCCCGCGCCGTCCGACGACAAGAAGGCCTCCAAGATGCAGCTGCTGTCGCGCGAGGCGCGCTCCAACCAGCGCCGCCTGCTCACCGCCTTCGGTTAGTTTGTCATTATATACGTACTTATAGATTATCTTTGGTTTTTTTTCAACGAGAAAATGACAATGACGTAAGACATAAAAGATAAAAAAAAATTTTTTCGTCATTTGTTGTCATGTGAATAGTTATTTTCTATGACCAGAGTCGTGGTCGCTTTGTTCGCGGGTGAGGTAACTTAAGCCTTAAGTATTTATAACACATGTAAAATGAACTAAAATATAATATCATTTCTTTTTCAGGAACGGATACGGATTCTGACCTTCTTAAATTCAATCAACTTAAATTCAGAAAGAAACAACTTAAGTTCGCCAAATCCGGTATTCATGACTGGGGTCTGTTCGCTCAGGTAAGACTATAAGTACATCTAAAAGTATTGAAAGCTAATATATTTCTTACAGGTGTGTATGGTCACAATAATATTATAAAATAGAAAATTTGTTAGTGAATGTATATAATACTTTCTTAGATTTACGCAAATATTCGACATTTTAAATAAAACTATCATATCGGATTTTTTCGTGGATTTATTTTGATTTTTGGTTTCCGACGTTTCGAATGCTTTACAGCAATCATGGTCACGGGAGAGACCAAGGTGTTAGATGTCTCAAAGGCATTATATAGTTGTTACACACAGCGTACCCACCAAAGATAAAGGTCGGTAAATTCGCGAAAAAATCCGAAGTGAATGTATTGCTTAATTATCCAGCCTATAATAGATGGTGAAATATGGAATGAAGTCTATCGAAGTTTATAGACATACCAAGGTTAATAAATAAATGTGTGTGACAGGAGCCGATAGCGGCGGACGAGATGGTGATAGAGTACGTGGGGCAGATGGTGCGGCCCGTGGTGGCGGACGTGCGCGAAGCGCACTACGAGGCCACCGGCATCGGCAGCTCCTACCTGTTCCGCATCGACCTCGACACCATCATAGACGCCACCAAGTGCGGCAACCTGGCGCGCTTCATCAACCACAGTTGTAATGTGAGTTTATCTTTACAATACTGTACGAGTATTATTTTTATTTTTTTTTATTTTTTTATTGGGGAAACAGTGTTTACAAGTGTTTATAGAATAGCTTATATAAATGGTTCATAGACCAATAAAAAAATGTATTGACGATTACTCGATCCTCTTAACAAGTATTGATATAAAGTTTTAATAGTACTTCGTTTGATGAATAAGGACGCCCCTATTTCAACTCCTCACATTTTCTTTTCATGTTGTTCTTTTTTGCATTTTCATGTAGGCTCGAATAATACCTCGGTAATGCGACATACGTAAATTACGATCTTTATTTTGCCATCAAATGTTTTACCATGTTTATTATATAAGAAAAATTTATTGTAAAACTACAGTTTATCATATATTATTTATGTCATACATGACTAAACTTGTAATTGCACATTTCTAGCCCAACTGCTACGCGAAGATCATAACAATCGAATCACAGAAGAAAATAGTAATATATTCGAAGCAGCCCATCGGCGTGGACGAGGAGATCACGTACGACTACAAGTTCCCGCTCGAGGACGAGAAGATCCCCTGTCTGTGCGGCGCGCCGCAGTGCCGCGGGTACCTCAACTAGCGCGCCTGCACTGCGCGGTGCGGCTCGACTGCTAATATTGTATTACCAAAACCCTTCAAATTGTATATAAATCTCAGTTATTCTTACCTGTTCGATATACACTCAGTTCTCGGCTCGAAGATGCATTTGAGTTTGATATTGTCTATTTTTTTGCAGGCGAAATAGTAGTGCTTTGAATTCGGATGTTATATTGAAGGTTACATACATGGGTAATCTGTATTTTATTTTATAATCATTCTTTTGGTTATTATTATAATATTTTTGTTAATAAGTATCCTATTCGGCTTTTAGGAAAATGTTTAGGATAAATGTATAAGTCTGAAATTGATCCCTAAAGCTCATCAGGTCATTGATTAAATAAAAGCAATAGTAGATTACGGAAGCAGACTTAGCTGTTCTGTTTAAATGTTCAAATTGTCCAATAATATTTTAAAAGTTAAATTTTAGAACTAAAATTATGTGTCTTATTGAATATCATCTATTTACGAAATCTCATCCTCGCTAATTTTAGAAAAAGGTCATTTAGAATTAGTCGGGCTACTACACTAATTTGCACGTATGCACTTTGCTATGTGCTGTCTTGACGTAAAACAAATCGTTTGTGTGCGACCATCGCCTGTTTAAAAATAGAATAATGCTCAGAGAAACAATGGATTGTGAAATCTTATTGCCTATAAAATTATTGAAATAGTAGAAGGTAAGAGATATACATCATTTTTATATAATATATATGAAAGTATTGTTTTTAATAGCGCAAAAGTGCTGGTTTTGAGCCTTATCGATTAGCGTAATACACAACTGCCTCAAATAATTGACATAATGTATAAATATAATAAATGTGTGCTCGTGAAGTTTTGTGTTCGATGCGCATATTAATAAGAAGCCGTGCCCTTGTATGTAATTGAAATTGAATTTGTAATGAGTCTTGTATTATACCATTTTGACTGATTTTAAGATATAATTCATTAGGCGTAGGAAGTCACGATTTACATACTGTATAAGTTGTGATGTACATTGCGTTTGTTAATAAAAGGATCTCTGCTGCTTGTCAGATTTATGTAGTACAGTGTTCGAGTACATTTGTCTAATGTGCGTGACCACACTTTGTTGTCCCTATTATAATATGTATAATGATTTAACATATATTTTTTTTATAAAATAAAGTATTTCAAAAGAATTCATGATAATTTAAATCCTATATGGGCTTTAGTCCTTCCTTTATAATGTAAAATGTATAAGAATGTAAATAAAAGATTTCAGGAATTTTTATGCAATTTTTTTTATTAATCCAGTAATCACATCTACTTTTTTAACCATATCATAATTTTCAAAAGTACTGTTCTCTACTGACTACTTAGTATCTATTGACAAAATGGTTGTATTGTTTTACCTGGGAGATATAAATAAATTATATACTATTGGTTAACTGGGATCTTATTTTTATTATCTCTTGTTAGAGTCTAGACATGCCCCCTATTTTCATTAACTAAAGGCACACAAGCGACCTACGGAAAAACATTCATTTTAATACCAATTGCCAAGGTAGTAACTATAAAATTGTAATTTTAATTAAATTTAAAATTCGCTAAATATTTCTTAAATGGAAAAAATTGCAATTGATTTACAGTGATAAGTACTTTTGTAAGTGGCACTTATCAAAAATATTCTTTAGCCATTAAAGGCTGTTCTTTTTTTTTTTATGTCGGGAAATGCATTTACGCATACCACCTGATCCCCCAGGTGGTGATGTGGGGCTCACCGGCTAGAAGAGCCGGTACTACCCACTAAAACCCGACATTCCCCTCCCCTCCGCCTTAATGGGACGCCGCAGGATCGCTTGCGCATAACTACTACGGCGCCCCGGCGGCAGGTCTGCCTAAAAAGGCAGACCACCAAACCAATGGGGCTGCTCCACAGTCAACTCTGCTACGCCAGAGAGGTACCCGGAGCAGCCCCATTAAACCTAACCACCGCCCACCGAAGTGGGTCACCTCCAATCGGCTGCAGAGGACAGGGAGAGCGGCAACGAAACACCGACACTCCTCTTCCCCTGCAGCCCCACCGCGTCCGCCATCGAACGGTGGCGGCCCCGTCTAGGCCGCGGAAGGTAGGGAGAACGGCGCACCGAAATACCGGCACTCCTCTCCCGCCGCGGCCTACTCCTCCGCCGGATGCGGGCCTGCGACCACAGTCCCGCAACCGGCACCCATCATCCGGTTGTGGGACCAAGCGGTCCCACCACCGGTGGCCGCAACGTCTTCGGCTCGAGGCCTAGACGAGCGGCCCCATCCAAGCCATTTGGTCCGTGCCGGATTTCTCCGGTACCACCCGCCGCCCTAAGCGGGTGGCATTCCCCTATCCGCCACCTGGGGACGCGCCCGGTAGGAGTTGGCTTCTCCCCCGGGCATTAAAGGCTGTTCTAGTATAACGCGTGATTGAAAATTTTTACCCGACTGCAGGGAAGCCCAAAGAGTGGTTACGTCTGACCTGTATGTATATACGTACGTCCGATCCTATGTTCTTTCGTAATCAATAAACGGCTGAACTGAGCTTGATGATATGGTACAATTGATGAGTTTCATAGGGTATATATACAATATTATTATAAATTTGTAAGTCTATATAATTGTTTTTTCTTCCAAATTTATCTAGTAAAGGGGCCTATCAAAATGAAGTTTTTTAAGAGACCATTATAAAGATATATACAACTTATATATTTAAAAGTGATTTGGGATAAGAAATTGCAAATAGTAAAACTGACCAAAACTAAAAAGCTGTAAATAAGAAAAGAACTATTGCGTAAAAAAAATGAACTAAAAATGGCAACAAGTTGACAAAGAATATAGTAATACTAGCGGCTCACCCTCGCTTCGCTCGGGTTCACCTCTAGAAAAGCACAAACAGATCTATCCCACGGGAACCGTTCATTTTTCCGGGATAAAAATAAGTAACCTGTTGTTTGACCTGCAATATAAGGTACCAGCATGCCAAATTTTACTAAATTAGGTGCATAAGTTGTTGTGTACTGAGCTATATAAGTTACTATAATTTTTTAACTATCCCACGGGAACTCTTTAATTTTCCGGAATGAAAAGTATCAAATTTCATTTAAATAGGTTCAATAGTATCGGAGATTACCCCGTACAAACAGACAAACAGACAGAGAAACAAAAAATTTGAATCTGGATTTGTTCTATTTTCTTACATCCCGTAAGAAGAGAACTGACTCGTTTTTTAGCAATTTTTTCTACCATCTATGTACAGACATTCGACCTCTACAGTTTTATTATTCATATATGTACCTATATTTAGATGGAATAAATAACGTATAATAAAACAGAAATATATAATAATGAAAATAGTTATAGCGAGTCTACCTTAGGAGATAGACATATACTATCGTATGTAGAACTTTTCTATAGACCTTTTTAAGACTTACAATTTTCTTGCACAATGTTTTGATCTATCTCTTAAGGTTGAGCCATCGTTAGCCATATAAATTTCTAAGGACAATTCGATAGAACCAGTTATTGTATTTTCCCGTGGGAATGAATAATTTGCCTGTCGTAAAAAGTATTCTAAATGTTGACCCGAGTACTAAGTTTTATCACTATACAAAATGAAGTTAAAATCGGTTGAGTACTTTTTGCGTGAAACGCGCACATCGATTTGACTAAGTTTTATTATAGGTATAGATAAGAATCAATATTGCGAGTGTAACTTAGGAGATAGACATATACTATTCAGAACTTTTCTGTAGGACTTTTCAAGACCTACAATTTTTTAGTATATTGTTTTGATGTATGTCTTAAGGCTTAGCCAGAGGAAGGTTTCTAGGGAGGACTCGATAAAACCAGTTATTATATTTTCCCGTGGGAAAGAAAGATTTTCTTTAAGTAAAAGGTATCTAGGCAGTGGTATCCCAGTGGTAACGCGCTCGCTTGGGAAACCGAGTGAAGCAAGTTCAAATCCCGGGTCTAGCACCTCTGATATTGGCCAGCGTGGTGGACTATAGCCTGATCCACCTCGTACTGAAGGGAGGCCCGGGCGTGTGTTAAAAAGGGCTGAATACAACATACATACATACATACAAAAGGTATCCTAAATGTTGACTCGAGTAATAAGTTATCACCTCACCAAATTTCGTTAAAATTGGTACATTACTTTTCGCGTGAAACGCGCACACAAAAGCAGACAAACAGACATACAGGCAAACAGACAAACACACAATTTTTTAATAACTATTGTTTTGGGGTGTATGTTTGTACATAATACGTAACAAATAAACAAAAACATCTATCCCACGGGAAAAGTACGTTTTTCCGGGATAAAAAGTTACCTATTTGTTATTCTGATGTATGAACTATATTATTGTAAAGTTTCATCAAAATCCAATCAGTGGTTTTTGTGTACTAAGCTGTATAAGTTACTATAATTTTTTGACTATCCCACGGAAACTCTTTAATTTTCTGGGATGAAAAGTAGCTGATTTGTTTTTGTTATGTATGAACTATATTATTGTAAAGATTCACTAAAATCCAATCAGTAGTTTTTGTGTATTAAGATGTATAAGTTGTTATAGTTTTTTAACTATCCCACGGGAACCCTTTAATTTTCCAGGATGAAAAGTATCTAAGATGTTGCCCGGGGATATAAGGTACCACCATGCAAAATTTCATTTAAATAGGTCCAATAGATCCGGAGATTAGCCCGTACAAAGAGAAAACCAGACAAACAGCTCGCTCGGGTTCGTCCATACCTACGAATATGTTATATTATCTCTTTAACCATTTGTCCAAATTATATGTAGTAAAAGGGAAAAGTCTTTTATTTTAAACATTTTAGACGATAAATTTACTTATTTTGATAAGAATTCATAATTGTTGATAATATGACCAATAAACATGACCTACCGATTTAAATGATTTTTTTAATATAAAAAACTACTTTTTGTGACTTAAATATAAAAGTTAGACATATGCTGTCGCTGACTTTTTTGTAGGCATTATTAAGCTCTACAACTTTTCTCTAGAACATAATCATATATCTCTCATCGTTAAGGCAGCGTTCGTAAGAAACGTTTTCGTTCGACCGTTTTTTTTCCGACTTACTTTGCAAATCCGACTACCACGAAAAAGCCTTTTCATTTTTCGGGTTGATATATAGCCTATGACACTCAGAAAGAACGTGGCTTTCTATTGGTAAAAGAATTTTGAAAATCGGTTCAGTAGATCCAGAGATTACCCCCTACGACATCACAAACTCACAAACTCACAAGATCACAAACTTTACCTCTTTATAATATTAGTATAGATTACTAGTATATGCAGTCAGAGCAGGGCCGTCTTAAGCCGCGCGGGGACCCTTGGGCACACATCAATTTTGGGGCCTTTAGAAAGTTAAAAAAATGTGAATGATGAAATAAAAATTAACTTCATTGAATTAGATTCCTCTGCTCGTTGTCATTCTTCTTCTCTTTTTTTCTACAGCACTGCCCCAAAGAAGTATCCCACAAGATAATATACTATAATAATAACTAATGAATAAAAGTCAGGCAGTGTGGCTGCCCTTTGTGCGACTAACTTTTCTAATTGCAAAGAGTGGAGCCGAGTCTATTCGCTAGTGTCAAGAGATGAGGGTTCCACTGGAGCATAGAATCCATTAATATCATGACTAAAAATTAAAGTATCATGCTTAAAAATGCTCATGCTCAGTTATCTTCAGTGTTTTATTGCTTTTGTTACGTTAGATATGTAAATTCGAGAAATTGTGTTTCATTTCGCCTTGTTTAGCTTTTTTTGGCTAGCTTAGGATAAGTTTCAACTTTAAACTAGCGAAATATGTGCTACAATGCACTTTAGTGCATTGCAACACATATTTCGCTAGTTTGCTACTTCATCAAGTAGTTTACAACTTCGTCATAATTTGGTTCATTACGTTCGAATTCAAAAATTAACGAAATATCATCATATCACTCACTTCTTTACTTTAAATCATAATTAATAACACTATACTTAACGATCTTTAGAACATGATGTAACACTTTGTTTTTTACAATACTTGTATTTATTAAGGAAGTTTTAAAGGAAAAAATAAGAGGTTATTAAAAAATATTTATTAAGTATTATTAATCCTATTAAATATTAAAAAACATTACATATCAAATCACAGTATAAATGAATGTATTAACTACTATATTTACCGTAATCAGTGGCAACTGGTAAGCATTACAATTAAAAATAACGTAAAATTAATATTTTCCATAATAATTTAATTAAAAATACATGAAATATCGAAAGATACATATTCTTAGTAAAGAAATTACGCACGTATGATACTTAATTCTTAAGTACGATTTTCTAAAGACACTAAAGTGGCATAAATTAACTATACATAATACAGTAAGAAAGTGTAAAAATAAATAAAACCAACCTATCAAATAATTCAAATAGAGACATTCTAATACCAACGCTTTTCATATTTTTTGATAGACTCCAGCTATTGCTTGCATTTATTGACCTTTAAGTACAAAACGATTAAAGTAGGTTAGGTAAATAATGTTATAGCAAAGTTTTAAAAATTAATTGTGTTAGTGTAGTATTTGTTAAATTTGGATCACCAATTAGTGTTTGTATAAGTTTTATGTTTGCCAAAAGTTACATAAAGAAAACTGTATGTATATAATTTATAATAAAATTATATAATTCTAAGTACGTTATTTAAATCCATTACTGAAAGCGTACCTGTCTGGTGAACATTTCAGCACACACATCTGCAGTACATTTGGTAGAGCCAGTCCCCTCTTCACTCTCAAATTCCGATTCAGTTTCACATTCTGATATAACAGCTGGGGATTTCCTTCCATTAGATGTTCGCTTTAAACCAACTTCTGAAGTCAAAATTTGCTTTATGACATCATCGGGCGATATTTTCTCTCGCTGTTTCGTCCGTAATTGCCGCGCCCTCTGTCTTATATCAGCTAGAAATCCAGTTGTCAATTCTACGCTTTCTTTAGAATCATCGTGTGGGGATAAATCTGTGAGAGATTGTGCCAAGTCGGAGGAGGAACCTTTTGAGTCGGAGAACGTGTCTAGCGACTCCAGCGACGTGCCTATACTACGAAAAGCCGCCGCACCTTCAACAATTATCACTTTGTATTCATCGTCAACCTTAGATCTTATTATGACACCGTTAGTAGTTGTTCCCAACAAATATGGCTCGTTGACTTTGAAATTAAATATTTCGGGTTGATAGCATTCTGATGCGCTCGACGTGAGAGACGCCGTATCGCAGGTGCAAGGCGGCGCCTTGTACGTTTCGTCATTAATATAAATAATTGTGACTTTATCTTCGCCCGCGGCGTACAAAAATGGACTAACATATTCCCATCCATGAACTGCAGAGCTCCATTTAGGATCTTCGTTTCTTGTTCGTTTTCCGTTTTCATCGACAAAAACGCCACACTCCGCGTAACAGAGCAGTATTTCTATGGGCTTCCTTCGAATTTGTATTATTGCTTTTGGCGGGGAGTGTTTCTTAAAGGCAGCAGCTACTATGGGTTCTTCAATTCCAAAAGACTCCAAAGCTCCCGAAGGCAGGTTAATTTTCAAAGGTTTTTCCCCGGCAATATATAGTGCTTGATTAGTGAGGAGCAGCGAGTTCGGCGGACGGTCGACGGTGAGCGAGCGCGCCGTCTTGAACTCGGCGGAGCTCGCGTCGAAGCGCAGGAGATACACGCGGCGACCGCAGGCGACGGCCGCGCACAGACCGTCGGCTGCCTCGGGAAGCCCCTGCAGTTAGTTTATTCAAAATGGTAAGTTACCAATTCATAAATTACTTAAAAGATTTTGACTGTTGTTATGAATTATCGTAAATATTAAAATCCTATTTATTACTGTAAATATAAAGGTTCGTTAAGAGATTTCGATATTTGATAATCAACCACGAATAATTCATTGAAAGGATTCTAATGAAACTTGGCACATAGATAGTTTAAGTTCCTGACTAAGATAAGACTTATAGAATTCCGGTAATTTGTCGTTTTGCAATACTAATTTAACTGGAATATTCAAGTGGATGCAGCAATGGGTAGACACTATTCGAAATCATGTTTTTTTTACTTATTAATTTTTCAACTTGTAAAGTAACATAGGCTACATATTATTAGCCCAATATATAGAAGCCGTTGATTAATACAAATTCAATGAAACAAAGAGATATTCAACAATTTCTTCTAAACAAAAATAAAGTGTACACTAACAGTGAGTATATGCGGCGCTGTGTTGTCCGACAGACGCACGCGCGCGAGCGGCAAGGCGGCGTGCAGCGGCGCGGCGCGGCGCAGCACGGAGGCGAGCGCGGGCAGCGCGGCCTGCGCCAGCCGCGCGCCGCGCCGCAGCAGCGCGCGCCCCGCCGCCGCCGCCAGCAGCTGCACGCCCGCCGCGCCCGCGGGGGACCCCTCCTCGTCGCACTCCAGGGCGATCGGGCCGCGCAGCGAGTGGAGCCCGTCGGAGCAACCTATGTGTTTATAAAAAAAGGTGTGTATGTTCTTATGTACGCACGTAAGTAGTTATACTTCTTTGGCGTAACAGAACAAAAATAGCTAAAGATTTCATCCCGCATGTCATAACTCAATGTTTGTAAAAGGAATGATAAATTTTAATAAAAGTAATTAAATAACGCATATTAGGCATATTACAATTATATATTTTTAGAATATCATTTAAGGAAAGAATATGACACTATAAAATATCATTTGTAACAACGAAAAGAACGCTGGCTGTCAAGCTGCGCAGAAGCGATTTATTGGTCAAATTGGTGGTAAGAAGCGGGGCGACTCGGGGCAGCGGGGCACGCGCCGCATGCTTGCCGGCGCGCTATCGGTTCGTCAGTTCGAAATACCATCGCGCACACAGAAGTTTTTAATTACGAAATGGTTTTATATATAGAAAAGAGAGAAAAATTATTTTGGACGTATATTGTTTTATAAATAGAGAGTCTGATAAACATATGATGCAGTTAATAATTAAAAAAATGTATTAAACGTATTAATTTATTTTTTTGTAAGTAGATTAAACATTCTACACTGATTCAAACATATTTTCATAATAAATAGAATTATATTTAATGATATTCTATCTAATATATTTTTCAATGTATAACTTGCGTCATGTAAAACGAACGAAGAATTGCTAGTAAAAGGTGCGGCGGCGGTTTTTATATATAAAGATTAAAACATTTTACACTGAAACAAACATGTTTTTTATTCTATTTAATGACAAAGGCTGATGATTCTATGTAAAATAAAATAAAAAATAATATTTTTATATAATATATTTTTCAATGTCCCTGCCAATAACTAATATTTATGAAGCCGCGAGCGAAATGCTATGAAAAATAAAATAATAGGCTTAGTACTTTTGTGCGCGAATATACCCATACGCAAACATACCCCCTCCACTTTCATCCAGCGTTCTTTTTAGATGAGGCGATTTTACTATGGCAACAATCGTTCGCCTCGCCCGATCATACTTTTCGTAACGCTCTCGTCACGAATTCACCAGCTACTCCCCAAGTCAAGCGTGTGTAAAGAAGTTTTACTTCAAAAAGTATATATATACATATTTTATTTTTAGTAGCTTTGGTTCCCCAGTTGTAAAGCCCTTGCTTAGAAAATGAAATGAAGCTGATTTAAATCCTGAGTCTCGCTCTTTTAAGATTTACACGCACGAATCATTTTCAACATGATTAGAGATTAGCATTAGCCTTATACTTGGCTAGCGTAGTGAACTATGGCACGCTTCCTCCTGTCTTAAGGGGTAGGTCATAACCATCAATGAACTTTAAACAGGCGTTCATATTATAGGAAATCTGGTTAATATAATAATTATAATGGGCGTGCACATTTTATTGTTTACATATGTAGTTTCTATTTCTATATAATGTAATAATACGATTTATTTGAATGAATTCAAAAATATAGAAATATTAATAATATAAAAATAAAAATAATTTCAGTTGCCTCTATTAATTCAGTTCAGAAATCATTTCAATGATATATAAATCTATTAGTTTGAGCTGTACCCACCTATGGCTATAGCGTTGGGTGCGACGTACAAAGCAGTGGTAGGTTCTGCTTGCGACTGCAATATGGCCGGCGGATTGTACCCGGCGGTGGGGCCGGGGGTGAGCTTTTTTATCCACTGAGAACGTTCCTCTATGGTCGAGCACACTATTGCTGCATCATCGCCACGATCACAGTGCTCGAACCTTACCTGTACAGTAAAAACGTTTTTGACTTTAAATATTATTATTGCTAGTTTAAAAATTATTTATTAGCAGCTACAATCTATTATTTTGTTAACATTAGAAAAACGGGATCCACATAGAAAAATAGTATGATTAGTCAAACTTTATATTTTTTATTACTTTCGAATGTCTAAAACAATTCTAAATGAACCTGTTTTTCTGTGAGATGTGACAATAATGACATTTTTAGCAATACTTACAGTAAAGGCACGGTTGGCTTCATTGTGGGGCAAGTTCTTAACGTCGGCAGAGACGAGGCGCGCGCGCAGCCGCCGCTGCCCGCTGCACAGCTCCAGCGCGCCGTCGGCGAAGCGCGCCTGCATGCGCTCGCGGGACCCGTCGGACCTGGAATATTTATAGATTTAGTATTTTCAAGCTCGCTTTATGGTTGTAATCTAACTTCTTGTTCTAAAAAAGAAATACTAAGATGAAACATCTACTAATTAGAAACAGAAATGGAAAATCTGCCGAGTTCTATTGGCTGTTTTTTATTTCGATAAAAATGAGTTCATTTCTCTCCATAATATCTTTAAAGTCTGAGAAAAAGTAGCCGTTGCTTTATAGTCGCTGCCCTAAACAGTTTGAAATAAAGCATTAAAATGGACAGGTATTATCATTAATTAAATGAAATTTTCTTACCATATTATGAGTAAAGTATCCTTTGTGTCTTCAGGCAAGTCTAAGTCAAATGTGCTGCAAACAAACAAATGGATTTATATTTGATGTATAAAAAAAATCTAAAATATATTAAATCAATGTATTTATTGAAAACATTCATTACCTAGGTACAATTTTCTTTGGTTTATCAGATCGACGATCACGTCTCGGCGTTGGCGGGAAACTAGAAGACAAAATTTGTATGAAGTGTTTTCAAATAAAAACATTTACTTTATTATTCAAAATAAAGCATAAAAATGTCATAACACATACTTTGCTTCGCAATTAGCATTTGCAGCGGCAAGTTTTGCTCTTAGACGCTCAACTTCCTCCCTTAACTCTCTGAAATAAAGACACTTTATATCAAAATATAAATTTAAATAATTTCACAATTTCAAGATATAGCAATACGTTTCTCATCCTTAATCAAGCAACGAATTTGACATGTTCTTTTTTTATACTAAATGTTATTTAGTGACGCAAAGCATTTATAAGTAAGGTACAGTGCTACAAGGATCTTTTGGCGCGTGGCCGAAATCGGAACTAACAGACAAGATGGCGGATCATACAGCTGGAAAATGTTGGCAGAATGATGATGAAGGTATTGGCTAATTAATTAAATATCTTGAAATATTAATGAGTAATATATTTTTAAATCTTTTTTGACTAATTTCATATGTATTTATCTGTTATTAATATTTATTCTAAGACTCTACTCTGCTTGTATTATAGTTGTTTTATAGTTCAAAAATTCAATTTCAGATGGAGTATTAGAGCTCATCTCTAAAGGACAAAGATTTATTATTGTTCATGCCGGAGGTCATCAAGGCTTTGTGAACAATGCTTGTTTGGTTTTTAAATCACAAACAAAGAGTGGTGATTACCATGGAGACATGAATAACACAATTTTTAATTAATTACATTAATTAAATAATTTGTATATTAAGTAATTAAATTTCATTCACTTTTAATTTTATTTTTTTCATTTCCTAAGTTAAATTGAATTACGGAATATAAAGATAGAGTTTTTAAAAGAATTTCCTAAAACTAAGTAGATTTTATTAGCTTGTAACCCTAATTTCACACCAACGCCCTCATGTCACTGTCATGTAAGTGCCAAAAGATCCTTGTAGCACTGTAGTTTATGTTTATGTATTATGCATATATTGATCTCGCTGATGCGAGTAGCGACTACTCTCGATTCCCTTGGGTATGTCCCAAGGTGCTTTACAGTAGCCGTTCAACCATATTAGCGTAAAGGAGTAACAAACATATAAACAAACTTTCACATATACGTAATATGATAGTAGTCCGGCATAAAATATGTATATAAATTACCTATTGACCCTGAGCAGCGGCGGCGAGGCGGCGGCGCGGCGGCCGGAGCGGCCGAACAGCTTGTTGCCCAGCGAACACTTCTTACGTCCTGCCTCCTCTACCTTTGCCTGACGGGATTTAATACGCTTATATTAGCTTCATTTATAACTTACTAGCATTGCCCGCGACTCCGCCCGCGTTCAGATGACCAAAAACCGAATTCTTAGGTTTTACATAGTAGTATACTTCAAAAATGAGATATTCTCGCGCGGTAAAAAGTATCCTATATGTTGACCCGGATAACCAGCTATCACCATATCAATTTTCATCAAAATCCCTCCAGTGGTTTTTCTTTTCTGTGATGCGGTAACAGACAGACAAAGTTTTTAAAAACTATAGATTCGGCCTCTGTATCGGTAATAATGTCTATTTCAATAAGATTTTCCAAAAAATATTTGATGTACAGATTCGGCTTAGTTACAATTATATTATATGTATAGACAGACTATGGCATGGAGTCTTGGAAATTAAATTTATTGAAGTTATACTTGTTATACTTCTTTTGGCACGTTTGGAAAAAATGAGAGAGTAAAATCTTTACGATGCGTGCGCACACCGACAGCCAAAAAGCGCCATGATGAAGTTAGCTGAAAGCGACATTATGAAGTTGGCTGTATTCCTTTTACAAGCAGAGTTGTGACATATGGGATGAAATCTTTAGCTATTTTTGTTCTGTTACCCCAAAGAAGTATAACTTCTTATGTGCTTACATAAGTACACACATTACGTTTTTTTGCAATTGTCCGGGGTTTTTTTAATTTTCAATATTAACCTAAAATGTATCCTTTACAAATTTACAATCATTATTAATTTTCATAATTATAAATAACTAGGTATTCAACTTATTTAATACATTCTCAAACTATTTTTACATGACCCAAAAACGTTTGAGTTTAAAACTTAGTAAATTTAAATAGAATAATGAAATGAGCTATCTAATGATATGTGGCTTTAATCTTGAGTTTTTATTATCTATATAAATAAAAACAAAATGTTACTAAGCGCAAAACTCGATAACGGCACGACCAATTCAGCTATTTTTTTTCCTATGTTCCTTAAGGTACACGGAAAGTTTTAATAAGGAGTAAAAATTTAAAATAAGGTATATATAAAATAAAGTCGTGTTAGTTATACCATTGATACGAAAAACTTCAATTCATTCTAAAGGGAGCTACAATGGACTAACTGGTCGACGTTAGCTAGGGCCGACCTCGGCACCACACCCAATAAAATAAATTATAAATTATATACCATTGATAAACTCAAGAACGGCTAGACCAATTTTTATGATATTAGATTTTTTAGATTTTTCTTAGTCCTGAATAGGTTAATAAGTATTAAAACATCAGAAAAATTAACGAAAAAAAAATTTATATGGCTAACGCTGATAACTATTTATATCTATTTAAAACGTACCTAGCGACGAAACCGAACGAAGCAAGGGTGAACCGCTAGTAATATAATAAAACATATCTTTAATTTTTAAGCCATATAATATTATTATTAAATTTAAATCTTAGTATCGATTGCGAACACTAATATGGTTGGAGTAATCATGAAATATAGTAGAATAATACGTAATATACCTGCAAGAAATCGATAAGCTTGGCCTGCTGGCGCAGCGTGGCGTCGGCCTTGGTCTCGCGCGTGCGCCACCACGCCGTGGCCGCCGCGTGCGCCTCGCGCGCCGCCTCCGCCTCCTCCTGCCGGCACACCACACACGCACACGTTAGTGGCGGGCTCCTCACACAATATTACACGACGCTTGCTTTTTTTATATTGATAATTGATAACATACACATTTACTGAAATAAGTCTGGTTTACTACATATAAATAGTAACATTATGTTAATAAATATTTATAAAATATCACATCGTACTTATGTAAATGTTTGTAAATACGTGTTACTTTTTCAAACTGTAACGGTATCACGGTTTTAAATATAGAGCCTTTTTTTTTTTTAACGTTGGGAAATGCATTTACGCACGAGGTGTGGGACTCACCGGCAAAGCCAGTACTACCCACTAAAACCCAACGAAACCTTCCCCCGTCTTAATGGGGCGTCGCAGGATCGCTTACGCATTCAACTACGACGCCCCGACGGCAGGTCTGCCGAAGCAGACCACAACAACCACGGGGTTGCTCCACAGTCCACTCTGCTATCAGAGAAGTACCAGGAGCAACCCGCATGGTACACTGCCCTCCGAAGAGGGCCACCTCCCACCGCCCACCGAAGTGGGCCACCTCCCTGTGCGTTTCTTGGCTTCGCGCCCGGTTGGGTTGCCGGGCACTACTGAGCCCCCCCACCACGACAAGGTGAACGCACGTTGGGGGGGTTTAAATATAGAGCCTGAATTGACACGGTCAATTTTGACGTGCCGTGTAAAGACTGTCTAGGCTGCTAGAGGTAGCTATTAAAAAAATTACAAAATAAATATAACTAATATAAAACATTTTTATAGCTGATAAAAAAATCTAAAAGGTATATTAATTTTTGTCATTGCAGTAGTGTGCGTGTGTACCTGCGCGTCAGCGAGCGCGGCCTGCAGCTGCAGCGCGTGCGCGTGGTGGTGGTGCGCGCGCGTGCGCAGCGCCGCCGCCTCCTCCTGCAGGTCACGCAGGCGCCGCGCCGCGCTGTCCAGCGCCGCCGCGCGCGCCGCCGCCTCGTCCGCAGCGCGCGCCACCTCACCCTCCAACTCCGAGACCAGACTCTCGCGATTGTCTAGCCGCTCCTGTAGTGTTAGTAGTTGAATAAAGTGATACAATAGGTACCAGGTAACCATCAAAACTTGTTTTTAATTATTAAGTGCATACTTTTGAAATATTAAAATACTATAATCCTTAGAGAGTTTTCGCATTTATAATATTACGGAAGTTCTTAAAAAGAATAATTTTCTTCAGATTTAATTTACAATCATCATCGTAACTGTAGCTTATTTTCGCAAAATGCTCATAAATGATGAGCCTATAACTTTTTTTTCGTCGAGCTCTCATTCGCCAAGTATGCCGGGTGTAACGTGGTAAATATAAGGAACTTAGTTTCAAAAATTGAGAAATGTAGCAAAATAGTACATAGTTTGAAAAATATTTAGTAATATAGTACCCGCATGATCTGTAACTGTGAGGTGGCCAGCCGCAGCTGCTCCTGCGCCTCGTCGGCGAGATGCGCGGCGCGCGCCGCCTCCGCCGCGCGCGACGCCGACACGCGCTCGCTCTCCGACAGCTTGGATCTGGTAGACTCCAGTTCCGATCGTGTACGAGCTAATTCATTCTAAAAGGTGAAATGAAACATTCTATGATTGTCTAAAATAAATGAAATGAATTATTAAACTATATAAATAAAATGATGATGAATGATTATCTCTTAAGGACTATTGGTCCGTTTGCAATTTTTTTTGAAGTGAAACTTCTTTTAAATAGTTTGTAATTTAAAACTTGAAACGAAAATGCGTCGCGACAAAGAGAAAAACACATAAATAAATAGAATTAAGCCAGCGAGAAAATGAGAGTTCATTACACATAATAAAAATAATGCTGAATAATATGTATTGTATATTTATGTAAAATAAAATGTAAAATAACTTTTAAACTTGGTAAAAAACCTTACAATTATCCTACTCCGGATACTCAATATTCATCTCATTCTCTCGTAGGTTAGTTTTCTGAAGTTTCACTTCTAACGTGTATGAATTGCATACACACACACTTTTTTTTCAGTTTTGTGATAGTTCAAATAAGGTTTTTAAGAAAATTCGGAAATTTAAAAGATTTTTTTTTTCAATATCATTTTGGTATGACATCAAAGATCACATACAAATGTGTGTATTGAAATTCAGACAAGACAACGTCTGTTCAATTAGCTAGTTTTATAAACATTTATATGCAACAGCATAAATAATTAGAAAGCATTAAGTCAACATAAAGTATACAAGAATGAAAGAGTACCTCAAGGTCTTTGTTTTTGAGTTCATGGAGATCTGCAAGCTTCTCAAGATCGGTTAGTTGCTCCTCCAGAAGACTACAGGCTTCCTGTAACGCTTTGTTGTTCTGAAATTAAGTATTTGAATTAAATACACTTTATTGGACTATAGTAAATATTACTTTTGAATTATTATTTACTGTGGTCATATGTGCGTGTGAAGCGACTAGCGCCGAGTCCACGGCACGGCAACGTCCGCGCAGCAAGTCTGCCGCGAGCGCGAAACGCATACGATTTGCCCATATAGTGCTACGTAAGTGCGCCGGCTTGGGCCACACCATCGGCTTCTCTCCGAGGGATTTCGTAGCACGGCGGTATGGATACGCCATATTTAGTAATTATTTATTTTTATGTGACAAAGTCGTGATTTTAAATTTAATAACATACAATTTATTTCACACATGTTTAGTACGTTTTAAATTTATCAATAGAATTATTTAGTCTCCTGATCGGTACATCCGTATGCGACACTTATTCGTGGAGACAGTATTGTAGACAATACGGGTGCGACGATTTTGTTACCTATGTTTGCTAAATAACAGTACAATGTTGTTTAATAAATGGTGATTTGTTTTCACAGTGTTTATAAATAGTATCTGAGTTGGATAAACAAATCTGTAGCAGCATTTTTGTGCTAACTACTAACTAATCCATTCTAATAATATTATAAATGCGAAAGTAACTTTGTCCATCTGTTAGTTCCTTTGTCACGATTAATCCTCTGAACCCTATTTAAATGAAATTATGGAGATATATAGTTTGAGACTCTAGGAAGGAATAAAATAGTTTTTATCATATATTTAAAATAGTATTTTATGGACTGAAAAGGGGTGGCAGTTTGTTTATGGGGAGTCAATCATTTCAAGGGATAAAATAGTATACCTATTTCATACTGAAGAAAAAAAAATAAAAATATATACTATATAATTAGTACCAGTCTCTAAATGAATAAATAAAAATCATAAATATTTGAACAGCTGTAGACTGTTGCTAGTTCATAGATAAATAGACTTCACTTACTTGCACCAAGTCGTTGTTGATAACGCGTAAGGGCGCCAGCTCGTCCCGTAACTGCGCGCGCTCGCGCGAGGATAACTCTTCCTGTTCCTCCGCGTGAAGTCTCCTCTTCTCGCTGTATTGCACTTCGCTTTTCAGTTTACGAATATCGTTACGCGACCTGTTAAATAAAATTGTATATCTATAAATCTATTTATTAGACAAAATCGTATATATATGTTATTGGCCAAACCCGATTTCAGGCCAAACTAGTTTGACCTAGGCCAAACCAGTGAATCCTAAGTGTGTCAGGATATTATTTAACCCAGAACAATCTAGTTTGGCATAAATATTTTAAGCTTAACTAGTTTGGCCTAGACTGAAAACTATTTTGAATTATTATTCAAGTAAATAAATGCTTAAAATTAAAAGGCAATAAATTAAATGAGCAATATTGTCAACCTAATTATAAAAAAGAGTATTGATTAGAAGTGACACAACACTTGTGTATAAAACAGGACAAATCAGTTTGGTTTGAAATCGGCTTTGGCTCGTAAAATACTTGTATATATCGCAACGCGAATTGTTAGACTACAATCAAAATAGCCCTGGAATAACTCTAATTGGGCCCATTCAATTTCTATGTACAAGATGGGACGTTTAGGTAAAGTATTTTATTATCTGTGGCGAAAGAAAATGAAAATATAACGATTTCATTTCGAAGATCAAAACAGAATTTTTAGCCCAAAAATGTTGTTTGTCATCAACTTAATTGTTGTTTTTGTTATATAGAGTTAATATTAACAATGATTGACTATGTTAACATTGGTTTAAAAATTTGCTGCAGGAAGAGGAATAAAATTAAATAAAAAACGTGTGTGTGTACTTATGTATGCATGTAAGAAGTTTTACTTCTTTGGAAAAAATAGCTAAATATTTCATCCCGTATTTTACAACACTTTGTTTGTAAAAGGAATGCAGCTGCATTCCAACTTCATAATGTCGCTTTTTCGCTGTCGGTGTACGCGCGTTTCGTAAAAATTTTACTCTCATCTTTTTTTACAAAGAAGTCTAACTTCAATAAGTGCATAAGACTAATTTATTAAATGAGAAGCAACTAAAATTTTATACATATTATATGTACTTATACTTCACTTACCTGTCTACTTCAGCTTGAAGTGTTTCATTACTTATCTTCAACTTTTCCACTAATTCTTTGAGTTTCTCAGCTTCTTTCTTCACCAGTTCATACTGTGGCTTCAATGTGGTTATTTCTTTATGGACTAAGGCGGCCTTTTCTTCAGCTGATCTTCGTGCCTCTATTGCTGAATTGAAACGTTCTTCAAGTTTTTTTAAATCTCTCGTTTGTATTTTTAAGTTTAATGATACGTCTTCAAATTCTTTTTCCTGATAAAATTGAATATTAAATTTAATGTATAAATATATCTAAAAGTATGTAAAATGTTGCAAATTAGTCATATGCTTTTTATTTACCTTACGCCATCTCGCCAAATTTGCAGCTCTAGTTTCTTGACGTAGTGAAGCTATCTCTTCAGCACGTGCCTGTCAATTATATTATGCGTATTTTATAAAATGGTTTTGTTCAAAAAAAAATTTTTTTGCTTTAATTCTACATCGTGTATTTTTTTATATCAGTATTAGTATCAAGTGATAGCTTTAAAAATACAATAGTCATTTTTATTTACATTTTGAGCCATTTATTATAACTTTAATATCTTTATAAATGACAAATACGTAACTTATAGAGTTTTATTAATTATTTTTTTTATTATAAAAGAGAACATTTTGATTATTGTAAGTACAGATTTACCTGCAGTTGAGCCTCAGCGCGTTCAAGCTGCTCCTTGAGCAGCGCTACCTGCGCTTGCGCGGCGTGCGCATGCGTGTCGCGCGCGTGCGCGTCGTGCGCGTGCGCGTCATGCGCGTGCGCGTCGGTCACGCTCTCCGTGTCACTGCGCGCGTCGCGAGCGGCCTCCTCCGCATCGGCGCGCGCGCAGCGGCCGCACGCGCGGCTTTCTAACGCACCCACCTCGCGTTCGAGCTGCCTCACTAGTTGCTCTAGCGTTGTCACCTAAGAATACATAATAGTACAAGTTTTACAAAACAATAAAACTTGTATTATTAAGGAGAGAAGATGCACAGCATCTGTGGGAGAGGGCGTTGTATACTTCCCTTTTATTAGCCAATCACTTACGACTTCCTCTTGATATTTTCGACCAATCAACGCCTTGCTTGAAATCACGTGGCCCCAGGTGGCAGGGCGCCAAAGGCGAGCGTTCTTACCTCATAGAAGTCTCTCACCAGGAGAACTTGAATGGATGCTGTGCATCGTCTCTTCTTAATAATACAAGTTTTATTGTTTTGTAAAACTTGTACTATTATTTGGGATGTGACGATGCACAGCATCTGTGAGAGACGTGTTTATAACTCCTGGTGACCACAATGACGCTATGTGAGGAAGAAAACTAAATTAGATGCACAAAGGCTGCAAGAACAAAAAAGACACATGAGTAACACCGTTTTATTATAAATCAGAATCACAATAATTCAGCAATAATATAAATGATTCTATTATACTCGACTTCTTAGCCAAAATTAGCGAAATAAATCAAACTGGCTCAAAATTATTCGAAAAACTCTCTACACATTGACTTTTAGCTCTGCTTATGATTTGCTTACAATAATATTTAGCAAATGTATTTTTATTTTGCCAATTACCACGGGTAAGAATTTCTTCTATTGGAAAATTGTTAACCCAGTTTAAAGAAGCTACAGCCGAACGCAAACTGCCTAGAGAAGCCGTAATGCCTGCGTCTTTCAAAACAGTTTTAATCCAGTTACCAATAACAGTACGCGACGCACTTTGCATGACACCTCTAATCGACACAAACAAGGACTCATTACATTCGGCTGTACGCCTCGTCTTGCCTAACTCAACTACTTTTCTTAACCACCGAACTGGGCATATATTCTCTTTGCTATGACAAGAGAGCTTCCAACCTGATTGCCTGTATGTAGCTGTGTCTGTTTTTGACCCAAATACAGGATAAAGGATAATATGACTGTCATTGTCAAAGTAACAGTCATTAGATATTCTGAGTAAAGTAAGATCGTGAACGCGTCTACCAGATGCTAATAAGAAAAGACATACACAGCGGCGGGAAGCTTCAAACAAACTGATATTGTTCGGGGGATTTAGCTCCAGCCAGACAAGTAGGTCACTTGGGTCCCAAATGGGTGATCTCTGTAACTTTGGACTTTGAAGAGAGATAGCTTTAAGAATATGTCGAACGAGAAAGTTAGAATTTAAATTTTCATTGTGTTTGACTTGCCCAAAAGATAAAACTACTGACTTATGCAACAATATAGTCGGATAAGCTAATCTCTCTTCAAGGTGAAGATATGCTAAGAATCTCGAGAGAATAACATCACAAGGAAAGTTGCAATCAAAACTATTATTTTTACACCATTTCATCCATCGGGACCATGCTGGTCCATAAGTTTTTAATGTTGATTCTCTCCAGCCAGCTCTAAGAAGCGATTTTTCGGCTTCTGACCAAGCTTTAGTTACCTCGCCCCAGCTGCTATCTTCCAGACGTAAAGATCCATGTTCTGAACGTGAGGTGGTGGGAGGCCGATTATCTGATCTATTAGCACTTGGTCCAGCTTGGTTATTTTCATTGGTCTGGCCAGCGCTCGTCGACGGAGATCTGGTAGCCAATAAGCCCTCTTCCACATTGGGGCTACTAAAAGAAATGTTCCTCGAGCAGCGTTTAAGTGGTGCAGAACTCGAGGTATTAAGCTTGGTGGTGGGAACACCCATGCCAGCTGGTATTGCCACTGACGACTGAATGCGTTGCAAAATTGTGCTGAAGAGTCCAGACAATCTTTGGTAACATATTGCTCCACAACTCTCGTTTCCTTGCTTGCAAAGAGATCTATTTTGGGAATCCCAAACTTTCGGAATATATTGACGAGAGCTGGTCGTAAAAGATGCCATTCCGAAATCCTTTTCCCGCGGGATAAGCTGTCTGCAATACTGTTGAATTTCCCGGGAATGTACTCTGCTGTTAATAAAATTTCTTCTTTGTCTATCAAATCCAAGAGTTGATAAGTCATATGGAGCAACGCTGTCGATCGTGTTCCTCCTTCTCTTCGAACATAAGATATCACTGTTCGACTGTCCGATTGGAAATTCAAATGACGACCATGAAGTCGATTTCGAAAATGTTTTACGGGTGCTATTAAGGAAAACATCTCTTTCCGATTGGAATGCCAGTGACGTTGGGCTCGCGTCCATCCTCCTGATATGAACTGGTCGTCCAATTGTGCCCCCCACCCGTAATCCGCTGCATCTGTTGTCAAAAAGTGTTGAATTAACTGACAATGCAGGCTGCTCCGAACTATTGGACTCTGCAGAGTAGTAATCCACCACCTGAGATCTCGCATGACAACACATGTTACTTCTACTGGTTTGCGGTTGGATGGGAGGTGCATCAGATTTCGTAAATGTATTTGCAGTTGACGACAATAAAGACGACCTCTTGGTACAACGAAACACGCAAAGTTTAGAGTTCCTAATATTATTTGAGCCTCCTTTAATGACATTTTCAGTCTCCGTACTATCCTCTTCAATATCAGTAATAACTTCTGGATCTTTTTGGTTGGTAAGCTTTTGTAGTTGGCTTTGGTGTCCCAAACTAACCCTAAATATTCCATTTTTTGAACTGGCTCGATTTCGGATTTGTCGTAGTTTATTGTCCATCCTAAGTTCTCCAAAACACTGATTGCCGATCTAACATGGCTTTGAAGTTGACTTTTCGACTGACATGCGATTAGAAAATCGTCCAAGTAAACTATGACTCGCATGCCCTTGGATCGCAGGCACTGTGCTACCCAGTTCGTTAGAGCTGAGAAGACCTTGGGCGCACATGATAGTCCGAACGGGAGGCATGTCATTTGCATAATCACGTTGTCGTAAACAAGCCTCAGAAACCGCCGATGACTCCTTGTGACGTTCACATGGAAATAAGCTGAGGACAGGTCCAATTTCACCATCCAGTCTTCCCTTTGTAGGAAGTGAGGAACTTGAAAGTGAGATATCAGTTTGAAGGTTTTCGGAATTATAAAACAATTCAGTCGGTTTAAATTGAATATTGGCCTTTCGGATCCATTGCTCTTTTTTGTCAAGAACATTGTAGAAAGAAAACTTGGACCCACATCCTGTGGCTTCACAACTTCTAGAACGCCTTGTTGTAATAGCTGCTTGATCTGAATTGACATTTCTGGCGTATGAGCGGTCTCGAACCGCTTCATCATTCTTATTGAAGGAAGAATGAGTGGTGGCTTGGAGGTAAATGGCAGACGCATTCCCGTAATCAATTCGAGAAGGGCTTTCGGAGCCCGAAGCATCTGCCACCGTCTCAGATACGCTCTGAGACAGCCTCCGTAAAATGTTTGGCGAATTGGTTGCGAGTCATTTATCAGGTTGCCCCTTGGTTCGTCTATTGACTTTACCTTGGGATTGCTTGCTCTTAGTGTTCTGCTTGAATGAGCTTGTGCTATGGTTTTTCCGATAACTTGACTCGCTAGCTTTTTGACGAAAGGGCTGATTTGATAAGTCTCGAAAATTGTGCTGAACTGGCTTGCTAGGCACTTTACGACTATTGACAGCCTGGCTCTTCTCAGAAGAAAACCAAGGTTGAAGCCATTTATCTGATCCGCCCGTATTCTGAATATAGGACCGCAGTAGAGTTTCGTCAAATAAAAAGCTAGAACTCGGAGGAATCTTACGCAGACCCTCACGCAAATTCTTGTTTGAAATCTCACTAAGGATACGCTCCCTACGAGTTTCAAAATATTCCACCCGTTTCCCGCACACTAATTGCATAATCTCCTCACTAATTTTATGAAATTTAGATGAGGGTAGGAAACACTCAGATATTTCATCGTAAATATTTGAAGGCGACAGTGTACTGTCAGGTAAAGCTGTCCAATCAATAACTTTCTGCAAACAATGATTGAGAACCTCTCGCTGAGAGATCAATGCATTGCATAAAGGAGCTCTTAATCTTTCAGAACTGGCTACGTAATCTTTGCCTTTAATAAATTGCCTGAGATCATCATTAATTTGTATCTCAACGAAGCCAGGCGCGGCGTTATGGATTTTTAACACATCATTATACCGAACATCTTTCCAAGCTATATCACCGAATCTTTGTAAAACCTCAAGCCGGTGCAAATGTTCTGGATTAGCTTTAGGTACTTTAGGTTCCTTGAAGGATGTATTGACAACACCCAAATTTAAACGGGGAATGTTATTAACGAAGCACTCATGAACGGCCGCAGGCCTTGTTATATTAAAATTTAAATATGACGTGCTAGGCCCCGGCGTTGGCTCTGATACGGGTAGCCCACTCGATTGAACGTCACTTATTGCCGTTACACTTTTGTTAGCAGTAACATTTGGTGCACACATATTTTGCATTAAAATATTAGTCAAAATAGATACTTGATTGACAAGATTATTAATGTCTGAAGCCGACTCACCCGTTCTCCGCCTTTTTACCTCTAAATCGGATGAGTCAGATTGAGAGGAACTCGAACTTCCGCTCGAATGTAGGCGCTTGCGACCAGATGAAGGCATATGCCTACCTCCATTTCGTCAGGATTATCCTGATCAAAGCTTACGCCACTGCACTGATTATGATCATTCATCACTCACTTATTTTAACACTATTTAGATATGATAATGCTTTAAAACTAAACACAAAGACACTTTTTCACTCTTATTTGAAATATTTTTTTCCTATTTTTTACTTTATAACACTTATTAAGAAACGATGTTACTCGATCGGGAAATAACGACGCTATGAGGTATGAACGCTCGCCTTTGGCGCCCTGCCACCTGGGGCCACGTGATTTCAAGCAAGGCGTTGATTGGTCGAAAAATCAAGAGGAAGTCGTAAGTGATTGGCTAATAAAAGGGAAGTATACAACGCCCTCTCCCACAGATGCTGTGCATCGTCACATCCCAAATAATATAGAATATTTATTGGATTGGAAGTATTTTAATTTCCATGACGACGTAATTTGACGATGAATTCTTATAGATCTTGAAAAAATAAAACGAAAAAGATTAAAAATTTTCAATATCTCGCTTTGTTTCCAGATATCCATACTCGAAAATAGAAAAATATACAGGCTCGATTTGGATAACTTAGCTAACGAAGCGTAGTGTAGCTTCCGCCTTAGCCTTCTCCTTAGGTATTTTTGTTTATTTCAAGCCCAGAACCTCTGCTATTAAAAATAAATATAATATTTAAATGTGGGCAAGGAAAAAAAAACTTAATAGTGCTGCGAAGAATTGTGTACTTTAATTATATTTTGTGTTCTGTTTTTACAGATCTATCGGATTCCGTCTAAAAAATTAGAAACAAAATTTTTCATTTTTTGTTTTCGAAGATTAATATTTGTAAATAATACAAGTACCTTCTCCCGATAGCGCGCGTCGTCGAGCAGCGCGGCCGAGGCGCGCGCCTCTGCGGCCTCGAGCCGCTGCTGCAGGCGCGCCTCGGTGCGCGCGCACTGCTCCTCCAGCGCCGCCTCGCGCGCGCCCGCCTCACTAATGCCGCGCTCCAGTTCCTATTATTGTTTAGAATATTTTTTATTTTACTAACGCCATACCTCATACGGGTGGAGTGCACTCGAATGTGTCCCTATGTGCTTAAAAGTAGTAGTATGTGTTATTCCAGGTCATAGATTAATTATCGGACTGATTTGCATGAAATCTACAGCAGGTTTAGCGTAGCGTAGCGACTAGCGAGCGTAAAACAGAAATAAACGTACTCATAATCGCCTATATACAAACCTTCGCATTTAGAATAGTATTCCGATGAGAATTTAATTTTACGAAGCAACTACTAAAAACCTTGTTATTCAATATAATATAATTTGTACATCTGTAATAGACTAGCACTAACCTGTACTTGCGCGGTGAGCGCTGCAATGCGCATGCGCTCCTGTGCCAGCTGCACCTGCGCCTCGCTCAGCTGTTGGCTGGTGGCCGTCGCTACACGCTCCTTGTCTCGCGCCGAGTCCTATAATATATTAAGCTATAATATATGCAATACCGAAACGAAAAATTAATGCTACATAAATATGATAACAATAATAGTTATGTTACTAATAGTAATAAATAAATAATAAATGAGTAAGGAAATAAGTAGTATTTTAGAGGCTGAATCGCGGTTTAATTGCTAGGATTCTATATAAAAGTTTCTATCTGCGCAATCGCCGCTGAGCCGCGAGAGCGCTGCGCGTACAGCTCTGCGGTAGCCAGGCGCTGCTGTTTCCCTACACTCTAACACCGGCACAGAAGACAGTTTTCATAAGTAAACCCTACCTGCGAACGCGCCGCTAGATCCCGCTGCTCGTCAAGCGCGGCGCGTAGCTGTTGCACTTGCAGCTCTGCGGCGGCCAGGCGTTGCTCCGCGTCCTTCCGCGCCCGCACCTCTCGCGCCGCCTGCGCCTCCGCCGTGGCGAGGCGTGCGCCCTCAGCTTCACCGCCACTTAGTGTTTGCCGGCGAAGGGCGCGCTCTTTTGCTACTGTGTCCTGTGGTTAGAGCGACTATTTTGTAATTACTGTAAATAATTTTAATGTAAACACTAAGGAGAGTATGAGTTAGAAAGTAAATTACTAAAATGTTTCTTTATATTAAGCTCTTATAAATGATGCATGTCAACCCTCTAAAATTGAATTATGTATCCCCTCACTACATATCATTGATTAAATCTATTATCATCTTATGTGTATGCTTATTAATAATAATTTATACATGTATGTACATAATATGTATACAATATGATTTTTCTTATACACTTACATACATCATTTCATACATACATTACCAATAAAACTTTAATGTGTTGCTGAAATTTAGAGTTTTAATCTATTAATAGCAAATTAACAATATAATAAATAACTATTATTACATTTTATAAAATAAAATATTACCTAAAATTTAAAGAAACGACATTTAAAAGTTTACTGATCCAAATGTTTTTACTTTTAAAAATATATGTATTAACTTGTCATTACAACTAAATTACATAAAATACCTACTAAATAAATATAACCTACTTGGATCATAAAATAAACTATAAAATTAAAGGAGCATACTCTCCTATACTATCTTTATATGTAGTTATATGATAAGTACGGTACATATGTATGTAGCAAATACACCACCTACCATTTCATATAATAACTAATACACCCTAAGGTTGCCTTGAACAGATCGCTCATAGCGATAATGTTGCCTCTTGTGTATCATTTATGTTCATCATTTATTACTACAATAAAGAATATCTATCTAATTACTAGGTAATATTTACATACATTACATTAAAACTGAAATAATAAATAAATATGTTGGGACATTAATACACAGCACCATTTAGTTCCATGGTAAGCTACGAGGCCTGCGTTACGGATACCAGATAGTTGATATACTAAACATATGTAACTTTAAATATATATTTGTATATTATAAATATAAACACCCATGACTGGAGTAGAAACATTCGTGCTCATCGCACAAATGAATCCCCCTATCAGGACTCGAACTCGCGACCGCTAGCACAGCAAGTACTACAAACTGAGCCAAATGTGTCATCAAAATGTAACTTAAATCTGTAAAATCAATATTTATGCCTAACTACTGCTACCTTCTATATTTAAATAAAATGCTTACAAGACTTTAAATCTAAATGCAATAATAAAATAAATATACCCAAAAAATGCTACTTAAAATTTACTTTGCCACTAACTTTTATAAGGTATCAACTTTCGAAAGCACTTACAATACACTTCACGTTGATTTCTGTGAGCCATCTATGACTTAAATCTTGCACATGATGTATAATGTCCTAGTTTAAATAACATAATAATGTAGAGTACATAATTCCGAGTTATATGTCAATAAAATCAATTTATAAATAGGCATATTATAAAATCTATATATAAATAGGTTAGCACAAAACAGTTCAGTACCTTTTTCTCCTTTGTTTGTCAACCGATTTTCTTTAGTGTTATCAAATGTACTGAATAAAGGCTCGGAACCAACATTTATAAACGCACGTTCACAAACCATAATAGACCTGACGATGGCAACGACAGAAGTGTCACAATACATCCATAATTGGCATGTGTCCAATGAACTTTCCTGCTCAGACCACAGATGGATTCGTTTCACCATCGACATGAACTTACCTAAACCAACACCGAGAAGAATACCTCAAAGGACAGATCAATCTAAGTTCATTAGGTTGATTAGTTCTGAGATAGGAAAACGGCTCACAACAACAAAAACCCTTAGTGTAACTGACATAGACAAATACGTGGATAGTCTTACATCACTACTCCTAGAGAGCTACGAGCAGTCCTGTCCTCTCACCATACCACGATGGGGAGGGAAACAACACTGGTGGTGTCCCGAACTGGAAAGACACCGCCGGAAAGTCAGGAAGCTGTTCAACAGGGCTAAGAACAGCCGCACACAAGTCGACTGGGACGCCTATACAGTAGCCAGGAAACATTATAAGAAACTTATACGCCTCAGGAGGCAAGAATGCTGGAGACTCTTCTGCTCCAGCATAGAAAACAATAACCAGGCAATCAGAGTAAAGGGATGCCTCTCCAAAGAGGCAAACCACTCAATTGGCTGCCTCAAAAAACCAGATAACTCATATACCAAAACTGACGCGGAAACCAGCGAACTGCTCTTAACAACCCACTTTCCTGGCTGCCAAATAGCGAATACGCAATTATGGGAGCCATATGAAGAAAGGGTTACCAGCAGTCTAGACTGGAACGCAGCTAAAAACATTGTTAACAAAGAGAAAATAATATGGGCTATAAACACCTTCCTCCCTTTCAAAGCTGCAGGCCTCGATGGAATCTTCCCAGGGCTGCTAAAATGGGGTTTGAACATTGTAGCAGATTACCTGGTGACGCTGTTCCAAGCCTGTATAGCACACCGCTATATACCGCTGAAGTGGAGAGAAGTAAGAACAATTTTCATACCCAAACCGGGCAGGGAGGATTACACCCTGGCTAAATCCTTTAGACCTATTAGTCTCACCTCGTTCTTTCTAAAGACACTGGAGAGACTAGGGGATAGAGTGATTAGAAGTCAGTTATCCACTTCCAACCCATTACATCCAAACCAACATGCATATAGCACAGGAAAATCAACTGAATCAGTACTCCATAGTGTAGTCTCTCGCATAGATGGCTCGTAAAATCTAAAGCAACGAACCCTAGGTGCCTTTATAGACATAGAAGGAGCTTTCGATAAAACGAACTTCTCTAGCATCAGTAGAGCTCTGCACTCGAATGGGGTAGACCCAACACTCATAGAATGGATAAATAACATGTTAAAACAACGGGCTATACAGTTTACTGTTAACAACACGACGCGTGGCATCGTAAGTAAAGGCTGCCCACAGGGCGGAGTTCTGTCTCCACTGCTGTGGAACCTTGTTGTTAACGAACTCATAACAGAGCTAAACAACAACAGCCGTTATACGGTGGGGTATGCTGACAATATAGCCATTCTAATATCAGGGAATTTTGAAAGCACCTTATGCGATCTAATGAGGAAAGCCTTCAAAATAACAGAGAACTGGTGTCGTAAACACGAACTCTCTGTCAATCCCTTAAAAACCGAATTGATCATGTTTACCAACCGAAGAGTACCCGGACCTTACAGACTCCCGAAACTCTTCAACACAGAACTAAAACTTAAGGATGCAGTCAAATACTTGAGTGTAATTCTAGACAGCAAACTGCTCTGGAATAAGCACCTTGACTACAAACTAAACAAATCCGCTATTGCCTTTTATCAATGTAAAAAGATGCTAGGCAATAAATGGGGCCTTTCGCCGAAAATAACGATGTGGTTATACACTGCCATAATAAGACCAATGCTAACCTATGGGGCTCTGGTTTGGTGGACAAGAACGGAACTCCGGACTACAATCACCAAACTAGCCCGCTTTCAAAGGCTGGCACTGTCTGCTACCAGTGGATCCATGAAAACAACCCCCACAGCAGCAATAGAGGTTGCGCTCCAGACAACACCCCTGGACCTATTCATACAGCAAGAAGCGACTATGGCTGCTATAAGACTGATGCATTTAGGTCTACGGGGTAAAAACCACCATAGTCCATACACATCCATACTGGATAGAGCAATAGGACACGAACCACTTATTGCTACCCCGTGTGACAGAACACACAATAAATATATCTTTAACAAAAGATATAAAATAATTATGAGAGAAGAGGAACAAGACCACTCACCTGCCAATGAGCTACGGATTTATACTGATGGCTCAAAGACACGTGAAGGCTCAGGAGCCGGTGTATTTTCCCTTGATCTCAACATTAAAATACAAATACCATTAGGCATACACAGCTCGATTTTCCAATGCGAATGTGTAGCCATAACGGAAGCCGCAAGAACCGTGCACAGTCGTGGAGTAAACAACTACAATATAAAAATACTCTCCGACAGTGCAGCAGTTCTGCAGGCGCTAAATAACAAACAAACCAACAACAAACTAATAAGTGTATGTCACAATGCCCTGGACTTGATATCAACAACAAATCAGGTCACCCTTCAATGGATCAGGGCACACAGTGGTTCACTTGGCAACGATGCAGCTGACGAACTCGCAAAGAGGGGGTCAAAACTAGAAGTGACTGGCCCACACCCGCTTCTCCCCATACCCTTTGCACAGATTCGCACCTGGATCCGCCAAAGATCCACGACATTACAAAACAACAGATGGTCACAAACTGCAGACTGCAGACAATCTAGATCAGCTCTGCCTGCAGTAAACCCACGACTTACAAAACGCTTACTAAACCTCAATAGAACAAATCTCAAAATAATGATAGGGACGATAACGGGCCACTGTCCCTTGAACAAACACCTATATAACATCGGCGCAACGGACACCCCTCTGTGCAGAGGGTGCCTCGGCGCTGAAGAATCAGTTGCCCACGTAATCCTGGAATGCGTAGCGGTAAGTTCTCAACGCGAAGAAATCCTCGGACCAGTGAAGTCGCTCTGCGAAGCCTGTGAAGTTCCCAGGAAACTTCTGCGCTTCTGGGCGGAGCTCGGCTGGCTAATATAGCCAGGATTCGCACGCACAACGGACCATAAGAGAGTCTAAGTGCTGAAAACGAGTCCACTTTACATTTACATTTTTTTTTGTGTTATCAAATAAATTGTTTTTTTTTTTAAATTTGGATAGGTAAAACATTCTATTCTATTATATTATTTTTTTATTAGTATTTTAAATTTTCAATAATGATTATGGTCGAGTTTCGACCTCTCGGCGACCACTAGTGATTCTATATTTGCGAATATATTTTATTGTAATAGATTTTATCCACAACATTTGAAAGAAAGTGTTTCTGGTGTAAAATAATGAAATTCGGAATATGCGTGCTTTTTGTTTTTTTTTATATACAATAGTTTACATCGTTATATAATTGGAAAACAAAATCCAGTTCCAAAAAACTAAACTTTTGTACAAAAAAATGATTTAAAAATATCGTACAAATACAGATACTTTAAACGTCAACCATTTTAGCGCATTTGGCGTGACGTCATACCTTATAATGTTTATGCTGGGCCCGCGCGTTATCAGCGGCCGCCAAAGCATTGGAATATTCCATCTGCAGCTCCTTCATCCTCGCCTCAACCCTTGCCAAGTCCTCTTTCAGTAAGTCTCGTTCAGACTGCAGTTGAGATGCCTGAGCTTGAGCGTTCCGCAAATCACAGTTACTCCGCTCTGTGATCCCCATGCTTAGTTCTTGGTTGGTGCGTTGCAGTGCCATGCGTTCTTCTTTTTCTACTTCTATCTGCCTTTCTAAACGTCTGATGGAAATGGAATTATGCTAATATTATTATTTTTTTTATTATGGGAGTAAGAAAGCAATATTTCAAAATACAAAATATGTATTAATTTTACTATTATTTGGGATGTGACGATGCACAGCATCTGTGAGAGGGCGTTGTATACTTTCCTTTTATTAGCCAATCACTTTCGACTTCCTCTTGATATTTTCGACCAATCAACGCCTTGCGTGAAATCACGTGGTCCCAGGTGGCAGGGCGCCAAAGGCGAACGTTCTTACCCCATAGCGTCGTTATTTCCCGATCGAGTAACATCGTTTCTTAATAAGTGTTAAAAAGTGAAAAATAGGAAAAAAATATTTCAAATAAGAGTGAAAAAGTGTCTTTGTGTTTAGTTTTAAAGCATTATCATATCTAAATAGTGTTAAAATAAGTGAGTGATGAGTGATCATAATCAGTGCAGTGGCGTAAGCTTTGATCAGGATAATCCTGACGAAATGGAGGTAGGCATATGCCTTCATCTGGTCGCAAGCGCCTACATTCGAGCGGAAGTTCGAGTTCCTCTCAATCTGACTCATCCGATTTAGAGGTAAAAAGGCGGAGAACGGGTGAGTCGGCTTCAGACATTAATAATCTTGTCAATCAAGTATCTATTTTGACTAATATTTTAATGCAAAATATGTGTGCACCAAATGTTACTGCTAACAAAAGTGTAACGGCAATAAGTGACGTTCAATCGAGTGGGCTACCCGTATCAGAGCCAACGCCGGGGCCTAGCACGTCATATTTAAATTTTAATATAACAAGGCCTGCGGCCGTTCATGAGTGCTTCGTTAATAACATTCCCCGTTTAAATTTGGGTGTTGTCAATACATCCTTCAAGGAACCTAAAGTACCTAAAGCTAATCCAGAACATTTGCACCGGCTTGAGGTTTTACAAAGATTCGGTGATATAGCTTGGAAAGATGTTCGGTATAATGATGTGTTAAAAATCCATAACGCCGCGCCTGGCTTTGTTGAGATACAAATTAATGATGATCTCAGGCAATTTATTAAAGGCAAAGATTACGTAGCCAGTTCTGAAAGATTAAGAGCTCCTTTATGCAATGCATTGATCTCTCAGCGAGAGGTTCTCAATCATTGTTTGCAGAAAGTTATTGATTGGACAGCTTTACCTGACAGTACACTGTCGCCTTCAAATATTTACGATGAAATATCTGAGTGTTTCCTACCCTCATCTAAATTTCATAAAATTAGTGAGGAGATTATGCAATTAGTGTGCGGGAAACGGGTGGAATATTTTGAAACTCGTAGGGAGCGTATCCTTAGTGAGATTTCAAACAAGAATTTGCGTGAGGGTCTGCGTAAGATTCCTCCGAGTTCTAGCTTTTTATTTGACGAAACTCTACTGCGGTCCTATATTCAGAATACGGGCGGATCAGATAAATGGCTTCAACCTTGGTTTTCTTCTGAGAAGAGCCAGGCTGTCAATAGTCGTAAAGTGCCTAGCAAGCCAGTTCAGCACAATTTTCGAGACTTATCAAATCAGCCCTTTCGTCAAAAAGCTAGCGAGTCAAGTTATCGGAAAAACCATAGCACAAGCTCATTCAAGCAGAACACTAAGAGCAAGCAATCCCAAGGTAAAGTCAATAGACGAACCAAGGGGCAACCTGATAAATGACTCGCAACCAATTCGCCAAACATTTTACGGAGGCTGTCTCAGAGCGTATCTGAGACGGTGGCAGATGCTTCGGGCTCCGAAAGCCCTTCTCGAATTGATTACGGGAATGCGTCTGCCATTTACCTCCAAGCCACCACTCATTCTTCCTTCAATAAGAATGATGAAGCGGTTCGAGACCGCTCATACGCCAGAAATGTCAATTCAGATCAAGCAGCTATTACAACAAGGCGTTCTAGAAGTTGTGAAGCCACAGGATGTGGGTCCAAGTTTTCTTTCTACAATGTTCTTGACAAAAAAGAGCAATGGATCCGAAAGGCCAATATTCAATTTAAACCGACTGAATTGTTTTATAATTCCGAAAACCTTCAAACTGATATCTCACTTTCAAGTTCCTCACTTCCTACAAAGGGAAGACTGGATGGTGAAATTGGACCTGTCCTCAGCTTATTTCCATGTGAACGTTACAAGGAGTCATCGGCGGTTTCTGAGGCTTGTTTACGACAACGTGATTATGCAAATGACATGCCTCCCGTTCGGACTATCATGTGCGCCCAAGGTCTTCTCAGCTCTAACGAACTGGGTAGCACAGTGCCTGCGATCCAAGGGCATGCGAGTCATAGTTTACTTGGACGATTTTCTAATCGCATGTCAGTCGAAAAGTCAACTTCAAAGCCATGTAAGATCGGCAATCAGTGTTTTGGAGAACTTAGGATGGACAATAAACTACGACAAATCCGAAATCGAGCCAGTTCAAAAAATGGAATATTTAGGGTTAGTTTGGGACACCAAAGCCAACTACAAAAGCTTACCAACCAAAAAGATCCAGAAGTTATTACTGATATTGAAGAGGATAGTACGGAGACTGAAAATGTCATTAAAGGAGGCTCAAATAATATTAGGAACTCTAAACTTTGCGTGTTTCGTTGTACCAAGAGGTCGTCTTTATTGTCGTCAACTGCAAATACATTTACGAAATCTGATGCACCTCCCATCCAACCGCAAACCAGTAGAAGTAACATGTGTTGTCATGCGAGATCTCAGGTGGTGGATTACTACTCTGCAGAGTCCAATAGTTCGGAGCAGCCTGCATTGTCAGTTAATTCAACACTTTTTGACAACAGATGCAGCGGATTACGGGTGGGGGGCACAATTGGACGACCAGTTCATATCAGGAGGATGGACGCGAGCCCAACGTCACTGGCATTCCAATCGGAAAGAGATGTTTTCCTTAATAGCACCCGTAAAACATTTTCGAAATCGACTTCATGGTCGTCATTTGAATTTCCAATCGGACAGTCGAACAGTGATATCTTATGTTCGAAGAGAAGGAGGAACACGATCGACAGCGTTGCTCCATATGACTTATCAACTCTTGGATTTGATAGACAAAGAAGAAATTTTATTAACAGCAGAGTACATTCCCGGGAAATTCAACAGTATTGCAGACAGCTTATCCCGCGGGAAAAGGATTTCGGAATGGCATCTTTTACGACCAGCTCTCGTCAATATATTCCGAAAGTTTGGGATTCCCAAAATAGATCTCTTTGCAAGCAAGGAAACGAGAGTTGTGGAGCAATATGTTACCAAAGATTGTCTGGACTCTTCAGCACAATTTTGCAACGCATTCAGTCGTCAGTGGCAATACCAGCTGGCATGGGTGTTCCCACCACCAAGCTTAATACCTCGAGTTCTGCACCACTTAAACGCTGCTCGAGGAACATTTCTTTTAGTAGCCCCAATGTGGAAGAGGGCTTATTGGCTACCAGATCTCCGTCGACGAGCGCTGGCCAGACCAATGAAAATAACCAAGCTGGACCAAGTGCTAATAGATCAGATAATCGGCCTCCCACCACCTCACGTTCAGAACATGGATCTTTACGTCTGGAAGATAGCAGCTGGGGCGAGGTAACTAAAGCTTGGTCAGAAGCCGAAAAATCGCTTCTTAGAGCTGGCTGGAGAGAATCAACATTAAAAACTTATGGACCAGCATGGTCCCGATGGATGAAATGGTGTAAAAATAATAGTTTTGATTGCAACTTTCCTTGTGATGTTATTCTCTCGAGATTCTTAGCATATCTTCACCTTGAAGAGAGATTAGCTTATCCGACTATATTGTTGCATAAGTCAGTAGTTTTATCTTTTGGGCAAGTCAAACACAATGAACATTTAAATTCTAACTTTCTCGTTCGACATATTCTTAAAGCTATCTCTCTTCAAAGTCCAAAGTTACAGAGATCACCCATTTGGGACCCAAGTGACCTACTTGTCTGGCTGGAGCTAAATCCCCCGAACAATATCAGTTTGTTTGAAGCTTCCCGCCGCTGTGTATGTCTTTTCTTATTAGCATCTGGTAGACGCGTTCACGATCTTACTTTACTCAGAATATCTAATGACTGTTACTTTGACAATGACAGTCATATTATCCTTTATCCTGTATTTGGGTCAAAAACAGACACAGCTACATACAGGTAATCAGGTTGGAAGCTCTCTTGTCATAGCAAAGAGAATATATGCCCAGTTCGGTGGTTAAGAAAAGTAGTTGAGTTAGGCAAGACGAGGCGTACAGCCGAATGTAATGAGTCCTTGTTTGTGTCGATTAGAGGTGTCATGCAAAGTGCGTCGCGTACTGTTATTGGTAACTGGATTAAAACTGTTTTGAAAGACGCAGGCATTACGGCTTCTCTAGGCAGTTTGCGTTCGGCTGTAGCTTCTTTAAACTGGGTTAACAATTTTCCAATAGAAGAAATTCTTACCCGTGGTAATTGGCAAAATAAAAATACATTTGCTAAATATTATTGTAAGCAAATCATAAGCAGAGCTAAAAGTCAATGTGTAGAGAGTTTTTCGAATAATTTTGAGCCAGTTTGATTTATTTCGCTAATTGTGGCTAAGAAGTCGAGTATAATAGAATCATTTATATTATTGCTGAATTATTGTGATTCTGATTTATAATAAAACGGTGTTACTCATGTGTCTTTTTTGTTCTTGCAGCCTTTGTGCATCTAATTTAGTTTTCTTCCTCACATAGCGTCATTGTGGTCACCAGGAGTTATAAACACGTCTCTCACAGATGCTGTGCATCGTCACATCCCAAATAATAGTACAAGTTTTACAAAACAATAAAACTTGTATTATTAAGAAGAGACGATGCACAGCATCCATTCAAGTTCTCCTGGTGAGAGACTTCTATGAGGTAAGAACGCTCGCCTTTGGCGCCCTGCCACCTGGGGCCACGTGATTTCAAGCAAGGCGTTGATTGGTCGAAAATATCAAGAGGAAGTCGTAAGTGATTGGCTAATAAAAGGGAAGTATACAACGCCCTCTCCCACAGATGCTGTGCATCTTCTCTCCTTAATAATACAAGTTTTATTGTTTTGTAAAACTTGTACTATTATGTGCTTTTGTAGATAATAAAGATATTGAAAAAAAAAAATGAAATGTACTAAGAGGTTTCTAATGATAATATAAAGTTTCATTGACACTAAGAAAACTTACTAACACAGTTTGTAAGTATCATGAATTACTAACAAAGTATGCTATTGGTAATTCTGATAATGATTTATAATTATCATAAATAAACCTGAATATTTTAACGAATACATTATAATCATCTATCCAATATCATCTATACAAATATGTATTATAAAAAGGAAAAATTTGTGAGTTTGTAACATTGTAGGGGTAATCTCTAGACCTGCTAAACCGATTTAGATGAAATTTGGTAAGAAGATAGTTTGAGACTCTGGTAAGGGCATAGAATACTTTTTTCCCGGAAATTATCCCTTAAGGAAGTGTAAATGGGGATGAAATTTTGCATGGGGAATCAAGCCAGAAACGAACCTGTGCGAAGCGAGAGTAAGTCGCAAGTAAGTTATATAAATAATCCTCACTTATTCTGCAAAGTGAGCGCAGTGATGTCGGCCTGCAGCGCGGCGCGCAGACGCTCAGCTTCGGCGTCGGCGGCGCGTCGGGCGCGCTCGGCCGCCGCGCCGCTCGCCGCCTCCGCCGCCGCCAGCTTGCTCTGCAGCGACGCAACCTCCCGCCCGCGCATTGCTGCTAGCTTTTCTGCAGACCTGGTCAGTTAAACATATAATCAAATATGTTGGGACATTAACACACATCACCATCTAGTTCCATGGTAAGCTACGAGACTTGTGCTATGGATACCAGATAGTTGATACACTATACACATTGTATAACTTTAAATACATACATATTATAAATATAAACACCCATGACTGGAGTACAAACATTCATGCTCATCACATAAATGAAATCCCCCCAGCGGGACTCGAACCCGCGACCGCTGGCACAGCGATTTACCTTCGCTTAGCTCGAGTGTGTCAATAGGTGCTTTAAAACTAAGTTTAGTCTACATATTACTCCATAACATACTTTATCTATGTACTAAATTTCATCTGAATCCATCCAACAGTTTCAACATAAAACAACACACATGTCACATTAATAATACATAGTAATTTGACTATTTAATAGCCAAAATCGACATTATATTACTAAGTATTTTATATAATACACATACTTGAATGTTGCTAGGTCTATTGCTGTACAATCATGAGATGCGTTGAATCCACCGCTGCTGTCTTCATTTTCTTCAATAGCTACATATGAGTATCCTAAAAAAATAGCATTATGACAATATATACGGTTTATAATAAACATAAATTAGGTAAAATCTGTGTTACTTACCCACAAAAGGAAGATGTCCAGCAAAAGGTGGTCGAGTGCGAAAAGGCGCGGCAGAGGGTGGAGAGGGCTCGCGCGTTGGACAGGGCAAGAATGTGGTGTCCTCTGGTCCACGGAGATGTGGCACCCATGGCGGAACCTTAAGAATTTTTTTTATGTCAATGAACAACTGAGAAAAAACTACGATAAATATTTAAATTATCATTTTGAAGAAATTGCGAATTTGTTAGAAACATTGAAAATTGAAAAAAGTAAATTTTGCTAATTTCTTTTAACATTACGACAATAAATCACTATAACTTCTTATTCAGCTAAAAGGATGTCAAACTATTATTATTATTAATTATTATTAAACAAATATAAGATAATTGTAATATCCTCGTAACCGATGTCGATGATGATAATGTGAGTGAGTGAGATATCATATTACAATAAAAAGGTATTCTTTAGTACATTCAAACTCCTCTGGAACCATTTGAAATGACTTGTGAAAGGTCCGGCAGTGGGACTCCAGGCTGTTACTGAGAATTTCCTGACAGAAAAACGCAACCTGGCCCGACCCGGGACTCAAACCCAGGTACGATCTCCGACATGCTATACAGTATCCACTAGACCACAAAGTTAGTTTATCATATAGAGGACATAAAGATAACCTGATCGCGTATAGAGTGCAGAGCCAGATGCGCGAGCGCGGGGTGCTGCAGCGTGTCGAGGTAGTTGAAGCGGCGCGCGGGCGCCACGCGCAGCAGGCCGCCTACCAGCGCGCGCCACGCCGCCGCCGGGCCCGCGGGCAGCGGCTCGAACGGCGGCTCCGAATTAGGCTCTCGTTCGTATCTGATCAAGTATTAGTTATAAAATAATTAAGTATCACACACATACATTTTATTTATTCTAATTGCAAAGTATTATGATACTTTGGAGAATCTATTTCTGCCCTAATTATTATGAAAAAAGAGTCGTGAACTTATTGCAAATGAATTTTCGTGCTTTTATTATTAAACAACAAATTAAAATATTATAAAATCAGAAGTAGAAGTCTCACAGTATTTTATAATTACTAATTACTCATAAAACTACAATAAACCGTATTGCATTTTAAAGAAAATAAATTATCTTACTTTTGTATGTTACTAAGGATTTGTGCTGTAGTGTCATCATCACTTGAAGAAAATGGCCTCTTGAGTGTCACAAGTTCAAACGCCACCACGCCTAGCGACCAGTAGTCGCAAGCCGACTGTTAACAAAATTACCCCATTATATTGGATTTTCTCTTTAATTTAAATATACAATGTGTCGTTATTTTTAAAATACTGTTTTATTAGCCCACAAAAATGTTTCTTTTTTTTATATTACTAATCTATATATAAATACAAATGAATCGTGAAATGTGCCGCTAAGCTCAAAACTCGAGAACTGTAAACATTTTTCTTATTCAAATATTCGCTAAAGTCTAAGGAAGATTCCTATGAAGACACAAATTAGACAAAATGCCTGGAAAAACGTAAAAACACTATTTTTCTAATCGGTCCTGTTACATGCTTGATTTGACAGAACAAAGTCTGTTGGGTCAGGTAGTCATTAATATTAATCAAATTAAAGAAAATTTTTAACAAGACTTAGAATCTAATATTGTAAAAAATAACTAAAAACATACATATCTAGACAGTCATTACTCATTAAGAAATTAAAAAAAAAGTTATTAATTCATTCAATTGACAAACCCCATGCAAGTACTACTATACTTCTTTTTGTAACTAACTACATACACACAAGAGAAGCTACAACAGATAATCCTCCTAAGGCAATCAAATAAAAAAAATAAGTAGCCAAATTCCAAGAAATTAATTACGTTATTTAAATAAAATACCACAAATCCATGTTCTAGTGTTATCGTGCTTTACATTTCTTTCTTTTGCGTGCTATAGATGTGCTTATAAAAGTTATATAAAAAAATTACTAATATCTAAATTATTTTTATTCCTTTAGTATAAGTACAATCATTTAAACCAATCTCTAAATTTTAATATACTATGATAACTTGACGTGGGCTTTACAGAAATTACAACATATAAGAAAGAACACGGTTTACTAAACCATACAGTGACGTAGGCGTCTGAACAGGGTAATCATGCGGGGTTTACGAGGTGTGACGCGAGTGAAGCGCACCTGTCTAGAATACTGACTTCCATATGACAATTGGGAAACGGCTTTGCCCATCAGATAACACATTGTTCATCATGAACGTTGGTATTTTTGACAGCTGTTCTGTAAAAATCGATAGACCTGACCAGATCGCCTGATGCCTACTGTATCGACTTTTATATGTATGTAATTGTAACTATAGTACCAAATAAATTATCAAAACATAATATGAAAATTAGTACGAGTAAAGCCCACGAAGTAATCACAAAAGCGTTAGTCCGTGCAACACCCACAATGGCCGTGTTAACCCGGCGGCAGTACTCGAGACACACAGAGTGCGCGGCGGAGCAGTCGCCCAGCAGCTCGGGCGCCACGTAGTCCGCCGTGCCGCCCGCCACGCACCCGCCTTCTGACAAGCGCGCGCAGGTTCCGAAGTCGCCTAACTTTACGTGGCCGCATCTGTAAATAACAAGTATATTATAACAAATAATAAGTATAACATAGTAATATTATTAGACATTACGTTGACGTGTGACGTTAGATCTTGTAATATGGTTGTTCTGTCCCCCGATGTGTATTCATCTTGTCGTGATTATTAGCGTCCGGCAATCCAGCCGAGCGTGAAGCCAAGACACTCACTTCACTTCTGGCCATATGCGGGTTGGCGGACTTCACATGTCTTTCGAAAACTTGCTAGGTTCTCTCAGACATGAAGGTATTCTCACGATGTTTTCCTTCACCGTAAGACAAGTGGTAATCATGTTGGAAATGTTTCGCACATGAAAATATCAGAGGTGCGAGACCTGGGATTTGAACCCGCGTCACTCGGTTTCCCAAGCGAGCGCGTTACCACTGGGCTACCAGTGCCTTAATACTGGCATTAACTGTAAGATGTAACAATATATATTTTCAGTCCATAATGTGGCATTAAATGATTTTGGATTGATTTTAATATATTGTAAGCATGTGTGTATTTTGTTCTATGAAAACTATCATGTACATACCTATCCAAGAATATATTTTGAGGTTTGACATCTCTATGCACGTAGCCCATAGCATGTAATGTTTTAAGAGCGTGCGCTACTTCAGCAATATAAAATGCTGCATCCCTTTCGGAGAGCGGATTATTGCGGCGAGCAAGTAAGCCTGCCAAGTCACCGCCATTACATAATTCCATAACAAGGTAAAGATTGCTGTTGTCCTGAAAAAATATAGTATATAAATAAGTTATTTTAAAAAATCGATCGTTCGAATTCTACTTGGGGCTAACGTGTATAATTGTCATATCGATATATTTAAAATAGTTCTTTTTGCTCTGCGAACTATCAATATTAGTGGAAAAAAAAAAAATATTAATACTTATAAAACTTAATATCAACATATCTCAAACAGATTTAAATTATTTTTTATATTGAAAAGAACCATATGAACCAACCTGAAAAGCATATTGTAGACGTGGTATCCAATGACCTGTTGCATTTGCCAATATATCCCGTTCGTCTTCTGCACCTGTAACGCGTTTGCGAGCCTGTTCTTTACGGACACTTTTCAGAGCATATACGTCACCTGTTTGCTTTTCTTTGACCATCTAGAAAAATGAAAAAATATTTACTTCTAAATTTTAATCAAATTTATTCCAAATGAACAACAGTAGTGGCGCAGCAGATGTGTTTAGCTGCCTAGTATGTGGATGATCGTGGGTTCGATTTTCAAGAAAAGTAATTAATATGTCATATCCTGAGGATACATATTATAGGATAATATGTATGAGGGAAAAAGATCAAAGTGAGACATACTTCGATGATCTGTCAATCCCTGAGAACTCTGAAGAACAAGTGTTAATTAAAAAAAACTGGAAAATATATTTATAGTTAATAAAATTTAACAATGTTAATATATTACATGCACTTCTCCATAATGACCACGTCCAATCATCTGGATAGTCTCAAAGTCTGTAAGACAAACGCGAGTCCTTCGTAAATCTGCCAATGTACTGCGATCTGAAAAAAAAGGAAAATTATTTTCAAAAAAAAAAAATGAAATTTAAATTCGGTCTGAAATGAATCTGTTAGGTGTTAGGTTCGCAAAGTTTCGTTATTATAAATTATTGATTAACAAAATTTTTATATGGGTAAAAAAAATATGATTCAAAACTTAAAACATTTCTCCATTTATAATAAAGTTTTTGTCGATTATTAGTTACTATCGGCTTACCCTCGCTTCACTCGGGTTCGCCTCTAGAAAAACAAAAACAAATCTATCCCTCAGAGTCGTATATTTTTCCGGGATCAAAAGTAGCTTATATGTTATTCCCGACTATAATCTATCTCTGTGCCAAATTTCATCCAGATCCGTTCAGCCGTTCTGACGTCAAAGAGTAACAAACATCCATACATACTCACAAACTTTCACATTTATAATATTAAAAATATGGATACAGATTTATACAGATGTAATTTTACTGTTTACTACAATACCTATTAGTAGTAATCTTCTATACTTATAATAAATCTGTAGAGAGGTCAATTCTGTACATGAAATATATTTCCAAAATAACTATCAGGGGGTGATTAGGTATCGATACTGATGCCAAAAATGCAATCAGTGAAATTTGTCTGTCTGTCTGTCTGTATAACCGTTATAGAAACAAAAACTACTCGACGGGTTTTAACGAAACTTGGTACAATTATTTTTCATACTCCTGAGCTGGTTAAAGTATACTTTTCATCACGCTACAATCAATAGGAGCAGAGCAGTGAAGGGAAATGTTGGGAAAACGTTAATGGTTAAAGCTACACAGAAATCATGTATGACGGAAATGTTCTCCTTAAAATTATATAAAAAATATCCCACGACAGCATATGTCTATCTTTTATGGTTGACTCACAATAACACGTGTAACTCCCGATAGCTTAGCAGTTCGAAGCTTTCTGATTTATATTTGTCTACTCTTACGTTTATAACACTCTCAGTCATCCCTAATTATAAAAGTTAACATTATTAACTATTCCATAAAAAAGAATCATAGAAGTCGGTATAAAAACACCAAAGTTATACATGAAATACGCTAATAATAAGCCATCGCGAGTCAGGGGTATGTAAAAAGACAAATAGAACAAATCCAGATTTTTTTCAATGTTTTTGTTTCTTTGTCTGTTTGTCTGTTTGTACGGGCTAATCTCCGAATCTATTGGACCGATTTAAATGAAGTTTTGCATGGTGGTACTTTATATCCCCGGACAACGTCTTAGATATTTTTTCTCTCGGAAAATTAAATGGTTCCCGTGGGATAGTTAAAAAACTATTATAGCTTATACAACTTATGCACCTAATTTAGTAAAATTTAACATTCTAATACCTTATATTGCCGGTCAAACAACAGGTTACTTTTCATCAGGGAAAATGAACGGTTCCCGTGGGAACTAATAGATTTCTATTAGTGTTTTTAGTAATATAAATAAATGTGAAAGTGCTGAATTTTACGCTGACGCGGAGCGACGGATTGATGATTTTAAGTATGGTGATACACTCCGCGACAAAAGTATAACCCACCCCCTAATTTTGTAATATCCAATATAAAATTATAGTTATATTAATACATTACTAATACACAAAATTAGGTATTGGTATGTATATTTTACAACCAATGTATTATTTGTTAAATGCAAAATTAACCAAATACAGATGATACATAAATTTTGCGGTGCGACAAAAGTATAACCCAGGTAAATTAAATATAAATAAAACTCAAGAGAAATGCAACAAAGAGCGATTATTTATTTATTTTAATATTTAGTACTTCGATCAACATTTAGTAGATCCACCACTTTTACTTATTAATTCAATCATTCGATCTGGTAAACTGTCATATAACTTTTTAAATTGTTTTGATTCATGTTTTGCCATTCGTCAATTATTACCGTTTTTAACACTTCAGCAGTGGTAAATTCTTTTGATCCTCAATAGACAGCTCGTGATAAGTTTCCCCAATAATTTTCAATTATATTTAAGCCAGGAGAATAAGCTGCCCTTCAAGAACTTGATTATTTGTTTCAGTAAAATAGTTTTTTAACTATTTGTGCACGATGAATACTGACATTATTGTGCTGAAATATAAAATTAGGACCAGCAATTCGCATTACATGAGAAGTAATCTCTTCATTAATTATGTTTATGAACCGTTTACTATTCAATTTTCCAGAACAGGACTTTATATTCATTTTTCCTAAGTAACCAATTCCACACCATATCATTGCATTACCACCCCCGCTTGTCGTCAAATCAATACACATTTTTCTTTTCTTAAATCGTGAAAATAGTAATTAAAACCATCAGGCTCATCTAAATTAAACTTCTTTTCATCAGTGAAAATAACATTTTTCCAATTCTTCTTCCATTGAACATGGTCTTTTGCAAATTTAGATCTATCTAATTTATGTTTATCAGATACCAGTCGTTTTCTTTGTAATTTCTTACGTTTTAAGTATCGACACCCATGTATAATACTTTGACATTTCCTTAAATTAGTGCTAACAGCAGCCTCCACTGCGACTTGTCTTGGTGTAAGAGCAAAATTAGGAGTGACTCTCAGAATTGAGCTTCTTTCAGGTGGTGTTGTTGCCCTTGGGCGACCAGTCCCTCTTTCTTTTGCCATAATTTTCAGGATCTTTTAGAAAATTACGTACAACACGATGACTTCTATTGATAAATTTTGCAATTCTAACTTTCGACCAATTTTAAGAATACAATTTCCTAACTAAATTAATTCCACTTTCGTTGAAACGTTTCCCACGTGGCCTTTTATTTTAGAAATAAATAGATATCAATCGAAATAATTTTCTAGTACGTAATAATTTATGAGGAACTCAGAACAAGTATAAAAAGGAACTGACACGTCTAAAACATGAAGCTGTTCAAGCCAAAGTAAGTTATGGGTTATACTTTTGTCGCACTATCAAACTAACAATCACGCCGTAATATAAGAAAAAAACTTAGAATGTAATTGAACACATATTATAATACTACAAACAAATAAAAAATATTAATGCAATAGTAATATATCAAGATAAATTAGTCTTACATTGGATATTACAAAATTAGGGGGGTGGGTTATACTTTTGTCGCGGAGTGTAGGTAGTTGAAGGGATGGAGGTTAACATAAACACGGGGAAACATCTCATTTATTTGGCGGGAAACTTTAATTTGTTTGGTTTTCTGTATGGATAGAAATAGGCCTGACGTATGCTTCTGTTCAATATGATAAACCCGAGCGAAGGGAAAGTTCATCACTAATCTATACATATAATAAAATTGTAACTAAGCCGAATCTGTACATTCAATATTTTTTGGAAAATATTATTGAAATAAAAATTATTATCGATACAGAGGCCGAATCTATAGTTTTTAGAATTTTTGTCTGTCTGTCTGTTACCGCATCACAGAAAAACTACTGGACGGATTTTGATGAAATTTGGTATGGTCATAGTTCATTATCCGGGTCAACATATAGAATACTTTTTACCGCAGAAAAATATCTTATTTCTGAGAAAAAATACAAAAACTGGTAAGAATAAAAAAACGATGATACTATATACATTTTAGCAAGTTAACTTAATAAATATGACAAAAACTATTAAAAATAGCTAATCTTCAAAAAGTATAACAATAGCACTTTTTTATTCATAAAAAAAGTTAATTTAATGAATATTTATTTTTGTATTATTTAGATATTTGTCAATAGATGTCGCCATGTGTCTTTAAAATACGTAATTTTAATTCCAAAAAATTTAATATACAAATTAGACCTTTCTAGGATTTTATTAGAATTACTACTAAATTACCCGAGGCCCCGCCCATGTTCAAATTATCAAAAAACAATCTTTTTGGCTTTATAAATTAGTTACATCTATAGATACATTAAAATTTTAATTAATAACTAAAATAATATAATAAATACATATTTATATCGCTAACAGAGGCGGAACCTATAGTTTTAAGAATTTTTGTCTGTCTGTGTCTGTGACCGCATCACAGAAAAAAAACTGGAGGGATTTTGAAGAAATTTGGTATGGTAATAGCTGGTTATCCAGGTCAACTAATATAACTAATACGAGTATACTAATATGTAAAACCTAAGAATTTAGTTTTGGTCATATAAACGCGGGCGGAGCCGCGGGCAATGCTAGTCAATAATATTTCTCTACTAGTGCAATCAATCTAATAAAGTACTTCATATATTTTTGGTTCAGTTGCATCATTTGATCATACAAGAAAAGATATAATATTGCCACAATATTAAAGTCCTCATCGCCTTTGATTTTACCTGAAATCTCGCCAAATGCAAGGGATGTTAAAAATTACCAATTTTCATGCGGAACATTTTAGCCGTTAAAGCACTGTAATCTCTTCATCTCCCTTTCAACAACTGTAGTCTGTATGTATAGTAGACTATGATCTATACTAATATTATAAAGAGATAAAATTTGTGAGTTTGTGACGTTGTAGGGTAATCTCTGGATCTATTGATACCGATTTAGATGAAATTTGGTAAGAAGATAGTTTGGGACCCTGGAAAGGACATAAGATACTTTTTATCCCGGAAATCATCCCTTAAGTGGGTGAAAATGGGGATGAAAGTATGTATGGGAAATCAAGCCAGGGATGAACCCGAGCGTAGCGAGGTTGAGTCGCTAGTGTTGAATATTTTGGGAAGACTTACAACTATTCTCTCACTTTAGTCAAAGTTCACTTCATTTTAAAAAAGCTCCAGTAATAATGTTATAATGTTGAGTAAATCTATATTAATAATTAATATTAAGAATGGAAAAAGTTTGTGAGATTGTGAGTTTGTGACACTGTAGGGGGTAATATCTGGATTTACTGAACCGTTTTTGATGTTATTTGGTAAGAAGATAGTTTGAGAGTTAAGGACGTGGGATACTTTTTTCGCGGAAATCATCCCTTTAGGGAGTGAAAATGGGGATGAAGGTTTGTATAGGGAATCAAGCTAGGGACGAACACGAGCAAAGTGAGAGTGAGTCGCTAGTTATTGATAAAATCTATAGGTTCACATTAGGTACAAAAATTGGTTCATATAAATTACAATAGATGGCACATATTATTAACAAAACTTAAAAAATAGATCTAAACTATAAAAATAAAAAACCTGACTGTAAAATGTGAACTAAACAGAAGAAAAAGGAAAATAGTATTATAGCGTTAAAGCCATATATGTTTATTATTATCAGATCACCAGTGCCAGAATTGTTTGAATCAATTCAAAATTGTATTATTATTATAGTACATATTATCTGTTATTTTATCCGTTACCTATATAAATTATTAGACTATTACAGAAATGCAATTTATGAGTTTGTATGTCCCTACATACAAACTGCCCATGGCAAACTTGGGTACTAATAATACAATTTTGGATTTTATTTACTGATAGCTAAATTATATTAGAGTACTATAAAATATATTTCTTTTTTTTTTTGTTTTTTATTGAACAGTAATTTTGGATTTACAGTGTTTAAGGGTTGCAAATTTGTAGGCTTTTAACATTTATACATAAAAGCCATATACATCTGGGCCAAAAGTATAAATAAGCATGCAAGGCTGTTGCTAATGTTCTATAAATAATTTAGTGTTTTAAATTTGTGGTTACTTTTATATGGTATATTAATTGAAGCGTAATGTATATTCTTATAAATGTACCTCCATAAATCCATCAATTAAAAAAAAAATTTTTTCAATAATTAACTGTCAATAGTTTATTTCACAAATTGTGTAAATTATAAACCACTATTTATACAATTTAAGTAATTTCAACATCTCAATATTAAGTTGTGATAAAATTTGAGACTATTATATGCCATTTCTATCTTTGAAAATAAATGATAGTGCTGATAGATAGTTGATAGAAAATTGTATTCAAATTATGCTAGTTTAGTGAAATTATTGTTCAATACTGGCATTATTCTGAGAAGGGAGGGAAGGGAGAAGAAATTATACTGGACTAAAATATGTAGGTCTCAGCAGGAGGTAATTTTTATGATTTTTGTATAATTGATGAAATGTAGTTAGTTTCATGAAGTTGTTTATGTAACACATATAGCCATGCGCATATTATTATGAGTACTATAATAAATTTTGAAATTTAAATCAAAAGCAGACATCATTTTGTAATAATTATTACCAACTTGAATAAACAGCAATCTTTAACTAATTTTTTTAATAAAATTAAACATTTCCTTGCTTATTCTTGTTATTTTTTTATTAAAAAAATATATCCTGTAAATAAAGAAATCCTTGAACATGGACAGGTGTTTTGCGGTGTATGATTTTATATTCAACTTACATTTATCGAGGAAAGTGCGAACGAGTTCATCGCACTTTTTAACAGAATCTTCATTACACTCGTCGTATAAAACTGTTAAAGCATCTAACAGAGTTTCTCGATCAATTTTTCTACTGAGTTTAGTTGTACCACTCGTCACTTTGCCTATTATTTGTCTATTTATTCGAGTAATACGAACAGCAATAGCTTCTTTTGATGGCTCCATAATAATTTAAATAGGTCAATATAATTTTAAAGAATCTCAAACATTTTACTCGGTCAGTTTGTTTATATTACTTTTTTATTATCAAAAAGCTTAGAGCATTGTTTCAACAGCCCGGTGCTGTTGCCGTTATTTTTTGAAAATCGAAAACTTAAAGTGACACGAAGACTCCAGTGTTGCCTCTCTAATAAAAACCATGGATGACAAATGATATTAAACCACAATTCACAGATAAAGGAGATTAATGAGAGCTACCGCGCTTGAATTCTCCGCGAGAGGGCGTTAGTATAGAGTGAGGTTATAGTCATTAGTCACTGCTCTCTAGAAATTGTAGTCTAGAAAATAGAAATATCAAATGACACTGAACGAACTGTTTACGAGCTTTTCATAGCGGATTTTCACTAATTATTCATGATTATTGCAGAGATTGTGCCATTCTGATTCAGGCGATTAGTATCCCCAATGGCCTTGAGTGTTTGGGCGGGTCTTAGCGCGCTGCACCCGCGCACCCCGCAAAAGGCATCAAACAATCCACGATCAAAGAATATGCCACATAGGCGCGCGGCAAAGTTATTGTTTATTTAGTTTAACTGCCTACGAGCGATACAATCCGAAAAGAGTCAAAGAGATGCAATGCTAGAATTATCCTACTATATAATATAACTATTTATAATCCTACTAATAGTCTAAAATACTTGAATGATTGTAAGTTTGTTTGTTAATCACGCGTAAAATAAACGGCTAAACCGATTTTCATGAAATTTGGCAAATATAATAATTAATAAATATCATTGAAGGTAGTTTCTGTGTTATGCGATAACAGACAGACAGACACAAAAATTCTAAAATCTATTGATTCAGCCTCTGTGTCGATAATAATTTCTATTAAATAGACTCTATTTCAATAAGATTTTTTTAATGTACAGATTCGACTCAGTTAGAATTTTATTATATGTATAGATTATTGAAATATTCACCCATAATCTATTAGGGCTTCCATGCGCATATACATACATACACCTATAAAATATATGTATATATCTATACATATAATAATATTGTAACTAAGCCGAATCTGTACATTAAATATTTTTTTGGAAAATCTAATTGAAATAGACATTATTATCGATACAGATATATATATATATATATATATATATATATATATATATATATATATATATATATATCCGCACGAGCAGAGGATGTGCATAGCAGTTTCCTCTGTCTCATGGCATAGTCTGCACATTGCAGTCTGACTGAGGCCGAGGGTAAACATATGTTTATTGAGTTTGCAGTATTCTGGTTACCGCACTGATTTTTATAGTTGTTGAGTTGAAGCAACTCTTTTGTAAAGGTTTTGCGATATCCCTTAATTAGCGCTTTAGAGTGTGTTTGTCCAGAAGTGGATTGCCACTCTTGAAATGCTTTGAGATTAAGACCGATTAAGTAACAAAACACGTGTTTCGTCAAAATCAAGGAATTTGTCAATTGTTGATGAGTGTGCAATGAAAATCCTTTTATTTTGAGTAAACAATCGTAAAAAATCGTACAACTGGATTTGTCGTGTATTTCATAGAGTCTTACCACACCCGGGAGTTGGAGGAAAATGGTATGAGAACACTTCTATCTCACCCGGTTTTACTAATCAAACCTTTATATTATTAAAAAATAAAAGCCAACTATCGAAAAAAGGCTATTTATGCACCCTTGTGCCTGATGAAATTGACATTAAACCGTATGGACAGGTAAAAATACAGACGGACTTGTAGATTTTGCTTGTGCTTCAATTGCCGCAAAAGTTTATGTCGTAGTATTAGCATGTCTTAACGAGTGTTGGAAAGTTGCTGTTGGTTTTTTTGTCAACAGCTTGACAGGTGAAACTCGGGCTAATCTACTTAAAATTTGTTTAGTTAAATGTTTCGATACTGGTGTTGATGTAGTTGCCCTGACCTTCCCGGGGGAGAAGCCAACTCCTACCGGGCTCGTCCCCAGGTGGCGGATAGGGGCATGCCACCCGCTTAGAGGGGCGGGTGGTACCGGAGAAATCCGGCGCGGACCAAATGGCTTGGTGGGGGCCGCTCGTCGAGGCTTTGAGCCGAAAGGTTCGGCCGAAGACGTTGCGGCCACCGGTGGTGGGACCGCTTTGGCGGTCCAGCTATCGGATCAGGGGGTGCCGGTTGCGGGACTGTGGTGACAGGCCTGCGACCGGCAGGAGAGGGACCGCGGCGGGAGAGGTGTGCCGGTACTACGGGGCGCCGCTCTCCCTGCCCTCCGCGGCCTCGACGGGGCCGCCACCGTTGGATGGCGGACGCGGTGGGGCTGCAAGGGAAGAGGAGTGTCGGTGTGTCGATGCCGCTCTCCCTATCCTCTGCAGCCGGTTGTGGGTGGCCCACTTCGGTGGGGTGAGGGTGCCAGAGGGCGGTCGACTTGGGGAGGTTGGCCGTCCAGTGTTCTGGCTGAGGAGGCCGTTAGGGGTGGTCGAAGATCTCAGCTCCTGACATTGGGACGGGCCTTAGCAGACACTCGCTGTTAGGGTCACGTAAGAGTCTCTTTAGGACCCATGGCCCCGGCCTTAAGGCGAAGGAGGTGCTTTGTCAGGTTTTTTAGTGGGTAAGCTGTCGCGCGCTTACCATCTTTGCGCGGCAGGAGCCCCACATAACCCGTCTCGTATCCCCCATTGGCGAAATGGTACCCGGGAACACGGATTTTCCTGACAGAAAAAAAAAGTTACCCTGACCTTCGATGGTTACTCGTCCAACGTAGCTGCCGCCGATCTTTGGACTTGTAACTTGCATAACGCAAAAAAATTGAAAACAACATTTAAGCATCCCTCTTGTGATAAAGAAGTGGCTGTGCACCTTGATCCTTGCGACATAGTAATCAATATGGGAGAGTGCGGAAAACTTTTGAGGACAATATTTAACAATCAAGATAAGTTAATTAAGATAAGTAATTAGTTGGCAGTTTTTAATTAACCTCAACAAGCTTCCGCTCTAATCAAGGCCTTAATTTTACAAATAAATTATACGAGAGGCACATATTTTCAGGAATTAAATAATGAAAGTTAAGCTTGCGACTGAACAGCTTAGCAAGACTGTTGCTAGTGCATTACTACTTTATATAACGAGTTACGGACTTCCTCCAAATTCAATGACACGGAAGCAACGGTAGAGTATTATAAATAACGTTACCACATTACTTGTTATTTTTAATTTAGTGTCAGAGACAGGTTTAGTTTCAACAAGAAACCTAGTAAACAAAAAAAATGGGTGTACGTCCAAATAACCCATACTTCCGATTAATTAGTATTTTGGTATACATATACAATATACATACATATATGGATTTCGAAGTATATATTCGTTTTTTTAATAAAAACGAATATGTTAAAAAATCACATTTTTATCATGGCCTACAACTTTTGAATTAAATATTTTCCTCTAAAATCAATATTTATCACGATAAACGCGACTAACATTGAAAATAAAAAAAATATATAATAAAAATAAACATTTTCTCTTTGATTTGACCTTGAAAATTAAATATGTACGCACATTTGAACTACACATTCGTTATCAGCGCTTCGAAATCCATATGTATATGTACCAAATTTTAGATCAATCAGAGGTATGGGCTATTCGGAAGTATCCCCAAAAAAAATTTTGTAAACAGAATATTTTCTGTTTCGTACTAATCTGAGTACCTAAGATTTTTTTCCGTACTCGGTTTTAAACTTATTTTTCTTATTACACTTAGATACGACTCCCAATCCTATTTAATTAATTTTGCGATTTTTCTCCAGCAACCTGTAAGTAGCGCCGGCTACGATAATGGTTTTCCGCAGCAAATGTTGGTAGCCGCTTAGAGCTAGGGGCATGGAGAAGTAGCAAGGTTTAATTATAATAGACCACTCCTATAAATTACCATCCATCGTAATCCTGGGCAGCCCTCGTTTCATCCTCTGCTGCTTATTAATTGCACGGTGCTACAATTTTTTTTTTAAATGCCGCCTCCACTATACGTTATACTTACATGGCGTGCCGCAGCACCATCGACCGTCAATACGTCTGTAGAGATGACCACTTCCACTTCAGCACGAAGTTCCGACACTAATTCTGTATGCGATGTATATTACTTCGTTAGAGATTCTATCTATTAGAGAAACCTCAAGCATCTTGTGTTTCATCGCTTGCTGACTGTATTTGTGCCCCTACTCTATAACCTGTCCACTTGTCAGTTCCGTCATTACAAGTTATGAGGTCAAGTTACATTAGGGACTATGGGTTTGACGACTCAAAAATGAGATATCGCGGATGACAAACAAACGGCTGGCCTCCCTCTCTAATTTATATAGTTTGACTAAGATATATTTACTTACCATTTCAAGGATAGTAATATTTACTATCACTGGTCACGGAGTTACTTACATGAAATTTAAATAAAATTAAACTAAATAAAAGTTGTAGGTACGTTTAAATTCTTTTGTGACAATTTAGACTGCATTATCACAACAAATTGCTATGAAATGATAATTATCATCTTTATCAATAATTAAATGTACTTTTTAATAACAGTATAATAATATTAACAATGTTTTTACTTACACTGTATAATATGTTTTATTTTTTTTAGTCATCAAAATTGTTTAACAATGTAAGAAGCGTATACACTATACACTAACCAAATTACTTTTATATTTTTTAAATTCAAACTGTATTAAGCCTAGTAATTATTAAGTATGTAATATCAAGGTTTTAATATAGAATGCCATTTGTTCATTTTTTGTTTCATGTTTTATATTTAAAGCTTTATTTAGAGTTCCGGGTTTTAATGAAACTACTTAAAATGGGTAAGTTGTATATACATATTATATTATGTGTCTGTGTGTTTGTTATTCCTACATACTGAAACGGCTGGACGGATTTGGATGAAATTTAGTGCACTGATAAACTACAAACTGGAGTAATACCTACATACGCTACTGTACCTAAGGATTTTAGTCCAGTTAGATAATAAGAATATTTTTTTTACTTCGTTATATTTTATTTTATAATATAGATTTAATATGTGACATTGTGGCTATTTTCTTATCTTTTAAAAGAGAACCATTTTTTTTAATGTACCTATTATATATGTTAATTTTTTTTATATTCAGGACTTTATTTACAGTTCCAGGATTTTTAGTACTCATAATGATAACAAAAAATTTAAATGGAGAAGTAAGCTTTTTTTTTAATTGTAAGCAATTTTTTATGTATCAATTATATGAATTGATATAAAATATATCTAACAGAAATATAAAAGAAGTATTAAAATATCTCAAAAATTTACAAAGTAATTAAACTTTAAAGTTGCGCTTGGAAGAATAATTTCGTGACGCCACACGATCTGAACGATCGAAATTTGAAATTTGAATTAATTTATCAGTCATTTATTGATAGATTATTGAGAAGTATAATATATACAATACTGTGTTCATAAATTTCTAGCCTTCTAAATAATTAAAATAGAAAAATAAACTAGATTCATTCATGATGTAGACCGCGGTTAGTGTGTAAGCATAGCGCTCGTTTATATAAGACGTTGAGTCGCATTTATTGGCAGTTTTGTACTTGCTTTGCTAGAGTTCGTTGTGTAGCATTCTATTTTGATCAGTTTATATTTAAATATCAAGTTTTCCTGTGGTGTGAAAATTATGGCGTTCCTTGAAGGACCATCTTTAAAACAGGGGGAAATGATAAAACAGGAACTTGGAGAAGGGCCCGACGATCTAGAGAGGGGTGTTAGGGACCTCCGAAGTATGTGTGCAGCAAACCCTTATTTGCCACAGGCAGAAGCTTTAGGTATTATTTTAAAAATATTAATATGATTTCCTTAAATAGAACTAAAATCGATAAGCTAAGGTAATTGACCCCAGTATAACGAAAATTTCAAGCTTTTTTTTTATTTCTATTTTCATAAAATACAAGTCATTAATTTAATGCTACAATAATTTAATAGTTAAGTTTACTACGTCCTCTTCACGAAAAAAATCAGCAGAATGAGGTTTATTTTTGAAAAATTAACCTTTTTAAACAATACTGAGTTTTTTTAAGCATGAGCGTTTATTTCTTTGGCAGTTTTTTTTTTTATATTGGTTCATGTTTAAAGAACAATATATAAATAAATTACTACGTTAAAAAAAATGCGATTAATTTATTTTTTTTACTAGAGGGCTCACTTTTGTTAGCTTGTTGATACTTTATTTATATTATTCTAATAAATTAATTTGTTCAAAGACACTTTTTTGTCACATTTAATTATTGATGTTCATAAAACTTATCAAAAAGTATTTTGAATTTTTACAAATACAAATACAAAATGTATCTATATACATATATAATACAACTGTAGAAGGCGAATGTCTGTACATAGAAAAAAATTGCTTAAAAACCGTGTCAGGGGATGTAAGAAGAGAAATAGAACAAATCAAGATTTTTGTCTTTTTTTTTTTGTTGCTCTGTCTGTTTTTCTGTGTTGTGTGTTGTGAAACTGTTAGACCGATTTTAATTTTGAATTGACTACCATGCAAAAGAAATTTTGCAGACATACATATAAAAACTATTTCAATAACATTTTCCTAAAAATATTTAATGTACAGATTCGGCTTAGTTACAATTTTATTATAAGTATGTATAGATTTGCTTTGCATCGGCTGGCACTGACTTCGAAAATATCTGATTAGGATCTATTCTAAATGAAAACCCCCGATTAGTTTTTTTTTTACATTTTGTGCCTGGAAGTCGGTTTTTTATTTAAGTTTTTTAAGAATACGGTATCAAAATTGGTTTAAAGTAAATTATTTTATTAAAGTAGTTTTTTGATTAAAACGAATATGAAGGGCTATTATAATGTTTTTTGATAAAATAATATCAAGTGAACAAAATATGTAGGTACATTATAAATAAACTTATCTTTTACTAATAATTAAATGCAGGTCGTTCTCAAGGTAAATAATGACTAAGTCGCCTTGTTCATTTATTCTTATTACTTCGTATGCATAAAAAGCACTAGCTTGCATTTTTATTCTTTTTGTGTGAAATGTTGCAATACCCAATGATCTTAATCTTAATACATGCTCCCTCTATTAGTATTCAATGCTGAAACGCTTTCGTAAACGTTATTGAGCAGAACTATGCCAGGAGCATCTGATTGTGTGGTATTATGTGATTTCAGTTTGGTCGGATCTCTTAGTAAAATTTATTCATTTATAAACATCGACTTGTGAAAAATACGATTTGTTTTACATAGTAACTCTATTTAATTTTAATGTTAGTACCTGGGCGACGGAGCTTCGCTCGGCGTTTTTCGACTATGATATAAAAATTGCGTTTTTTCAGAAAAGACACTTCTATACTAATATAATAAAGAGGTACAGTTTATGAATTGTGAGTTTGTGACGTTGTAGGGGGTAATCTCTGAATCTATTGAACCGATTTAGATAAAATTTGGTAATAGATAAACTTAAAAAACAATCTAAATACAAAATTTTAGCTAAATCGTTAGAGACATTTCCGAGATATACGGATATAATTTATATATGTACAAGAATTGCTTGTTTAATATATTTTATGTAATAGGTATGTATGTCTTATTTTACTCTTATTTCTTATTTAATGTTTTTATAATTCTCTAAAATGCTGTACCCAAGAAAAACAATAATATTAAATTGTAAGCCAAATGCCAATATTATTTATGGCGTACAAGTGGTAATCATAAAAACAGGTATCTGTAGTAATAATAATAATAAATAATAATTAATTGAGCCAGACGGTCACTATGAATACTGAACAGGCAAATATATATTTTAAATATTTTGGTAGTTTTCTTTCTACCATGATGACATCACAAGTAATAATATGGTGTTGGTGTTTGATTTTAATATCATACATTTAAGAAATATATGACTTTTAAAAGGTGCTATGTTCGTTTGTATTTTTTATGTATGTATGTTCACCGATTTCTCACAGATGACTTGACCGATTTTGCTACTTTAAAGTGTATTAAAATTAGGGTAGGTTTCGAGGTGGTCTCATAAAATTTTCTTTGACATAGAGTAGACCGTTTTAGAGAAAATAAGGAAAAAACATAAAATATTAAGTATGATATAGTACACATCTAATTAGTATTTTTTACCTACGTCTAAATGTCATATCGACTTGAAACTTTGCAAGTAAAATGAAAAACTTTATTCAAATAAACTTATTATAAGCACTTTTGAATCGTCAATTTAAAGAGCGTCAGTGTAGTCAGTCCGTGAGGAATCTACCACCGGCTCAGAAAGTTCTGCTGAAAAAGCCGGCGAGAAACTCAACAGTTGTACAGTGTATGGTATTGTATTCAGCCCTTTTTAACGTCCCACTGTTGGGCACGGGACTCCCTTCAATACGAGGGGGATCAGGCTATAGTCCACCATGCTGCCCAAGTGCGGGTTGGCGCACTGCACATGTCTTTCGAGAACTTGCTAGGTTCTTTCAGACATGCAGGTTTCCTCACGATGTTTTCCTTCACCGTAAGGCAAGTGGTAATCATGTTAGAAATTATTCTCACATGAAAATATCAGAGGTGCGAGACTTTTTGAACCCGCTTCACTCGGTTTCCCAAGCGTGCCCGTTACCACTGGGCTACCACTGCCTTCAATTCAAGTGTTGCCCTTTTAAATATCGAAGTTACATTAATAAACATAATATTATGATATCCCTCATATGAGTAAATATATCTTAATTCCACACATTTCCATCAACAAGCAACTCTTGAATAGTTTAATACGCTTTGCTCAATAAAATATTTTTAAATTTTCGAAAAGGTAAATCTAGGACAGTTTGTGGAACCTTATTATATATGCAATATTGCATTTTGGAGTCGAAATCTGAGCGTATCAAGCTTATTTCTATTCCTAGTATTTATTGTGTGTCTAACACAAACAGTGTTAGACACACAATAATGTTAAATAATTATTTATATTTTTGCGAGCAAATAATATATTCCACAGTACATATTGTGATGCAACCATAAGAATACCATTTTTTTAAAACATCTCGCAGGGAATGACGATTCTTCAGAATCAGAAATCTTATTGTTAGATCATAAACAGCTCGTACTGCTCTTTTTTGAAGAAGTATTTCGTATTATAAAATAGTATGAAAATAACTAAAATATACAAGTCGGCCAGTGTTAATGTCCCTTAGGTTTCTTACTTTTATAACTGCAAAGGCAGCGGAACTGAGTTTACCTGCAAGAATTGAAAGATGGGAGTTCCACTAGAGCTTATAAAGTCTAATGTCATGTTTCAGAGGAACTCCCAGTGTTTTTATTTACGATGATAGTACAGTAATTTTGTATCATTCAGCTGATCTGACGGTGAGGCCAGAAGGTATATTTTGATCAATACGTTAGAATTGGGTTTTAGAGCCTTATTTTTGGAAATATAAAAACTGAAAAAACCCGACTTCCATCGAATTCGGTGCCAGCCGATAAAGCTTTAAGATTATATGAATGAAATAGGTAAATATAACACGTATGAACCTTAATTATAGTTAAAATGTTATACATACATATAGTGACATCACAAATGTATACAGTATAACACTCATATTGAAATAGTGTTTATTTTGCTTTGCATCGGCTGGCACCGACTTCGAAAATATCTATCCATCTATGTAATATATTTATATATTTAAACGAGCAATTCTTGTATATTTATACCGGCGATCTCGGAAACGGCTCTAACAATTTCGCTGAAATTTGGTATGTGGGGGTTTTTGGGGGCGAAAAATCGATCTAGGTCTTGTCTGAGTTTTCATGCGGTTTTCTTACGCACGCAAAATATGGTCGCTAATTTCGCACCTTCGGGCATAAGCATCGTGGTCAAGCGGGCAAATGGCAAGGCGAGAGATTGACAATCACAGATGTATGGTTTCGAATTCCGGTCGGTTACTAAGTTTTTACTTTTTTTAGTTTTTTTATTCAAGTTTTAAGTTTTTTTTTTAAAGAGCACTTTTGGCCAAAAACTCCGAGCGAAGCTCGTTCGCCCAGGTACTAGTAAATAGAAATCCGTTCAGTTATTTTTTACTTTTTTACTAGAAGCCGTTTTTTTTAATTTTAATCTTGTTGCCGTTGTCCGCGATGCGGCCAAAACCTGACTTTTGTGATAGAATAGCAAGTACGTAACGATTAACATCAATATAGATGTTAGTCGTTAGTATAGTCCGGTCAATTTAGACATTCGAAGTTACATAAAGTCCCAACAAGCTGAATTTCTGTGAAATTATTCAAAACATAATTATAAACAATGTCTAGAAGTTCCCCATCATTCCCCTGTAAGGAAAATTTTTTATTCAAGGTCAAAGGTCAAAAAAATGAGTTTTTCGCGATTTTCAGCAAAACGGTAAGTTTTATCATAAAAGTACCTCAGACAAAAATTGTAGATCATAAAATTATCTATAAAAAATGTATCAATACTTTTTTTCTTACGAGCCACAGTTTCTGAGATATAACGATTCAAAAAGTTATAAAAGTTGTTATCGTCATAATATGCACACGTGTCCACGCCACCTATGAGGTAGTGAACTTAGCGCGTTTTTTTTAACGTGGTTTCCCCAGTAGGCCTACTCCACGGGTCAGTTGTGATCCTATTTAATGTAAAACTATTGCAAAATAACGGAAATTTTCAAAGATTGGGAAAGATAAAGCGATGTAAATTAAAAAAAAGTGTTGAAGTTTATTCGTCTTATTCGTAAGTTTCAAATTCTTGTTCTTCTTCTTGATCTTCTTCTCCTGCTTCTTCTTCATCTTCATTTTGGATGCAAGTAAATTGCGTCAATAGCGATGTATCGCATGATACTTCGTCGGAGTCAAACGAATCCTCTATTGTTTGTGATTCAATATTAGAGCACGACCGGCCTTGACAATTTGTGCATGCCAAAGAACAAGACAGTTCGACTTTTTTGCAAACACATTGAGCACTGCATCCCTTTTTGCAGTTGCAAAAAATAGTGTTCAGCAGTTTTTCCGGCGCAGGTGGAAGTAAAGTTTGAACTGGCTCTAATATATTGTTAACCAACTTCCAACCCCAGTCTGTAACTAGTGTATGTCTAGCTGATAACCAAGCCACACTTGAACTTGGTAATATACTCGAAGAAGATGTTGGTGAGCAGCAACTGAGGTTGGAGGAAGACAAGCTAATTAAACTTGTTTTTTATTTTTAGTATTTTTAACGAAACATGCATATCGATGCTTATCTAAACAGATAGTTTTTTAGGAGCTCCGTACATAGAAAGAAGAAAGCGGATGCCGTTGGTAATAACTTTTTGTTGAGTTGAATTACTCTTTTTAAAAACTTCAGCACATTGAATTAAATCTTGTTTTTCAAACATTTTGAAAACTGCTGTTTTACCCCTCCTGTAAAATGCAGATGTCGTATCACAGCCAGTTATTGCGTGTAAAAATAGTACATGATCTTTACACTTTACAAAAGTAAATAAACTTTTTGATGAATATTATTATATCTGATTGATGCTGAGCTTTTCCCGGTTTAAAACTTATGTATATTTTATATTGTAAGTATAAGTTAAAATGACCGATAGAAAAATATTTAAACATTTAATATATAATATATATTATATAAAATATAACAACTCTAGATGTATATACGTGGCGTACTCATGCATATTATGACGATAACAACTTTTATAACTTTTTGAATCGTTATATCTCAGAAACGGTAGCTCGTAAAAATAAAGTATTGATACATTTTTTATAGATAATTTTATGATCTACAATTTTTGTCTGAGGTACTTTTATGATAAAACTTACCGTTTTGCTGAAAATCGCGAAAAACTCATTTTTTTGAACTTTGACCTTGAATAAAATTTTTTCCTTACAGGGGAATGATGGGGAACTTCTAGACATTGTTTATAATTATATTTTGAACAATTTCACAGAAATTCAGCTTGTTGGGACTTTATGTAACTTCACTCTCATTTTTTGGTCTAAATTGATCGGACTAGTAGTTATCTACTATAATTGTTATAATACAAATTATGAAAATTATCACAAATACACATTCGTCTCCAAAATCATTGTATCATATATCTATTCTGGTTTTTAAGGTCAATATTCGGCATTCGCCTTTATTCGACCTCATGGCCGATTAGGACTTAGGGGGCTGGAAGGAATTCGACCGGGATAAGATCAAATTAATTATCATCATAATTTATTTCGAGTAACGGTAGGTACCTATATCTTAGAATTTTGTATACGACAATAAATCAAATATCAAAATTTTGTGTATATAAATTTAGATAGGTACCTAGAATCTTACATATTAAAATTTAGTAATTATGAACATATACATATTTCAAATGATTGATAAGAATCATTTAGTTATCGTGATATTTACAAAATAATCGGAACATAATTACATAAGAATAATTTAGTATTATAGTTCTAATTGAACATACCGATAGCGGGTCAAATTTATGCAAACACACGCGCAATAATGCGCTCAGAAATATATCATAAATTTTGTTATTTGCTGTGAATGATGGCCAAGGCGACTTGGTTTTACATTAGATTTGAAAACTTTTAACGGTAGAAGGATTGCGTTGTGAGACTTGTATTTTTTACATGTTATGTTTTTTACGTTATAACAAATCTAGGAAATACATTTAGACGTTTGGTCAATTTTTATTACGCAAAAATCTTGTTCAAACGTTACACATGATGTTAAGTTATTAACATAATTATCATTAAGAATGAATCTCGTAAAACTAAAAACAAAGACAATTTCTCAAATGTAAATTAGGTTGACAATATTACAATTTTACGTCATTAAACTCTTTACAGTAGAGATGCGACAATTTCAGTTTCATAAGTAGGTATCTGTTTAATTGGCAAAAATATTGGAGTAATATAAATAATCGAATCTCTTTTTTAACGGAAATTCAGTAAGAACTATCTAAAGTTTTATTTTTATACTCATTTGTTATATACTTATTTCATCGAATTCTATTTTCGAATCCAGTTTATAATTTAACGTTTAGTATAGATTTCTCAGAGATGAGATATTTTCCCGCATTAAAAGTATCCTATGTGTTGACCCGGATAACCAGCTATCATTGAACCAAAATTCATCAAAATCTGTCCAGTGTCCAATCCTCTTGATGCGTTCCCAGACAGACAGACAGACAGACAGACAGACAGACAGACAGACAGACAGACAGACAGACAGACACAAATTCTAAAAACTATAGATCCGGCCTCTGTATCGATAATAACGGCTATTTCAATAAGATTTTCAAAAAAATATTTAATGTACAGATTCAGCTTAGTTACAATTTTATTATATGTATAGATGAATTGTAACATCGTATTTTATCTATACTGGATATATGGATGTTTGTTACTCTTTCATGCCAGAATTGCTGTTTGGATCTGGATGAAATTTGAGTTTTATATTATATGTATAGAAAAGAATAATCTTTACTTAATTTACCTATTCACACTAACCTTTATGGTGAAATAATTTATTTACTTGGTATTAATTTCGACCTAAATTTTTAACCTTTACTGAGTTTTAATGTCATAAAACATAAAAAAACTAAATGATTGTTATCAACAGGTCTTAAAAGAATTAATTGCAATTATCTAATTTGATTAGCTATTTTTATAAATTATATTTGGTTAAATTCCGTTCAGTACTTTTAGCGTGAAAAGTGAACCGAAATTTCGACACCGAAGTTTTGAAGCCTAGATTCTGTACATAATACGTAACAGTTGTTTTTAAAAAATATTTCATGTACAGATTTCGCTTTGTTACAATTTTATTATACGTATCTAGATTCTGTTTTTAATGTCGTGTATGGTTAACAACAGGATATTTAAATATAGGACCTTGATGTTCGTTTATGTTTATTGATTCAAGAATTCACTAAGCATATAAATTGATATTTATTAAGAAATCGAACAATTAATGAAACATTTCACTTAATTAGGTACCCACATATATAAATACTAGCGGCTCAGCCTCGCTTCGCTCGGGTTAGCCTTTACAAAAAAAAACCAAATCTATCCCACGGGAACCGAACATTTTCCGGGATAAAAATTAGCCTATGTGTTATTCTGATGTATGTATGTAACTTTATTATTGTAAAGTTTCATTCATTCAGTACTTTAAGCGTGAAAGAGTAACAAACATCCATACATCTATATATCCACACATCCATACATTCTCACAAACTTTCGCTTTCATAATACTTTCTTAAATTTACGCGAATGTTTGACATTTTTAAATAAAACTATCTTTTCGGATTATTTCGCGGATTTATTTTGATTTTTTAGTTCCCGACGTTTCGAATGCTTTACAGCATCCATGGTCACGGGAGAGACTGAGGTGTTACATGTCTTGAATTCATTCGATTTTTCATTTTGAAGAAATTGCATTCGAAACGTCGGGAACCAAAAAATCAAAATAAATCTGCGATATAATCCGAAAAGATAGTTTTATTTAAAAATTTCGCTTTCATGTTTTATCACGTTGTAGGTACCTACTACCTATTTTATAAGTCATACAATATAGCGTATTATGCATGTACCTATCACCTATGCATTTTAGAAACCTAAACCTTTATAAGATCACTTTATTGTCCGTCTGTCTGTCCATGTGCCACCAACGATTTTCTCAGGATCGGGTGGACCTAGCAAGTTGAAATTTATACCAGGTAAGTACTGAGGTCTAAAGGCCTTATTAGGTGTATAAAAATCAAGGTCCTGAGTCAACACGATAAAAAGATATCGGCAAATTTAGATTTTCGCGAAAACTTGTAAGTATCAAAATTTACCTTAATTTTCACCTTTTTTTATTTTTCGGAATTTTCCCTTTACTTGTGCTGTAAGACCTTGCTTTTAACCAAAATTGACAATTCTAGGTCAACCGGAAGTACCTTATAGGTTTTGGATCGAAAACCTATGTGGTAGTTCCCGTTGACCTAGAACCACGAAATTTGGCAAAAAACAAGGTCTTACAGCACAAATAAAGGAAAAAATCCAAAAATTAAAAAAAAGTTGAAAGTTAAAATTAAACAGATTTCCTACAAATTTGTACGGAACCCTCGGTGGGCTAGTCCGACTCGCACTTGTCCGGAATTTTATTAAAATACGTTATGACGTTAAAGAATTTACATAGTACCTTGTGTAATAAAAAATAATAATACAATCTTAGGTTAATTGAACATTAACTTAGTTTACCTTAACAATATGGCAGCCCGGTTAGAATACGAATGATAGGTACTCGAACGATCTCATGGTCTTAGGTTGCTTAATCGGAGCCTAAATATTATATATATTCACAATTCAAGCTTAACATACCTACATATTTATGTACGTGTAATACTTATAATTCTATTTATCTTGTCCACAGAAACGCAGTTGTTACAAGTATTTCTAAGGGGATGCCGTATGGACTTTGAAAGGGCACGAAAAAAACTAGAAACATTTTGTTACGCACGTTCACGTTTCAGGGATCTTTACGAACATCGGTCTCTTACGGAACCACCGCTAAATGAAGTTTGCAAATTTTTGTAAGTAAGCTATCGATAACTATCATTAGAGCTAAGGAAATATGTCTGTCAGTTTGGCGGGCGACCCTAAAAGTCGTGGGTTCAATACTCCCATCAGATGAATGACATTAAGTATATCACTGGAGTCAGTGGTAGAAGAATTGAAAGGCAGTATTCACTTATGTAGTGGGCAAACATAGATTTAGGCCCCTCAAACGGGTTTATTGTCGAGACCCGATAAAAATTAATGTCCTGAGCGAGTCTACCTATGGAAAATATAATATGAAGTCACTTATTTATATCTGTATAATTAATTTAAGATGCGGCATAATATATAGCTAATATATTATGTCTATCAGACTATCCTAGCGGTATTTTGGCTTTGAAATATAAAATATTATGTAGTCTTCTTAATTGCAAATAGCGTAGATGACCTTTTAAATATGACCCTCGAAGAATATGATAATTTCAGACTTCCTACTAGTTAATGTGGCTTCAACTAAACTACTGCAGTGGGCATAAATGCTAGCTAATAGGTACCTACTTACTTTTCCCCAAAATGTAACGAACTTGTTACATAATTTATTTTTGGTTTGTTATCCAGATGTTAATATAGACAATATCTAGCGTGAATATTACATTAACTATTTATATTATTTAAATTAATGGCGACTTACAAAACACACATGTATGCACGTATACATACATACATTAGCAATGCCCGCGCCTCCGCCCGCGTTCAGATGATAAAAAACCAAATTCTTGGGTTTTACATATTAGAATACTCTTACATTGTAATTTTTATATTTTTTCTTAGAAATGAGATATTCCCGCGGTAAAAAGTATCCTATATGTTGACCCGGATAACCAGCTACCACCATGCCAAACTTCATCAAAATCCCTCCAGTGCTTTTTCCGTGATGCGGTAACAGACAGTCTATTTTAGTAAGATTTTCAAAAAAATATTAAATATACTGATTCGGATTGGTTAAAATTTTATTATGTATATATATATATATATATATATATATATATATATAAAATAACTCAAAGTTCATTTCGGGGCCGTGCGGTGCTATGATACAAAGAGATGGTCGCATCATCGGCACAAAATAGGGGCGGCATTTAGAGCCATTGAATACATAAGTACATACTCGTTGTACCGAAATATTTAAAAATATAATTATAAATAAAATACTTTACCTATACATTATTATAACACATTGATGAATCGATCAGGTTATTATTCATCTATCATGATTAAATTAAATAAAAAAATAAAAATGGTCAGATAAATCATAATTTAAATTAATATTATATAGATATTGTTTTTACTATATTAAACTATTAATATTAATGTATGTGTCGGAGTAATACTGTTTTTATCACGAACAAAATCAAACCAAAGAATAAACAACTATACAAGTCACAATACAAATTACGAGCGTACCTGTTATATTCCAGTACTAGCAGTAGTCCCAGACCAACAGACCTTATTTATCGGATTCTACATGCGCACCATGTATTGCATATTAGTCATTAATGATAGTTAATATAATGTAAACTTTAAAGAACTATGTCTTATATTATCGTATAATATCAAACATTTTGATTTAGAGAAAGATAAATATTTTGATAATTTTTTAATCATGACCAACAGGCAAAACCTAGGATATGTACATTCATTTAAGAAATCCATGGTCACATGTAAATCAAGTGCTGACTTCCCTGTTTGGATTTGTTAAAAGATATCTTCCTATTATCATACATAATTTAAAAACTTTAAAAAATGCGATGCGTAAAATACGTCACAATTTGATGTATAATATTTTAACTTTAATTAGAGTTTAAATACTTAATCATATTTACCTACTAGCGGCTCACCCTCGCTTCGCTCTGGTTCGTTGCTAGGTACGTTTTAAATAGATATAAATAGTTATTAGCTAGAGGTAGCCATACAAATTTAATTTTTTTTTTCATAATTTTTTTTTGATGTTTTAATATTTATTATCCTATTCCGGACTAACTAAGAAATCCAAAAATTCAATTATCATAAAAATTGGTCTAGCCGTTCTTGAGTTTTATGTCACGTCACACGGGAACGCAATCGAACGGGATAAAAAGTATCCTATATCCGTCTCCTGGTTCTAAACTACTTCCCCACTAATTTTCAGCCAAATCGGTTCAGCCGTTCTTGAGTTATGAATAGTGTAACTAACACGACTTTCTTTTATATATATAGATTAGATATTCATATCTTATAATATGGTCGGCTGTCATCGAAAATATCTGATTAGGTATCTATTCTAAATGGAAACCCCCGTTTAGTTATTTTTTACATTTAGTACCTGGAAGTCGGTTTTTTTTAAGTTTTTATTTTTCCATTTCCACCTTCTGGCCTTACCATCAGATCAGGTCGACAATACCGAACCACTGCACTATCAACGGAAATAAAAACAAAGCAAAGTTTCAAGTCAATATGACAATTAAAAGTAGGGTTGCGATAAATGTTCCCTTACACGAATGCACGAAGAAAGCGGCTGTTAGAGAGGAGTGGCGACGAGTAGTCAAGCGTGCCACAGCGCTCAAGTGACGACCACGACCACTCTGTCAAGAGAGTAACGACTTAGAAGAAGTATATTTTTTTCAAATTTAAATGGGACCAACTTGGAAGTATACACTTTCAAATAAAACAAAAATTGTCCAAATCGGTTAATAAAAGACGGAGTTCTGAGGTAACAAACAAAAAATACAGACGAATTGAGAACCTCCTCCTTTTTGAAGAAGTCGGTTGAGAATGAACAAAAACACTATAAACGAAACCGCGGGGAGAGACTAATTAATGTTCCATAAATATTTACTATTTCAATCGATGTTTTGCAATTTGATGCTCTACTGCTGACTACACTAATATATTTTAATTTTTCCTCAAGATGCAGGTCAAGGGAATTATTGCTTTCTCAGTATTTTTCTTTGCTATTATTTTCAATAAAGTGGAGATAGTACCTATAATCATTCTCAGTTATTTTGTTTTAATGCCAAATTAGATATTAAATACAAATAAAAAGCATTCTATATATATATATGTAAAATGTTATTAGAAATACATATATAGTTACATGTTAGGGTCCATGTCTGAAACACTCATTGTGCGAAAAGTGCGCTCATAATGCGTCATGGCTAACTTAAAACGGCCACGACACCAAATTCGTGTCATGCCACGTTTTATACCCCCGCCGGAACGGAGACGGTATATGCGTTTGGGGTGAGAGGATGTTTGCTTGTTTGTGCAAAACATGTTGTTAAAAAATCTCAAATTATTGACGTTACTATAAAACTGCAAAACTAGTTCATAATGGCAGCCCCCAGCCAGAACGGCCGAACGGATGTGGATGAAAGGCATAGAGATAGATTATAGTCTGAAATAACACATAGGCTACTTTTTATCCCGGAAAAATATACGGTTCTCAAGGGATAGATTTGCTATTGTTTTTCTAGAGGCGAACCCGAGCGAAGCGAGGGTGAGTCGCTAGTTATGGAATAAAAAAACTTCATGGGCTTTTAATTTATTAGCGCGGAATCCTGATTCTTTTTCTAAAATAAAAGCAGCCTAAGTTAGGTACTCTTTAAAACATCAGCTATCTGCCACTGAAAGTCGCATCAAAATCGGTCCAGCCGTTTCGGAGATTAGCCGGAACAGACAGACAAACAAAAATAAAAAAAATGTTGTTTTAGTACCGTATACTTTCATATGCATTTAGTAAAAAGCTGTTATTTTGACATTACAAACAGATACGTTAATTTTATTGATCTGTATAGATTGTACGCCGATAAAATAAAATTTAAATCATTTAATTTTCTACTATTTTCATGACACCGAAAATTATTTTAAATAGTTAATAAATATAAATATATGTTGGGACATCAATGCACACAACACCGTCTAGTTCTATGGTTAGCGACGAAGCTTGTGTTATGGATACCAGATAGTTGATACACTAAACATAGGTATATAAATTTAAATACGTATTACTACTAGTATACAAAACTGCCTCGGTTACTAGTATGGTATTATATTATGATCTGTGATATTACATACATATTATAAATATAGGACCCATGACCGGAGTACAAACATTTGTGCTCATGACACAAATGGCATTCATTTGTGTGACTCGAACAGCGGGACTCGAACCTGCGACCGCTGGCACTGCAATAATAAAAAATAGGGTCACTACAAACTGATCCAAACGTGTCGTCATTTCTGTTAGTAAATAGCTAGGTATGTCTTTGTGTACATATTACGCGCACACGACTTAGGGTGAAATAATTACTTTTAAAATGATTTTGAAATCACTGTGGTTTTGTACTTCACTTTATTATTTTACGTTATTTTAAAAGTGTAACATTTTTTACCTACAGAGACATAGTGCCTCTTCCCAAACTGACAGACGAAGGGCTTCGGGTGACGATCTTTAGAGTGCGACCAAACTATCCGGAAAGCGCAGCAGAAATTAACGCAGCTGTTCGCGCGATTCTGCTCATATGCGATGTTCGCTTGCATGATGAAACACTAATCGCCGGTGATGTTTTTATATGGGAGGTAAGAGCATTGAACTTTTAGTTTGTGTAATGATTTTTTCTAATACATTGACAATATTGTCTTAGATGACATAATCAATAATGGATCAGCCTCAATTATCTTTAAAATATGAAATATTCATAATTTATTTATTTTCATTTACGTTCATGCGGATCGATTACGTCAGACGCTACGTAACACACTATCAGCTTCCTAACATGCCTATTACAATTTGGTGACACACTTAACCCAAACCAGATTTGACTAGTCCAATTCGCATCCAGAACCACATCAGTTGTAGTCGAGCTACCTGTTTTTTTTAACGTTGAGAAATGCATTTACGCACGAGGTGGGGGACTCACCGGCGAAGCCAGTACTACACATTAAAACCCAACAAAATCTAAGCAGGATCGCTTACGCATTCAACTACGACGCCCCGACGGCAGTTCTGCCGAAGCAGACCACCACAATCATGGGGTTGCTCCAAGGTCCACTCTGCTATCAGAGAAATACCAGGAGCAACCCGCATGGTACACCGCCCTCCGAAGAGGGTCACCTCCCACCGCCCACCGAAGTGGGCCACCTCCCTGTGCGTTTCTTGGCTTCGCGCCCAGTTGGGTTGCCGGGCACTACTGAGACCCCCACCACGACAAGGTGAACGCACGTTTTGTGCATAGTCGAGCTACGTAATTTTACATATTTATTTTATATTTCATTTCGTCTCAACATCATACTTACATGACAAATAAATATTTATGTACGCTTTACTATGCTCTCTTAAGTTTAGCTAAATTAAGACAGTATAGTTAAACGCAAAGCAATTAATGCTGTACTGTTTATATATATATATATATATATATATATATATAGAGTTATACATATATATTATAAGTTTAGTTAAGTTAAGGAAACAAACTAAAGCAAGTAATATACTGAGTGAATCTTTGTGCAGGCCTCTCACGTGCGGGCATCCATCGCCGCCCGCGTGGCGGCCTCGGCGAGCTCAGTACGCCGCAGCATACAGCTGGCGCAAGCTGCTTACCCGCAGCGAATGCGCCGTATTCACGTCGTTGGAGCACCTACGTTGGTCGCCTCCTCCTTGAACCTTATGCGTGCGTGCGTCAATGAGAAAATTAGAAAACGGGTATATACCACCATTTTTATATTGTGTAAAATAATTTTATTTTATTTATAGGAGGCAGTTTAATAATTATGCAGTCGGAGACATACAGGTTTCATCCTTGTCGCAAGATGTATGTACATACTCGTATGTATGTCTCCGACTGCATAATAGGTACTATATTCATTCCATCGTGAACTTGTTTTCATCTTTTTATTTAGCTTTTATGTAGTCGGGTATTTTATTTTTATAATATACTAGCAGAACCCACGGCTTCGCTCGCGCTAAAACTATAAAAAACTCTAAAAAGGTAGATTTCATACAAACTTTCATCCCCTATTTTACCCCTTTATGGGATGAATTTCGAAAAATGCTAAAACACGTATTTTTTAATTGTATTGAAGAGCATTAATACCAAGTTTCAAGTAATTCTGATCAAAAATATTTTTTTGGGTTGAATTATAACATGTTTTCCCGTGGAAAGGAGATCATCTCCCGCGGAAAAAAGTAGCCTATGTCACTTTCCAGTCCACCAACTATCTCCACAAAAAAATCACGCGATTGAGTAACTCCGTTTTGACGTGAAAGAAGGACAAACAAACAAATTTGATTTATTTATTTACAGCTTTTTATATATTTTTAAGCAGGAAAATTAACGAGAATGGTTGTTAACCAACTTTAAATCGCTATATATCCTAAACTGTTATTTAAAATGAAAAATGATGAAAGAAACCTAAAAATGATTTTTAATACCTGTTCAACGATACCCCACTTGACATAGGTAGTTCATCGATTTTCATTTTTTTTCCTTTTCATATTATGGAATCTAGCAGCCCCCATATTTTTTTATGTCACCTATCTAAGAACACTTGGACTAATAAGACGAATCTAACGATACCTTAATTAAAGAAATCCATCGAGCGGTTTGGAAGATATGATGGAAAAAAGAATATTACAAACAAACAAATATAGATAGGCGTCATAACCCTTTCCTTGCAATCGGGTAAAAAAGATAGCAAGAATATAAAAACTCGTTTGTATTTGACCGTCAAATGTTACCTTGATAATGAACTCAATGGTCGAAGTCGTTATTAAGTCTATAAAAATTACAAATTTAAATCATCATAAATCTGCTGCTATTGAACTGACTAATCAACTTTGATAAAATGAGATATTAAAAAGAGTGTATTTTTTCTAGTACTACTTGCATTCGAAAACGGAGGAGCTGTTAGAACATTTTCCAGCGCGAGTGTTGCCTATTGAGTGGGGAGGTGAGGAGGAGTCGATCGAAATACTGAATAAGAAATGGCGTCGTCGAGTAGATGAAGTGAGAGATTATCTTCGCGACTTAAGCGAAATATGCAATGTATGCCCGGATACACAATACGACAATGACATCTATGGCGTTGTTGGATCCTTCAGGAAATTAGATATCGATTAGTTAATTTTAGTTTTTATTAAAATTGTGAATCTGAAAGAGTAGACTGCCTAATTTTACTAATTGTAGTTTACATTTATCATTTTTCAATAAATTAAAGTAAGCTTATTACCTACTAGTGAAAATGGATGATTATAAGGAGTGAGAAAAATCCTGTTTAGATATAGGTATAAAAGATCTAAACAAGTAGATCTTTTCCAACTGACAAATGACTTACGTAATTTGGAAGGAATTATAAAGCGCAGTACCGTTTCGAATTATGGATATTGTTATATTATAAGTACCTACTTTTATAGTGATTGTACAATATATTGTACATATTTGTAAGTCTTCGAGAAGTAATCTATAGTGCTTGCTAATTAAATTACTATAACTTACAATAAAGTGAGTTATAGTTAGATATAGTATTTTTTATTAAAAACATATAGTGCCTAAATTGACTAAATGTATTAGCATAATATTGTAATTTACAAAAAATACACGAATCTTATATTGTGTGATTTTTCTTATTTGCTTAAAAATTATCTTCTTTCATAAAAGGTGACGGCGGTCGTCGTCGCTCGTCAGCCATGACAGTCAGTTGTTATGTCTTCTTCGTCCTAATTAAATTCTTAAACAATCAAAATCTGTTATTGTATCTGTGTGTCTCTGTAGATCTGAGGGCTTATATATCCCATCTCAGGCTCTTATATTGTGACTCAATTTACGACTTAAAAACTTGATAATTAATCGTTTGGGCATTTCGTGAGCATGATGGTTGCATCATGATGCATCATGAGCTTCGTGAAGCTTCATAATCAACGAGTTTTTAGTTCGTTGTTCATAATAGTATCTTTGACAAATATTCTGAAAAGCAAACTTATTTCTTTCATGCTATAATAATTATTAATTTCCATGTAAAAAATTACGATAGGCACCATAAAGATATCACCATACTACCTCCAGTGGTTTTTCTATGATGCGGTAACAGACAGACAGACAGACAAAAATTCTAAAAACTATAGATTCGGCCTCTGTATCAATAATATAAGATTTTCGAAAAAATATTTAATGTACAGATCCGACTCGGTTAGAATTTTATTATATGTATAGACTAGCGGCTTATCCTCGCTTCTCTCGGGTGCGTCTTTACGTACGTTTTAAATAGATAAAAATAGTTCTTATGAGTGTAGTTTAGGAGATAGACACTGATACTATCGCAGACTTTTTTGTAGGATTTTTAAGACCTACAATTTTCTACCACATTGTTTTGATGAAATGTTAGTTGTTTCGGTGCGAGCGATTAATAATTTTAAATCTATACATACTCGTATACTTAATAAAATTATATAGGTATTAGGTAAACCATCCGGAAGAAATTCTCTAAATGACAGTGAAAATCCTATCAAAATCCGTTGCGTCGTTTAGAAGGAGTTAGCCGAGAAACAGACAGACAAAAACAGCGACTTTACTCTATACTATATATAGATATGGATTGCTTGTAACCGCGCCTGTAATACGACGATAACTCGTATCGTAAACCAGTATCTACAATATTAAGAGGTGTTTTTATCGATAAAATATACATAAATATTTGTAAATTTTCTTTTCTTAAGCTGTTAGATTTACCTACCGAGCATTTTTCTTAATGAAACAAACTTGTGAGACTTTATATAATAATAAAGTATAGTATTAGAAATCAAATACATTTATAGTAAACATAATGTTAATTGCGTACTTAACATAGAACTTGGCAACATGTTTACATTTTATCATGAGATAAGGTATTTGAATAATGCACACTGATCTAAATAGGTTATTTACTGTCTAAACATGATCTTCCTTAGACGCTTCCTTATAATGCACTGGACATGATTGAAATTTTAAATGTACAGATAACGTATTAAATCTCTATACATGAACTAGGAAATAGGTCAGTGTATTTATAATAGTAGTAATATTTATATATTTTAAGTACGTACAACGTTGCAAGCTTATTAAGTAAGTACATATGTATATGTATCTATGGAAATAAAAATAATGAAAATTATGATACCTAGAAATTGGATTTTGTTATTGGATTTTATTTGTTGTGATTTTTTTTTGATCTTTAGTAAATAATATTTTAAAATGTACCTGTAAATAATACAAGTAAACTTAGTAATTTTTTATGACGTAATTGTCGTGCCTAGTCCATATAAAATAATAAACTAATATTAATAAAACAGGAACTATTCATGAGCAGACGACAATAACATACTGATTTATGTGGTAATTCAAGAGATATAATATGTATTGAGAAAATATTATATTAGACAAATAAGGGCCGTCTTAAACCACTTAGGGGCCCTGGGCACATATAAATTTTGGGGCCCTTTAGAAAGTTAAAAAAATGTAAATGATAAAATGAAAATTAACTTTATTCAATTAGATTTATACAATCACTTTTGAATTGTCAATTTAATTTAACGATAATAATAGTCAGTTTAGAAGGCAGTTCTGCTGAGTAAAGCATCGCCAGGATAAATTCAACAAGTGCTCTTTTTACAAATCAAATTACAGCATGTAATAGATATATTAAAGCGACACCGCAATTATTATGGCCTGATCCCCCGCGTATTAAATGGAGGCCCACCATCACCAGCCAGCAGTGCAATGGGAAGTTAATAAAAAAGGCTCAATACCAAAGAAGCAATGTTGTTTTGGAATATTGTCACTCATATTAAATTGCTAATTTTTTTTATGAATATTTATTAAATTAATAATTATTTAAATAACAGTATAAGTAATAGTGGCCATTAAGCATAGGAATATTCTTATAGCAACTTCAACTTCGGAAAAATCCATTCTCATATATCGGTTTTTTATGAGGTTATTTAAAACTAAGATAAAGGCTATTAAATCTTGCTGTTATGCAAAAATTAAAGTATGTAGTAAATTAGTAGTAACGGGTTTGTAAACAACATAGTTTTATTTATTCTAATAATCTCACACAGCTAACCACCTACTCAGATCTTTATTCAGCCGAATGGACGCAGTTTCACTACAAATGTTTATTATTTTTTATATCTAGCTTTGACAATATTACGAAATTCGGTATGGTTTTATATTTTTAATTAAAAAAAATCGATAGTTCGTAATAATAATAGACAAAAATCGAGCTCTCTTTGTTCTATGTAAACGAATATTTTATCTTTGCGGGGACCCCCGTGATGATACTGGGGGCCCTGGGCCGGTGCCCCGTGTGCACCGTGCATGGTTGATGGTAAAGACGGTACTGTAGACAAACACATATATTGTCCGCCATCGCTCTCCACAATATGATCATTCTTTCTACTCAAAAACTCTAAATACAAAAGTTGAAACAGTTATCCTTTAAATTGTGGACAGTATCTTATTATACTTACCTATAGTCACAGTTTGAAATAGGTAGGTAATACAATCAATAATAATACGCTATATTATAATTAAATTGCAACAAGGTGAACTTGTTGGTTGTTGAACTTGCAGTTTAATGCTTCGGATATAATAGGCAGTAAATCAAGTTTTAAAAGTGCATCTGTATGTTTGTACACAGATAGTAATTTAAATAAAATTTTGGAATCAATTTTTAACAAGAATATACAAGGTTCCAGTTTAAATGCTACCATATAAAACATTATTATGTATACAGTGCCAATTAGTAGGTAGGTACCTACCTAGTTATAAAAAATCATTGATAATTCGGTAGGTAGGTAGATTTATTTATGTAACCCAATCGAACAATAATTCGATTGGGTTACATAAATTATAGAATTTAGTGAATGAATCGTAAAACGTCTTTATATACTGGTTCTTAATCGTTTAAGTATTATTATTTTGTTATATAAATAAATTAGTATACGTAAACTACTCATTCTCTTTTGTAATAATTACTAGATTTAATTCATATACCTACTTGTCCTATTCAGAGCAGAGCAAAATAAAAATATAAAAAAAAATTTTTTTTTGAAAATCTACGTATCAATTACCTATCCACTGATCGTACTTGTAAAACTTATATCTAATGCAGATTTACATTCCCTCCTTGAAGTGAGTACTAATATATTTGTATAACTGATATTTACATATTATGGACACTGGACAGTACCAAAGTATTGGTTTTACAATTTACACACAAAATACGACAGAGAGCCTGCGAAATTAAAAAAGCAACAAAAGTCAAAATCATTGGTTACGATAGTTTTCAGATTTAGAATATTATCGAAATATATTTTTTGATAATCTAAAATCTATCATTACATATAATAAAATTGTAACTAAGCCGAATCTGTACATTAGATATTTTTTGGAAAATCTTAATGAAATAAACGTTATTATCGATACAGAAGCCGAATCTATCGTTTTTTTGAATTTTTGTCTATTTGTCTGTTACCGCATCACAGAAAGCCCACTGGAGGGATTTTGATGAAATTTGTCCGGGTCAACATATAGGATACTTTTTAAGGCGGGAAAATGCCTCATTTCTGAGAAAAAATACAACAACTACAATGTAAGAGTACATATAATAATATGTAAAACCTAAGAATTTGGTTTTTGGTCATCTGAACGCGGGCGGAGCCGCGGGCAGTACTAGTAAATAATAAATATACCTACCTAAGAAAATAGAAACATATTTTATCCAATAATAGTTTAACTTCAACATTTAAACGTTTTATTAATTTGAATGAACATTTTATTAATTTATTTTATTAATTATAATTAATAATTATTTATATTTCCAATATTATAATATAATATGTTTAGGTATACATCCACATAAAAATATTTTTTTCTTGACGCAGTTAATAAATATCTCCATTACGCAAAGCAAGTCACCATAATTAAATTGCTGACTTTTCTAGAAGTCGACAGCAAACAAGTCTATGGAAATGTACAGTTTAATAATATCAAGTTAAGCTAAACTGAGAACCAACCTTGATATGGTTGTTTTATATTTTTTGTACGGCATAGGCAATTAAAACCTACGGACTACAACATAA